GAACCAGCAGGAGAAGCCATTAAAATATTTTGTGTGAGATGAAGTGCTTTGCTGGGATCACAGAGAAGTTCCGACACAGGATGTCTGAGTGACTAAAAAAGCCCTAACCCTTAAAAAGAACATTACCACGGAAAGAACACTGTCTGCACATGCTCTTAACTTCATAACAGTGATTACCTTACATGTAAGAATGGTGGTACAAGTAAAATAATAACCCTTACCACATGGTAAAAAAATGAGGCAGAAGCTCTTCACACCCACGTGTCCATAGCCAAAGATGCTATTTAGACCCAGGTGTAAAGAGCCACATTGGATATTTACACCCATATATATCTTTGGGCATCCTAGCAATGCTGAAATATGACATCAACAGGAACAGATCTATTTAGCTAGTCTGCTGTTTTTGTACACAGTGTGCATTCAGCAGCTTTATATGTTATAAAAACTGAGAATAATCAGTCAACAAAGTCAAAAATTGTTGACTCACAATGGACTCACCCCCGTCTCTTGTGTGAAAGTCCTGTGCTCTACCCATTTACCCACCACATCTTAATCCCTTAAAGGAGGTCTGGTATTTTGCACTTTGAGCCCCATGTCTGGGTTGTTTATGATGAAATAGAGTGGTTGAGACCAAAACAGTGACGATCGCTCATTTTTGGAGGAATTTAGCTTTCTCCTGCCTGGCTTAACACTGCTGCCTATGGCCATGTGTGAGCCTGTCCTAAAACCACCCTAAACGTTCGTTTTTGAAAGCCATGAAACTCACCGAGTGGTCAGTGGTGTTCGTTGATGTTCTGACATATAAATCGTAGCAAACTGTGGTTTCCGCGATGATTTATTTGACAGTTTCTCTACCCTATCGGTTTTCTATAGAAGCCTCATTGTCCGTTGGTAGTAATCCGCCACCGGAGACGGAAAGGGCGTGTTTACGACAAGGTTGTAGCCATTGTAGTCTTTTAGCTCAGCGAAAGTGCCGGCTCGACACTGCTGTGTGTGCTCCTGGAGGAAGAACGAGAACGAACGAAAAAGTTCTGTAATAAGTTTAAACAACTGCACAATGGGGGGCGGCACGGTGGTGTGGTGGTTAGCACTGTCGCCTCACAGCAAGAGGGTTGCTGGTTTGATCCCGGGTGTGGGGGCCCCTCTGTGCGGAGTTTGCATGTTCTCCCCGTGTCAGCGTGGGATCTCTCTGGGCACTCCGGCTTCCTCCCACAGTCCAAAGACATGCAGATTGGGGACTAGGTTAATTGATAACTCTAAATTGTCCGTAGGTGTGAATGTGAGCGTGAATGGTTGTCTGTCTCTATGTGTCAGCCCTGCGACAGTCTGGCGACCTGACACCTGCCCGATGTCAGCTGGGATAGGCTCCAGCCCCCCCGCGACCCTCAAGAGGATGAATGAATGAATGAACTGCACAATGGATTACTCGCCTGTAAACAACTTTCGCAGTACGATGTCTTTGAACACAACGCCAACCTTCTTCTTCTGCTCCTTTTGTGTCCCATTACATTGCATGGTTTCCTGCCGGTTGGCGACACCCAAGTATAGGAGCATTATCGCCATCAAGTGGGCTGGAGTGTAACACTTCAGGGTCAAACCAACGATCTTGCGGACATTTACACATGGATGTGAGGCAGCTGAAAAAATAGTTGCACAATTGAGATGAATAGCGAAAACACGGATGGAAACCACAGTTTGCTACGATTTTTATGTCAGAACATCAACGAACATCACTGACCAGTTGTTGAGTTTCATGGCTTTGAAAACAAAAATTTAGGGTGGTTTAACGACAGGTTCACACATGGCCATAGGCAGCAGTGTGTTAGGCCAGGCAGGGGAAAGCCAAATTCTCCAAAAATGAGCAATCGTCACTATTTTGGTCTCAGCCACTCTATTTTATCATAATATCAAAGTACAAAATACCGGACTTCTCCTTTAATGAACTGTGCTACTTTCTGGCAGCACTTGAGTTTTTTCCTGCATATTTACTACTCTAATCTCAGATAATATCCATGATTGGCCAGTACTAACCCTAACCATGACCACTGCAGCCTAAACCTAAGTGCTTCCGTCCTTTACCGCTCAACGTGATGAATATTTGCCAATCACAGCACGCAGGGGGATCCATAAAGTGTCGTAGGAATGGGTGTGAAAAGCTTAATAGCTGCAGAATGACTATTCTCACCCAGGTCCAAACAGACACTCCAAAAATATAATGACAAACAATGTATGTGTTTCCCCGACTGAAGCTCTTGTTTTATGAGATAATATCAACCTCAATATAAAAAAGATAAGGGATTTTCTCCGCAGTCTATTAGTACTTCAACTTCAAAAAGCTGCAAGGCATTTCCCGCTGCTGTTATAAACTTTGCTGCAGTGAAATTGAGAACAAAGCGCAGTTCTGGAGGCATGCTTTTATGTCCATACTGTCACAATATACAATACACTCGATGAAATGCAGAGAAGCCCAAGCTGTTTTATGACTATATATCCACATCAACAATGCATTATTTAGTGAGATAACGGCTGAGATTTGGGGCTTTTAAAATCTCATTTTGTCTCCAGCTGTGTTTTGAAAACTCTGACAACAACACTGCCAATTAGAGCCTGGCCTCCTTACACGTTGCAACACTAAAAGCAAAGCTGCAATTATGTAGTTTGCTTATATGCTACCTTTTTTAGTAATGTTTTTAATTTTTTTGTGGTAGCATAGCTCACATCTGGGTTTCATTACAGCCACTGTGTTAACATGCACATCAATAATTTGACTTTACCAAGATGAGGGAAATATCAGATTACTGCACCTGCTGTGTAAACACTTTAACCAGGTTAGCTCATTAAAATCAGGCCTGACACTGGAGTAATGTAACCCAATTAAGACTTCCATTACCTATCAATATTTCACATTACTGCTGCATGTAATGTATCTGATTTGTTTTCCTGTTGGTTGTGTGCATGCATTACATAGCAGGTAAGGTCACAGGTCACTGAGTGAGCACGGTGCACAGCAGTTTTCCTGTACATTGACTGCAGCGTTAGCCGAAGTGGTAGACATATATGCAATTTAATTGACTCTAAAAACGAACACCAACAAAGTTAAAGGTAAGGTAAAGTTCCACTGATTGTCACACACCTGAATGTGTGAAATTTGTTCTCCACATTTGACCCATCCCGAGGGAGCGGTGAACAGCAGCGGTGCCGCGCCTGGGAATCATGTGGTGATCTAACCCCCCAATTCCAACCCCTGATGCTGAGTGCCAAGTAGGGAGGCAATGGGTCCCATTTTTATAGTCTTTGGTATGACCCAGCCGGAGATCGAACCCACGACCTCCCAGTCTCAGGGCGCACACTCTACCACAAGGCCACTGTTAAAGTACTGTAAAAGTTACACCTTTTCCTTCACTTGATTTGTGGCATCAATAAGATGTTTTCTGTGGGCGACCTGTTATTACTACCCACATTACAAGTTATTGGACAAATAATTATGTAATGGGCCTAACCGAATCAACTGACAAAACTAATATTAGCTAATATAAGACTTGTTTAGAGTGAAAAATGTACAGTAAGCCATGCCAGTGTGACAGGAGGTCAGCATTAGGGCTGTGATGATAAATCTGGACTGATATTCTGATGAAGCGATCAACATGTTGTACATATTGTCATCTTCAAGACATGCCTTTATGATGAAATTCCCGACATGTCTGTGTCACCACTAATGTTTAAGCATGTCTCCAGTGTGGCCTAGCATCAAGCAGACAACAGTAAGCAGCCAAGAAAAAGACAATGAGGATGCTTACTGATATCGTCTCGTATCAATTGCAGGCCCCTGAATTTAACTGAATCACATAGTGGCAGACTTTGTGATACCACCAAATATCGTATTGTTTTCCAAAGACTACATCATACGGTGATGAAACATGCGATTTACATCCCTCGTCAGCATGCACAATATCAGGACCCTGAAACTCCATCCATCCATGTTCATCTGCTTATCCAGGGCTGGGTCGCGGGTGCAGCAGGCCAAGCAAAGCATCCAGACGTCCATCTCCTTGGAAACACTTTCCAGCTCGGCCTGGGTGACCCCAAGGTGTTCCCATGCCAGATGAGATATATAATACCTCCAGCATGTTCTGGGTCTGCCTCCTACCATTTTGACCCTGAAACTGAAGAACCTACGTGAAATACAGCCATCAATTAAGTTTTCATTTACACGTGACATGTCAAAATGTGATAAAGGCCGATAAAGTATTGTCAACACATCTGACCTCACATAAAAGGATGTTGAGTGGCAAAGTTTTAAATCACATTTCACAAACTAACACCATTTATTGTGCCACAAATGTAGTTAAATATTCCACTAGGCCAACTAAGACTGTAACTTGTGGAAGTTAGGCTACATCTTGCCATGCTACAGTGACTTCCTGTTTACATAGTTGCTTGATTTTCATGGATTATACATCACCAAAGTCTGCTAGCTAAAGACAGCTTTAATGGTCCCACCTTATTTTGTAGTTCACCAGCTTGAAACAAGCTCAGTACTGGGAATTTAGAATGGATTTAACACACAAACCTATTAATGGATTTACAAATAAATGGTGCAACCCAATCCTGGTGAAACTGTATCACTTTAAACCGTGTCGACATGTCGACATGCTGAATATGACACTGATCTCTCTGTCGTACTTGTGCTAGTAAATCCAAGAGTGGGGTTAGGACGCTGCTGTAAGTGTGCAGGTAAACAGTCAATACACAGAGCAAACATCTGATGTGGACCTCAAACACATACTTCCATAAATCATTTGATGCTTCTTTACTATATGGAGAAATATTAAACACCAACATAACAAGTGGAAGCAGATATCTTGGTCTAGATATGACGAACTGCACTGGGAACACTGGTTATATAAAATGCCTTTGCTTATTACCCCCAGAGGCTAATTGTGCATGATTAGCTAATGGATTCTGGGCTCGAGGCATTCAATAAATACTCTGATGGAAAGTAGGTTTTATATTTTATTCCAAAACCTTCAAAATAAGTTTCAAGTTCAAGAAAGTAGAATAAGCTTAGACACAATGCAAAGCATCATATACAGACGGATAAAATACATTTTATATATTGCAGACAAGCCATGGTGGGTCTTACATATGTACAGTATGTATGTAAACTTTTATGTACAATCTTTTTTACATATACAAAAAGCCTTGTTTCTATTTTTCTTTGTATATATTTATATATATATATATATTTATATATATAGAGATTTTTCATATACTCCCCACTAGCATTTGTACTACAATAATGAAAAAGAAAAACATTTACATATATGTCAATCCATTTTTTCTTTTTATATTACAAATGTATTTCCATAAAAATATATCTCTGTACAAAAAAAGTTTTTTATTCGTTAACATATTCTCTTTTCTTAGAGACACTTTCCCTCTATAGTTGCTCTCTGTAGTTACACACAGTCTGCTCAAGTCCATGTTTGTCCGTTTCTTTACAGGTAACCCTTTTGGTGTACAGCAAGACACTGACGCGGAGTCTCTGTCTTTTACTGTTTTGTTGTTTTGTTGAGGCGTTCAAGGGCCGTGTTGATCTCGCTTAGGCGCTATGGGTTGTCATGAGTTTTAGTCTCATTTAGAGGCTAGTTAAGAGATCTACTGGGCTGGCATGAAATAATGTCACGGAAAAGAAATAAATAAAACATGGGACCTTGTAATAACTCTGTTGCCATGTCAAAAATACAGGAATGTAAAGTCTCTGGTAATAAAAAGCATCTCTCTGTAAATATTTTTGCTGTATTATACTCTAGATAAATTGGACATTCTGTTTTTATCCCGAGGATGACACATTGTGGCAACTCATTTTTTCCATTACTGCACACAAACAGAGGAGCAGTTGTGGGATTACAGATATTGAACACAGTATAGATAGATAAATTCTGATGCACTCAGTGAAATGAAATACATTCAGTAGTTTTTCAATAATACCTCCAGTGATCTGATCCCAAATCATGGAACTACCAGTTCCCTCTTATCTCCATTTACAGAACAAAATTCATTTAAGCTCCGAATCTTTTTCAGAATACATCTCTTTACCCTCTCCTCCTTGCTCGAGTCCACTAGACACACCGAAATGGGCTGAATAGTGAAGGTAAATTGCATGGAATGGACCTGAAAGAAACACAGCAGTAAGTGTGGCTTTGTTGTAGCCGTCAATATGCGGTGACAATGGAAAATGGGAGATTACAAATGATAGCAGAATATGTCACACAGCATGATGGATGGATTGCTTAGTTTTCCGATACTTGTGGCCTGCGCTGAAATGTGAGAGCACTAGCTGCAGGAAGAAAAGGGAAGCTTTTGGTTTAGTCCCTGACTGTGAGAGAATTCAGTGAACTCGATGGGAACTCAAAGACCATTGCTGTTTCATTATAGAGGAGATGGTGAGCAGGAGAGAACTCAGAGCTGTCTCTGGCTGATAACGAAAATGAACCTTGGATGATTAGAGTTTCTGTCTTAAAATATGCAAAGAGAAACCAGGAAGTAGCCGGCCGCTATCAAGAAAGAGTCTCTTCAAACTCTTATAGCACGGCTCCATCCAGAACTCACTGATCTTCATTTTCATATAACTGTACTGCACTTTCTTTGAGAACTTTCGGGGCTCACCCAGACGTGTTAAGAAGAAAGTATTTCTATAGATGTAGCACCCATTAAGCGAAAACTCCCAATTCTGCAAAATTACCAGCATGAATTTTTGAGAATGTCTTGTTCCCCATTAAAAACTTTTATAGCTGGTGGAACTAAACGAAGCACATTAAGAACTGATGGAAACAATTTATCTGAATTTGTAATACTGCCTAATTCTGATTTGGTTAAATTTGAATCTCTTTCTTTGGTTGAAAAGGTAACTTTTTATAAACTTTTAGAAACACACACAACACAAACACTCACCCACACATGTAGGCAAGCACGTAAATCCACAACATTAGTCCTTGCACACTGAAATACAGTACTAATGAGCTCATCGCTCTTTTAGGAAAAGCAAAAAAGGGGCAAAAATTGATATGAAGTGATCCTAACGAGGTCAGTTTTTCCCTGTAAGATCAAAAACACAGGTGGAAAGAGCTTGCAGTTTCTTTCATAGGTATATGACTGTGTGTGTGGGTTAATCAAGATGAGCTGAAGAAAAGGACTTGACCAAAAAACAGAAAAAGGAGCTCAAATATCTGACATGAAAACATTTTAACCCCCCCAATCTTAGTAAAGAAACTACATCTGGAACTCCTGAACACAAAAACAAAGCCACTCGAGCTGGTTTATCATATCATGGGGTTTTACCAAGGCACTATAATGAACGTAAAGTGCTTATTGGAGACTGGAGGAGGTAAAGAACAAACAAACAAAAAAACATGAAAAGGTCTGGCCCTTTAAAACCATTTCTGAACTTGTTGAGACTGAGCCCTTGTTGGTAAAAACAATCATAGTTGTGAGCTTATGCTTCTGCATTATGTTTGTCTAAATCCACAGTCTTAATCTAGTCAAATAGAATCCTTTCCATCGAGGGAGTGGAGGGCATCATGTCCTACTGCACCAGCTAATCACATTTGTTTGTTTAATACTCAACACAGCTTAATAAAATGTTGTGTAAAGTGTGCTAAATGCTGCCATGGGAGTAATGAATGGAGGGGAAAGACCACTTCAAAGTGGCCTTAACAGAAACTAACTGGAATGTAATGAAGCTATCGACTGTGCTGAAATATTTGGAGCAATTTCAGAACAAAAAAACAAATGAAATGCACAACGCAGCAGCCACATAAAACTATGAGAACCAAGTAACAATGCCTTCAAGATAATGCGAGTGCAACTGCTCCTCTCCCCGTGAAATCTCCGGGGTAATTCAATCGTTTCCTTTTCCATCAATTCACGACCAGAGCAGGCAAGGGGCAATATTCTATCTGTACTGTCGAGATAAGCGAGAGCTTTAAAAGTAATAAAATTGTAAAAGCAATTACCGACCCACAGCGAAACTAATTGAAGGAACAATACAGTGATTGGTTTCAAAGGCCAGGAATTCTGAGGGAAATTATGTACTGTAGGTGACTTTAAAGACTTCATTAAAAAACCTGTTGGTATGGAGGTTGATTTTTGACTATGAGAACATATATAATGTATATGCTAATGTACCAAAACAAATCCATGCAGGTCAAATTTTCCTCCTAATGTCCCAAAAGAAAGAGCACATGGTAAATCAAGGAGCTATGGGTGTTTCAGACTGCCTTTTTTATCAGTCAAACACAACATAATTGAGGGTCTGTCCTGTCAGTGATATTGGTGAGGTGAATTCAGGATTCGATATGGGTTTGACAATGAAGCATGGCTAAATTAGAGCAAATTGCATGTAATGGCTCAATTTGCTGCAATGAAATTCGAGCACTATTCACCCTACTCAGCATCCACAGGATACACAGGTATGGGGATAGCAAGTGGTAAATATCTGGGAGCAGGGTGTTTGAAATCCAGTCGGTTTCCTTCATAGGACTCATACACATTTTACACACACGTTACAGGGGTCACAACAGTATTAATGCTTTAAATTCTCTCTTCTCATCAGGCATGTCATTCACCAGCCATGGTAGAGTCCTGCTGTTATAGCTGATGACAGCTCCCTCCTGCGTCGCTCCTTCAAAACTATATTTTCGGTATATCACTCCCCGGATGCCACAGATTTGAGGAGTATTAGCATTAGAGGCATAAACACTTTTTTTTCCTTATCACATTTATCATTTCCAATTTAATGCATGGGGGTAATCAGTATGCCAGCAGCTCCCCTGCTGTCACAGCTCTGAGGAAGCCTTCTGCAACATTTCCATGACGAGCGAAGCCAAAACAAAGCAACACTACTGTGTTTCAAAAAAAAAAAAAAAAAGGATGGAGCTGTCAGAAGTTAACTTGGAGGAAAAGGCCTGAATGTAATCCAGTGGGGAACACATCACTGACTCATCCATTCTTCAGACTCAAGCGCCTTGAGTTGTACATTTTCGAGGGAGTTCAAACATGACCACACTTTGATCTTTCGCTTTCCTAGGGCCAAGTTTAGGGAGCTCATACTGCAACTTGATCTCAGAGAAAATACAGTACGCACCACCTTTGAGCTGCAGAAACATGTGATCCAGGATTAAAAAAGAAAGTCAAAGCGGAGAATTTGACATCAGACTTGGAAAAAAACGAAAATGCGCCACACGTTGTAACTTGCTTGGTGCTACAGCTTTGTTCCGATTTTGAAAAATGAAGGAGGTAAAAAAAAAAATAAGGAGATGTGGTCCCAAGGCCTTTATATATCCATGGAAATATACTGCCGTCCCTACATTGACCGTGTCGATGTCTTTTTCTCCTCAAGCACCTCAGAGCGACAGTGGCAGGAAAGTCGTAACTGATGTTAACGTGAAGCAAGTTTGAGTGTTGCCTCATTTGACGTAGGTGCATCAGTTAGAGAGGTGGCTTTGTCTATCCACATTTTCTTTTCAGTCTCTCCCAGACACAAAAACATTTAGTGATTACACATGAATCACTGCAAACAAAGAGGAAGCGGATGAAAGCTGGAACTAGAGACCGACACTGCCTTTAGTTTTCTCAGTGGAGCTATACATTGTCAGCATTAAACCAAATCCCCACAGTACCTTAAACAATAAATAAATAAAATAAAATAAATTTGGAGAAATTTAAGCAACACATCTGTCGTGTGTCTGGTGGTAAATTTGGGGCCAAAACAGACAGGAGATATTTGGGGTAGATTGCGGATGCAGCTACCACATATATGCACACAGTCTCTCTCGCTCACATTTACACATTAATTCTTTCTACACCCTCACTAAGTGCTTTTCTTTCAGCAGCCCTAGCTACTTTTTAACCCCTGCTCCGGACACAGCTGCCTCAGCAAGCAGAATTTCATCCCTGCTTAAAAAGAAAAAGAAAGGGAGGACGAGAGTCGAGCTCAAAAAGTAATGACAGAATGTGTGTCTCCAACATGGCCTCCAAAACTTACTTAATTTTTAATTCATCCTCAGCCAGAGACTTGGGGCCACTGATGAAACCTTTCAGAAGCCTCGGGAGAAGACGGTTGGGGAAAAACAGGGTTCCCAATTACTCATCACAAAAAGCAAGCAGCGTATAAAGAGAGAACAACAACCCAAAAAAAAAAAATAATAAAAAAAGCAAATGAAAACAGAGTAGAGTGAATCGAAACAGTCCAGACTGTCTCTCTTTGACTCACACAGGCCGAGACGGGGCTGTCCGCCGTACAGTTAACTTGCACAGAGATCTCTGTTAGCTACAGGTCAATTTCTTGACTTAAAGTTGACCATAAAATTCCCTTTGGGTTTAGGCGGAGGGCGGTGAGAAAAGTCATCACAGCGTTGCTTCCAGCGTTACTCCTGCCGGCTGTAGTTTCAGGTGGAAGCTTTTCCTCGAAATATGGAAAATGATCAAGAAACCATGTAAAGTTACAAAAAGCATTTTGTTGTTGGCGTTTGTTACAGTCGGTGTTGTCTTCACATGGTTTCTTTTTTTTTTTCTCGCCTCCTGCAGGAAGGAGACTTTGCCACTGGAGATGTTTCTTGGATGTATTTCAGCGAATAAAATAATCTTTGTCTTGCCCTCTGCTCAAGGAACTATGGATGTCCTCTGTTGGCAGGCAGGCGAAGATGTGGTGCACTTCTCCTCCCCTGGCTGAATCAGGGATAAATGCATGGTTGGAAGGGGTGGATGGAGTGTGGGAAAGGGATAAGATACAAGAGGGTAGGAAAAGAAGAATAAGAAAAGGAAATATACAGAGAACAGCAAAAGATATTTAAAGGGAAAAAGACAAGAAATAAAGGTAAACAATAACCAAAGGAATGGATATAAAGATGAGTGAAATCACAGAGGAGAAAGAAAAAGCATTAAAGTCATACTTTCATCAGTGTCTAAACAAAAACAAATACATATTCTATCTTTTTCAATAAAATATAAATGAGCTAAACAAAATTCATTAATATGAGAGATACAGATCAAAGGAAATGCAGCAGACAAAAATCCAATTTTCTACCCTCAGAAAAATCTTGAGGGACGGTGTAAAAGCTTTAGTCTGCAACTGGATTCTGAGAATCTGTGTCTTGTTGCTTCAGCAGTTTTGACGCTTTGGGTGTGTGATTAGCTCAGGCTAGCCACAAGGTGGTAACTTCATCTACTTTCAGGATGCCTGAAAATCTAAGTCCCTCTGAGTCCTTCCTTTCTCATAAAGCCAGATGACCTGCCGGTGGTTGACTCTTACCTCTGGAGGAAGCAGTTGCTATACAGCTGTGCACACTGTGCTGACTGTGAACTCTGTCTCGTTGGCCATGATGTCAGTGGGTTGGATGTTGCGGTCATACATCGGGTTCTCAAACGTAGCTCGTCCGTTAGTGTTCTCATGGCCCACGTAACCGTTGAAGGGGACTTTGGGTCTTCTTCTAAAATGAAAAAAATCAGTCGGATAAACAGATCAGAGGTGGACAAAGTAGATCAAGTATACAGAAGAGAGATGTGTCATACTATGGATTAGGGCTACAACTAATGTTTATTCTCATTATTGATTCATCTATTGATTCTTTTATCAATTAATAAATTATTTGTTTAGTCTAAAAAACAACTTGGGGAAACATCAAAGGTCTAGTTTTGCCTGACAAACAGCACAAAACTCAAAATACTAAATGACGAAAAAAAAAAAAAAGATCGGCATACAAACACATTTGAGGAGCTGGGAGCAGTAAATGTTTGGCATTTTTGCTGAATAAGTGACTTCTATGATTAATCCACTGTCTATATTTTGCTAATTAACTATTGGTTTGTCAACTGATTGATTGATTGACTAATTGCTTCAACATTAACAAGGATTTGGCTACACTGATTTGCTCTGGTACAGCAGCGAGTGTAGGTGTCACATCAGCACTGCTCATTAACACAGATGATGGTTTTCTCCTTTTGAGGTCAACATGTGCTTTAGTGGATTAAAAAAATCCATACCAAGTTAATGTATTTCGAAGGGTGAATGCTAATGTATCTGCACAAGGAATCAAGCACGATTCTTATCTGACAACAGCTAACTCTGCAGAGGCAAATTAAACCCTGACTAAAGATGCTTCCTTGTAAATATCAAGACCAAACGAATGGTATAATGTTGCTGTATTGTGGTGAAATATATCAATGGTGTGAACCTTACCTGTGTTTGTAGAGGTACAGAGCGAAGCCTGCAATGATCATGGCTATAAAAGGCACTAGGATGGCTGCCGCCACTGAACTGCTGTTCGACGCAAAGTTGTAGCCCGGGTTGTCTCTGCTGGGATCTAAACTCTCTGGAGGAAAGAAAGATAAGACATAGAGCCCTCACTTTAGCATTACTTCAGTACAATACGACTCCAGCAGCAGACATTGTAATTAAATCCCATAAATAACACAATTAAAAGAAACAAAAGGGAAATGATCCTCCTCACCTTCTGCCAAGAACTCGTGGTTAAAGTTTAAGGCAAATAAACACAAACAGTGGAACAATGAAATAAAAGGAACTGTAATGGCTGAGGAGGGCTGCCAGGAAGGCTCCACTTATACATAATAGACTGAGCAGACAAGTGACTTTTTTAAGTCTATTGCTAAGCTTTATTTTCATCCCCCCCCCCGGGAACGTCAAATGCCATTATCCTAACAATGACTCTTAATTACTGACATCAAAGGCCGACAGCTATTAAGTCATTTCAGATTCATTCTCTAATTTTTGGAGGTGTGTGTGTCTGCAACAGCAACAGTGGAGGAGTGACAGCCCACCTGTTTGCCACAGAATGCCAAAAAAGCTCCAATAAAGGACAAGTGACAAACAAGAAGGAATTCAATTAGTTGGTTCTGTGGCGTTTGCCAATCAACCCCCCGCTGCACGAGTGTGAGCACACAAACAGATGCACAAACGCACTTGCGCACTCCCAGTTACACCACCACTGAGTTAAAACAAAACAGGAGAAACCTCCACAAACTGAGCAGGATTATTTCCAAGACGTCCAACCAACCCCCCCATCTGCCTTTCTCATACACACTTAAACACACATACACATGGATGCCCTGGCAGCAGCCCAGCCCCTCTGTATTAATAAAGAGCTGTTTGCTCAATCAGTGCGCTGTGGCAGGGAGGAGGGGGGTGGGGGTGGGGGGTTCTGCACCTGCTGTTCAAGCACCTCTCTCATTACAGCAGATTTTCACATCCACTTTCACTACACTCACACAACTTTCAGCATGCATACACACACTTAATCTGTGTTAACACCAATTTCAAATCGGTCAGTTCCAAATCTGATCTATTTATGTACCTACACTTCTGCTCTTCAGTCTGTCTTGCAGCCAGTGTGGGACTGGCGATTCCAATCTGGGCTTTCTAAAAACGGCTAAATTCCTGTGAAATCTGTCGCCCTCACCAGCAGCGCAAGAAGGAGACGGCAAAAGCAGCAGCACAAGCGTTATCTCGTCAACTGTGTGCATGGATAAAATCTCTGTCACATGAAGAACGGGGAATAAAAAGCCTGAGTGTAGAGGATTAAAGCTTCATTTAAATGTAACTTTAGTTATAACTCACACAAACATGAGAGATTTGTCATTTCCTTCATGTATACCATGCTAACCTAAACACCGTGTGCCACAGGGACTTAGTGGGAGGATAAGATTGTCAAGGCAAAATGAAAAATGACATTTTTTAATTAACCACCGCTGATGGCTGATGAAGGGTCTCATACACATGAGCACATATTCAATCTAATGTATATCAGATTAGCCTGCAATCTTGTGTGTCCACTCAGGAGTGAGATTAAGTCCAACGTTTGGGGTTTCATATAAAAACTTTAGATTGATGATGAAGGTGGAGGAGAAATGATGTTTAACATCCAAAGCAGATTTGCAGCTAATGTTTTACACAGACCAATTAGCATGTTTTCTCAGTCCAAAAATACCATGCATGTCTTTAACTGGATTGTAACAGTGGGTGGCAGCAGTAAACCAATGTTTTGAACAAGCCAAAATGAAACAAGAAGAAGAAAATCCTTTTAAATGTTTGTCAAAAATCCAGCTATTAAAATGCACCAATTAGAATGCACATAAGTAGATAGAGCCGCACATGTTCTGGATATCATATGTGTCCCTCCCATGTGTGCCTTATTTAGTTCAAGACAGAAGACTGAGGAGTGTTTGCAGCTGCAGGTGCATCAAACCATGAAGATGAAAAATAAATAAATCTCACACACACATCCGCTTGACTGCAGCAGCCATTCACATCCATGGAGTCAGGATGTAAGGATTTGCGGGATACAAACAGTAGCGAGGAGAATCATATGGGTGGGATTTCTAGGTCACAAACATGAAGCAGAATATATGGGTAGCAGCAGCCTTTGGAAAAAAAATGTTCTAGATCTATGACAGCATAGCTGAAGTCGCTGAGGGAACTTACGGAATGACACACAGCAAAGAATTGGTGATATTTAATCCATCAAAACTTTGAGATGTGGGGTTACTTGCTTTGGCAAAGACTCCACAGGCATCGACACAGACTCCATAAGGACAGAGTTTGTGTAGCTGTGTTGTGTGCGCATGTACAATGTGTGCGTGTGTCGTTTTCTGACGATTATATCAAGTTTGTGAACTGTGTTTGCCGCCTCACAGCCACATTTCCCAAAAGTGTTTGCATATTTGTAAATGTAAATAAATGATAAATCCATTACAGGAAATGACACGCTGGGGAAGCACTTGCAGCTAAGCTTAAGGACGCTACAGGTATTTTAAGTGAAAGATTTCTGTGATAGAAATCCAGACAGAAAAAAAAGACATACAGTCTTCCCTCAGGAGACCATTTGGTCACAGTGGTTTCTATAACCGAGTGGACAGCTCACTCACCCAGTCTCTGGAGACCAAATTGGCCAAAGCCTTTTCCTCTGACAAATCCCTGGTACACAAAGGAGTTGGATGAAGAGATGTAGGACACCTAGGGAGAGAGAGGAACAGAAGACAGACACTTTATGTGTCACATCCAGGCTTTACAAAGGAGGGAATCATCAAAGTGTCAGCAGCTGGTGCACACAGAAAATGAAATATCATGTCAAAGGAGCTGAGAGGCGCTCTTACAGCTGACATTTAATATGACGTTTTTCTGCTCAGGAGCACAAACGTAAACACACTCACACACATAAGCATGTTACACAAGAGGAATACTCCACTTTGCGCAACATACTTGTGCGTAAACACTCAAGTGCTTTGAGGCTTGTGAAATATGCACATAAAAAAACCCACACAGTGGCACACACACACACACACACACACACATTGTGACCTGCTTTTTTAATTATATCTGGAGTGGGTGTGCATTAGAGGTGCCTGCGGTTGGGGGATAATGTGGGAGAGAGGAGTGGAGGGGGTCTGTCGAGTCCTGATTACCAGGCAATGATTTAACTGACATTTTAATTAAAGAGAAAACTCTTGGTGGGCCCTCCATCTCCCCAGAGTGACAAGGTTAGTGTGTACGTGTGCTCGTGCATATTTCACGGTAAAGGTGTGTGTGTGTCTGCGTGTGTGTGAGTGTGATGTTACATATCTGCAGGTATAAAGAGAGCTGCTGACCCTGGATCTGAACTTACATGTCCATCCAGGGCCCAGTTGTCTATTTTGAACTTGTTGACAAAGATCTCCACAGGGCCTCTGATCTGGTGGACCTGTAGCAGCAGCTGAGCTTCCTCCTTCTTGTATGTACCTGCAAGGGAAAAAAAAAGTTGACAGTTATTTGGAGCAACAATTCCACTGAGACTAAGTGAAAAGGATCATGTGATACAGATATGTGACACAAGCAGCCTTTTTTGTTATCTGTAACAGAAAGTCTTACTGCAGTCTTGATTCAAACTCAAATACAAGAATAATTTCAGCTGCAAAATAAGCAGAGAAATTCCAGAGAACATGTAGATTGGGTTCATTTATTAGTAACGTCCATAGACTAAATGCAAAGACAGACAATGCCCGATACAGCCACTACCACGTTTCGCTAGTGTCGTTATTGGAGCCACAGCCTGCACAGTAGTGATCAGGAAGTGGAGCCATGGTATCGAGTTCCCGCCCATATACCTGTCCAAGCCAATGACGAGCAACAGTGAAACATACAGCTGTCAATCATGACGCCACACCCCCTTTTTATAGCATCAAATAACTAATTAAAACAAATTATGTCAGACTAGTGAACACTTGAACATGCATTAGCATGATAAGAACAACCTAGAATGACAGAAACCATCTTGGGAAAATTAATTTGACTTGTACTTGAATGGTTTAAGTTCAGCCCATGTCCCATCCGCTGACACTGAGGGGGCGGGGTTTACGACCTCCACTACAACTACGACGTTTCGGCTTTACTTGTGGGGAGCTGTCATCGCATTTTACCTTATGGCCTCCCCATGTTTGCTAACTTCAGTAGCACTTTGCTAATAACTATCACAAGAGACAACTAAGGACTAACCTTGTGGACTTACAAGGCAAAATAAAAAGGATGATGAATGATGCCAAGTGACCAAAACTGTATAATAAATATACTTCATTTAATTAGTTTATTTACTAAATGAAACAGCATGTCATCCAGTGCAAGAGTGTGACTCACTGATGTGTTTTTAAGAGTTGTTGGACAAGGGTGGGGCTCTGTGGCACAGAGGAATGAGATATGTCTACACAGGGAATCCTTGTGAGTAGGATCCATCCCTTGTGGTTTTGGTCTTCACATCCACATTTACACAACTATAGAGTATAATGAGACATCCTTTAAATATAAAAATCTGATCTGAAACCATTGCTGTATTCATAAAATAAATTTGGGGGTGGGGGGGGGGGGCTTTGATGTGAAGATTTGTACTGACTGACCTTACAGTAATGCAATGTAATTTGTATATTGTATGAACACAAGAATTATCTAGAAGTCTGATCCAGCCATGTTACTTTCACTATAGAATGTGGCAATTTGTAGCTGCAGAAAATAATTTTTACTGCAGTGTGATAAAGATTGATAGCACCCAGGTACAGAGGAGTGAAGTGTCCAAGCCGTTACGGATGCAAATTTGTGTCTTAATGATCACAGCTGCACGGTGATTATGCCACAGGGAGGAAAAAGAATAAAATGTCTGCTGTTCAGTAACGGCAGCAATGATCTACTCCATGCAGGGACCACACTGTTTTCTTGTTCTTGTCTTCACCGGAATTTATCTGACACTGTCTGTTTGGATAAAACCCAACACAGTGGGTCTCTGGTATAATGAAGTCATGCGTGATTGTGTGAGAGTTTTTTTTTTCAAGGTCTTGACAGTGACTTCTGCTACTGGTGTACCAACCGGCCAGTTTGAGTTCCACTCCGCTGTGATCGATGAGTGTCCCGTTGACCCGGTTGCTGACGGGTTCAAAGGCAGTGATGCTGAGCATGGCTGGCTGCTTCTTCCCCAAATACTCATAGGATCCCCTCCAGAGAGAGTTTTTAGCGAATACACCACCAGGGACTGAAAGGGGCAAAAAGTTGAGATAGGTGTGGAAAAGAAAAGTAGAGATGAGATTTTGTCAACAGAAAAAGTACCATGTGCCAGGTGACCTCACTGGTTAGAATACCATCAAGATGAGGAGCGGATCAAGGATCAAGGTCTCGGGGAGCATAAATGGTAAACATTATAACAAAACACTAAGTCACAAATAAGTTATTAACTAAATAATTAGAAAAGGTGAGCTGTGCGGTGTGCAGTCAACAATAAAATCGAGGAGGAGATAACCAGTGAAGTCAGAATATAACTGAATGTGTTAACATTACATAGCCTACAATGCTACATGTAGCAGCATGCTAACATCAGGGAAACATTTGATTGATGATGCTGATGTTGCTAATTTCTCCCTTACTTTAGATCATATTACTGCTGGAGCATGTCCACCTGTGTTTAGAAGATTTTTAATGGTGATTTTTAATGTTAGAAAATGCCGCTGTACACTGTCATTCTCTGACTGCAAGTACAATGCTACATGTAGCAACATGCTAACATCAGGGAAACATTTGATTGTGGTTGCTGATGTTGTTCATTTCTCCCTTATTTTAGATCATATTACTGCTGGAGCATGTCCACTTGTGTTTAGAAGATTTTATTGGGGATTTTTAATGTTAGAAAATGCTGCTGTACACTGTCATTCTCTGACTGCAAGTACAATGCTACAGTAAGCTACATGCTACTGTCGGGGAAACTAGTGATTTTGGTTGCTGATGTTGTTAATTTCTTGACCATTTCTTGATTGGAAAATGTCCAGTTGTGTTGATCATTCCTCAGCTGCAATAATGGTACAGAGTTGCTAAGATAGGAAGACCTCAAACACTGACCAATCAGAGCAGACTGGGCTTTTTTGGGAGGGGGGCTTAAAGTGACAGGTGCTTAACTGGAGCGTCTCAGACAGAGGGTGAATACAGGTGTTCCAGCATAGATAGTATTAGGAATATAAATTGTTTTTTGATGATTAAAGCATGTTAAGGTGTTCTGGTAGAAACTCAAAATACAAGTGTGTAACTCAAACAAGCATAGTAGTTCCCCTTTAAACTTTTTTTTTTTTGTGATAAGGGTCCCCATCCACTATACAGAAGTAAAATCTAAACCATCTTCAGATTCCCACTGAGAATCATAAACAAACCAAATACAGACATTTTAAATAAATTAATGAAAGCATCTTATAATACAAGAAGAACCTGTCCTACCTGGTAATTTGGAGGGTGGCTCCTGCACTGTCCCCACTGGGCTCTTACCACTTGGGCGATTATCAGCTGAAGAGCACAACAAAACAGAATTAAGTGAAAAAATAATTTACAAGTTTTTCCATTAAACAGGTACAGTGTACGCCTCAGGATGTGAAAAAAGAAGAAACAATTTCCTCTTTTAACTGCCCTAGGGGTGATTGCAACAGGTGAATGTCACTATCAGCACTTCCTACCAACCTCCACGACTAATAACCACTGTGGCGGACAGAGTGAGGGCTGCCTGCGACAGGACTTGACTCATGCGTCAAAGAGCAGCCTGGATGTCCCTGCGGGGCTAAGGCTAAGTCAGAGACACAGTTTCACTGCTTCAAGGGAAGCACTTTAATAATGCCTTACTGCTCACGGGGGGCCGCAGGACTACACCACAGTAGTAAACATACACCCACACAGGCAAACAGAGCAAAGAGGGCTTTACACGCAACTACAAACAAAGACAGGTATACTGATGGTAGTTTATGAGCACAAACAACACCTCGGATAAATGTATACAGACACAAACACATGCACACACACACTCTCCCACAGCCTTGTACTTTATATGCTGCCAGTCTTTTGAGCTTCCCTTCCATCACTGCGCCCACAGGCACTGTTAATATCCTGTATGTGCTAAGGCCAGTCCTCTTTCTTTCCTTCACTCTTAATGGCATGGCCTTAAAAATACCCATCACCCTCTATACTTCAGCAACGGCTCGGCATGGAATCCATCACTCGCCTGCCCCCCTCTAGTATGTCTTTCTCTTAAAGCTATTAACATTCGTCTACCCTAGATAATTGTGTGTCGATGACTCTATTTTTTTCCTATATGTATTTAGGCCAATGCTTGGGGGTATCTTAATCGCACTCTATTTGTCTGCTAGACCTTGTTAACACTGCCTCACCATTTATAAGAGGTACTTCGGCTAACCTAATCAATGGGATGCATTGGCCTAATCAGGTTCTGCACCCTTGTTAATGTTTTAAAGCTTGTGTGTGCATTTGAGTGTGTGTGTGTAATTCCATGCTGTGTAATTGTGTGATGGATGGACCATCCTACCCTGGCATGTGTCTGAGAATAAGCAAGTGTTAACACAGCTATTCATCAACATTAGCTGAATCCCCAATTTCCCAACCCGAGTCACCGCTGGATCCCACGTCGCTACACACCCCAGTGGTTTCAACAGAGACTGCTAATGGAAATTGTGCATTACAAATATGAGGTGAAGTGTTTTAAGTGTTTAATATATTATGTGTGTGTCCCTGGGAAAGTGGATGGCCATGTGCACACAGCTGTAGACACCTATGTGTTGGCATTTACTCTGATCATGTAAAGCCCCTTTCACACATGCACTGCCAACCTGAAATCTAGACATTACCCACAGGAGATGTAAGTGAGGATGCAAATGTCCAAATCAGTTGGATTGGACATTAAATAAACTTTACTCTACGAACAGAGCACGTCATTTTCTGGGCAATTCACAAGCCAGTGAGCGGGTTGCAGATGCTTCCATTATGCAGCTTATGCGAAACAGAGGAAAGCAAACATCCGAGTGTGAAGACGAAGGGTCATTTACACAAAGATGGAAACAAAATTGTCTAACTAGAGATGACAAAATTCCGGAACCTCTGTCAGGAAAAGCAAGAGACTTGGTTGGCTATGTGTATGGTGTAATCCATGTCCTGCCTCCTGCACGCTCTACCCAAGCACCACCCCTCGCCTAAATCAAAGGGAGTATTTCCAATAGGTGAGCATGCTTCTTACACATATAATCTCCTGTTGCGTGACAGACGTGTGAAAAGGAAACTCTGGACAATGTCTGGACCTAATTCTTCAGACACTGTCCGAAGTTCATGTGAGAAGATTGCAGAAATTTAGCAGCTCCAGCAAAAAGGGTGCACGTGTGTGTCCCTGTATTGACAAATTTAATATCAGGTAATTCTCCATGTTCTCTTATGGATGTTTTGTAACCATGTTTATACCTGCACAGAGAGGAGGTTTCCCTGTCCAGCTCCCATCCGATCTGCAGGTCCTATGCTCTGATCCTCCAGCCAAGTAGAAGCCAGGCTGACATGTATAGATCAGCGTGTAGCCAAGGGATGGCAGTTCAATGGCTCTCACATCAGACTGGGCTGGCAGCTCGGGCTGGCTGCAGTGGTGGGCTGGAGGAAGAGAGGGAGAGAAGGATTAAAGAGGGCAAAGAAGAAGCGAGTGAGAGACACGGTTAAAGTTGGGGTGAGGAGATGAATGGGGAGAGGGATAAGAGAAGCAAGAGATAAGAAAGAAACCGTGTATATGGTGGAGGAGAGAAAGTAAAAACGAGAGCCAAGGCGGAGGTGTGGGGTCAAGACAGAATATATGGCACATGTGGGCGTCAGACTTGCTCAAACGTGCTCAAGGTTAAGTTTTCCACTTAACAATACATATATTTTTGCAATATTCCAAGAGTATGTACTCACCAATGCACTCAGGTTGAAAACCACTCCAAGTGAGGTTGGGCAGACAAGTGCGAGAAATGGAGCCCTGCAGTAGGTAACCCTTTCTACAGCTGAAGAACACAGTGCCGCTGATCTGTAGGAGGACGCAGGGGAGTGTGTAAAGATGTGGAGTGGACAATGAGCACACATGTTCACAAAAATGGGCAGGTTTTGCAGAAAGAATAGGCCGTTTGATTTAATCAAGCTGTTAAAATCAATTGTTTTGGGGGTTGTTAGTCCAAAGATCGTCCAAATCGCCTTTGTTGTTAAATACATTTCTCTGTTAATTTTTAAATTTAACAGTAATTTGTTATTGACTTATTATGGCTTAGGAAGGAATGTTAATATTGTAATATGTAATATTTTTGTCCATTATGAAAAGGATCCTTTTCAAGAGAGAACTGTCAACATTTCATTACTTTAGTTTTATATCTCTGTCTATTGCTGAGCGGACACAACTCTCGAATAACTCAATAAATAATAACTTCACAAAAGAGCCCAGATGACGATCACAACATAAACATGCCTTATGGTATCAAAAGAAAGATGGTCTGAGCTGAGTGGTGCTGTATTTTCTTGTAACATCAATATTGAGGCATTGATTCAACCTTGAAGTTCACACTGTGGCAAAATGTAAGGTACAGTAATAAAGAAATAAATACACATTAGAGAACGTAGATTGAAAAAAAAAAAAAAACAACTTTCAGGCTTTAATGAAAGGTTACGAATGATTTTTCCGTTCAATACATGAATTTAATTTCCTGTGTGACCATATATTCACACCTGGTAGCCTTGGCTGTTGTTCTGGTTTCCAAAGAGAGGAGTGCCAGGGTCTCCGCAGGTAGTGTGAGTGGGATCTGAAACACACAGACACACACACAGACACACAGACACACAGACACACACACACACATCAATTCTGTGAGAACTACTTGATGTGAAACACTGACTGTTGGAGTGAAGGCCGTATATAACTGTAAGCAGAGAACAATATGCACAAACACACACACACACAAATCCTTCAGTCTTTTGTTAGTGATCTGAACCGACACTCAAGTGCCACTCAGAGCAGCTTGTAATACAATGACAGACGTCCTTATCAGTCCACACACACTGTTAATCAGTGAACAAACAATTTGTAAGTATGTGTTTCTGAACATAAACTCATACGTCTCACTAATCTTTTAGAAATACTTCACCCGCAAAATGACAATTAATATGCATTGAATTCAGTTATAAAAAATAGTTTTCTTTGTTTTCATCAAAAATGCAAACATTCTTGATGAACTGAATGGCTGCCTTTTACAACAACAAAACTATATCAAAACATCCTTTACAGAATCTCACACAACTTGTGCAGTATAATCCAAGTCATATTTATGCAGTTGTATGCTCAGTACTTCTCAAACACGCATCTTTTGTTAAAAGGTTTCAATTTAAAACACTTCTGCACAGTCAAATGCATGGACAATACACAATGTGTGATTCAACTCTAATGTCAAATGCGTGTGTGCGTGTGTTTGGGAAGTATATGAATAGTACATGAATAAATGAAACTTGGATTATACAGTACGATACGAGTAATGTGAGCTTTCATAAATGGATGGTTGGATATGGTTCCCCTGTTGTTAAATGTCAACCCCATTACGTTTCATTAAGAATATTTGCCTTTTTTGGAATCTTCATTCACTGTGGAGGTAGTATGTGAGGAAAACAACTTCAAAGTATGACTTTAAAAGTAACCCGCTGAGTCATATTCTCTCACAAATTCGCTCCCATCATTGTATCTTAGTTCAAGAGGCTAAAGGCCAGTGCCAAAAGTTAAATGTCTCATCTGTGAAAATGGATGAAACTTTTCATTTACAAGAGGTTTCTATCAGTCTCAGGGCAGCTTGTGTCAAATCTAGAAGTTGAACAGAAAGCCATAAGAGGTCGATCTCTCCAGTGAATTTATAGCCACTAAGAGGTGCTACAAAATATGATGTAAAGCGATGTCAGTGGCAGCTTCATACTGTAAATGAACAACACAGGTTCTAGTTCTACTTGATTACATCTCACTAAATCTTAGTTTAACCTTTCCCACATGACAGGCACTGTGGTTTTTCAACAGTTGCTACACAAAGTGGCTGATAAATGATGCACAGGCAGGGGAGTTAATGGTGACTTTTGGCTAAAATGAATTACTGTTTACACTAACTGTTATTAGGTCAAAGGGTTGGCATATGTGCATATTTTACAGCACTTCAAATACCAATGTGGACCCAAGGGCTGGAACAATACGTTTTACTTTATTCGCAATTTGTTTCTGACCACAGCGTGATTTCCTTGAGTGCTTCTAACTGCAGCATCCAAATTTATACCTTGTGACTCAAATGGTATTACTCTTCCTTGTTTAAGAAAGTTTATTGCTTAGGGGATGTTTATTACTGCAGCGATGAATTTGTGATGACACAGGGACAAAACAAAAGCACAGTGTTTGATCCTGGGGCCCGTTTCTTAAAAAATATTTTGCAAGCACTGCTTTCATGCAGGTTGCAACGTCATGTTACACAAACGTTTGTCACTTGCTTGCAGGTTAAGTTTTGCTCACGCTTGGGTCACAAGCGTGGTGTTTGCTTTAATTAGTTAAACATGTTAAAAATAACAGGAGAGGAATGGCTCTCATGTTGCAAATCACAGCTTGCACATTGCAAATTTGGTGAAACGGCCCCTGGTGCAGTCTTGCATTGCCACCTACAGCACACTTTCTCTGCATTATGTGTACAACCACGCTTATTCTGAAATAGGTGAAAGTAATGTTCAGGGTTGGTTTAATTAATTACACCAATCAGAGTGAAAAAACAGAATCAATATAGCTTGTTAGCTAGGTCAAATGGTTTTTTGCATACATTATTCCTTAATTGCAAATAGCATTTGGGACTGCAGGGGAGAATACGAGACAGCACACAGTAAGCCTGCCAACAGGAGGCTTCTCTCACACTGATAGCAGTGTTACAGCTCTATGGAAAAATAAAGACATACAGTACTCAATGTTCTGTGCTCTGGTTATAGAACAAGGCCACAGGGCAGCAAACCACAGCCAACTACCACCATACGCCACATACATGTATGTCTTTGCTTTGATTATTACATCAAGTGCTGTCGGAAGCTTGGCAGTGCTGAGAACCAGCTGTAAGCTTCAGCTAAAGTCGGCACAAAGGTGTCATCACCAATAGCCCTTAAATAGGAATTGTGCAAATTTGCAGGGAAAGCCCAATCAGTCTTCTTTCAGCATTGGCAGTATAAACCAAAATCAGCGAGTACAGCAAAATGCCGCCTGCCTACTTTTGTTTATACAGAATGTGCCTTTTTCGGGGCAATGAGCAAGTAACAAAACGTGTAGCTCAGTGTGTGACGTAAACAGTGATGTAGAAGGGAAGCCGCGGCTGGTCAGTCCTTCGGCGATTCTCTCATAAGTCGGCCTGTTCTTCACCGTTCCCGTCATCTGACGGTTAATGGCCTCTTCGTTTGCGAGGGCAAGGAGGGTGCGCAATTCCTTGTCTCCCCAGTTGCTCATCTTTACAGTGTCTGTCAGGTTTGCGTTTCCCTCTTGCTACTAGCTGCTTGCAAATTCCTGCTATCAGCTGTTTCCTGTTTATCCGCCGCTAGTGGGTTGAACGTGCAGCGTCATCAACAGCTCCTCCCACAAGTCATCAACAGCCCCTCCCGTGGCGGAAGGGCACCTCGTTCTTTTTAAACCAAAAAGGTTCTGCCAATATGTCTACCCTACGAGGCGGAAAACTGGGCTCTTCGGATCAACTCGCCAATCCAGCTCTGTGTGTCTAAACGCTCGCAGCTTGCCGGCAAAACATTTGCTGAAAATCTGGCAGTGTAAAAGGGGCTAATGATTGCCTTGAATTTCTTGTATTTATCACACTGATTCTATTCGTTGTCTCACACTGATGGACTTTTTATGTATTGTGTTTTTTATGGGATGTTTTTGCTGTTCTTACTTTGTTTTTTGTCTACCTGCCCAGGGATAACAGATGCAAATTAGCTGCTAGCTAACTTTGGCACAATTACTTTTAATTGTGTGCTGCTGCGGCAAAACTAAACAACAAAATAAAGAAGGTATTCTAACATATTTAATATGTCAGACAATGCCATAAATGGAGGAATGAAGCTTACCTATGCAAGAGGGTTGTGTGCCACTCCAGGTGCCGTCGTATTGACAATATCTCCTGGTAGAGCCCACCAGGACGAGGGGAGGGTAACAGGAGAAGGAGACAGAGGAGAGATAGGTGAATCCACGGTCCTCCCTCCTCCCCTGAGCTGGCATCCCTGGGTCTCCACAGAAAACAGCTGCAAAGATAAAGGAGGAGGGAGGACAGAGAGAAACGGGGATGTCAAGTGACCTACTAATCATGTTGTGTTTCATTCAATATTTCCCAAAAGGGGTCACGCAAGGGACGTACAGAAGTGCATACTTGGGTGGGAGAAATATCAGAAATGACATGTAACGTAATTAGGCATTCCAGCGTGGTGCCACTTACGGAAGCACTGGGGTTTCTCTCCACTCCAGTTGCCGTTGCCCTGACATGTTAACACAGTGGGCAGGGACAACTGGTAACCTTGGTTGCAAGAGTAGCTGATGCTGGAGCCCCAGGTGAAGTCTGTGCCGACTACCTGTCCATTAGGAATGACAGGTGGTGGACCGCATACGATCGCTGCAAGGAGACAAGGAGACATTGCAGGGCTTAATGGATTCTGTATGTGATGATTTCCAGAAGTATAGTTTTTTCGTCATTCGCTCTAGCCTTCCATAATCACCCCTTCCTTTGCTGTAGCCTATGCCATCATCTACATTTATCTCATCACTGTATTGTCATTCATGTAATCCTACACGACTTTACCTTTACACTGGGGTTTGGTGCCATTCCAGGTGCGGTCCTTGGTGCAGATAAGAGCCGAGGCGCGGTCAGCATCCATGGTGAAACCAGGAGAACACTGGAAACTCACTGTGTGGTTGTAGGTGAAATCATTGCCCAACCTCACCCCGTTGGCTGGCACTCCAGGGTCACCACAGTTGATAACTGCAGAAACAAGAAATAAGATAAAGACGTAAGAACTCATGAAAATTTGTGATATAACTCAAGAATAAAGACAAGCATAGTGTAACACATGAGGAAGTTTATTTGGATCAGACAACATAAAAAAATAAAACCCAAAGGAAGATTGATACAGCTCGCTATTTCATCACGTCTGAGTCATGTTATACGATTATTTAGTTTGTTTGACGTTGATTGTACTCGTTAAAGCAGGAGATCAATGTCACATAGTCAGGATGTAATACAAGCAAGTAAACAAACTATTTAACATACACACTGAATGGAGCCTCAGAGTTAATGAACTGTTTTATGCACTTGACACAAGCAGTTCACCTCACAAACAAAACTTAACAATCTAAAAAGCAACACAGACGATGTGTCTTCATAGATAATTAGCGCTTCATTCATTAACGGACGACCACTTTTGGATGATTTATTTATTCTATGTATGTGCTTAAAAATATTACTTCAATCACCATCACTGATAGTGTACCTTCATGTGTTTTATCTGAAAGAACTGTCCTTGTGCTTTGATTATCTCCAGTTCAGAGCTTTTAGGGGTGCAGAGAGACAGAATCTTGTGATGGGTATCCCTCTACAGTCGCTCCCCAAAGCCCCGAAATGAACCACATTTCTCCTTGATTATACTTTTACATCCTGTGGGGAAAATAGCGTGATGGAGTAACAACAGTGAGAATTTCACTGTGTGACTCAGCAGCGTCGATGCTCAGCTCTGCTGCAAATATCTGAGATAGAGGGAGCCAGGGCACAGAAGGACAACGTGCGCTAAATTGCCATGGGACAGAAAGAGGAATTATTAAATGCATATGACCAACATTCCAACAAAATTCCCAGTAGAGTGAGGAAACTGGGCCTTTCAGAGTGTCTCCCCATGACTGAGCAAGCACTTACATTTCCCACAGGGCTGGTAAGAGTGTGTCGCTGGGAGCCATAATGTCTATCTAGGTCTGTGTACCCTGTAACAATATCTACTGTAAAGGACAGACGTACAGTGAGATCATTTCTCCTCTTGCATACCAGTATTCTTAGATTGTCACTTACAGACAGTCTGCTGCTTTGGTACCCGATACTGTTGACAAATATTTTTTTAAATCAATGTAAACTCCAGTTGGAGTAACTGTACATTCAAACCAACAGCGACCAGAGCTTCCAAAATGGCGGAAGTCATTCATTTTCAATGAGAGCCCGGTGACTTGGGCAACCTGGCCGACCTGGTCGTCAGCCGTGTGTCTTGGGCGGCCAAAGCGCCTGGAGTGGGTCCGGAGGGGAGTTAAAACTCGTTTTACTTTATGGTAATGAGCTCTCACGCGGTTCAGCGACAACCAATCGGAATGCTGGCGTGCTTCCATGAAGCAGGTCCCAGAGAACAAGCCATGTAACTTTGGTTCCTATAGTTCCTAGAATGGATATTGAGAAATTGATTACTTGCGTTTGCGCCCACTCAGTCCTTTATAATGTGTCGCTGTTGGGTTACAGAGACCAAAATAAAAAGAATGAGGCTTGGTTGGTCTGGTGAGTTTTAAAGAGTGTAATGTTAGTAATAGAGGAGAGAATTGCAGGCTAATGTTGCAACGTAGCATGCAAGTCTTCCTTGCTTGATTTGAATGGGATATTTCTATTTCTGTTTTCACTGACCAAACTTTCTGTAGGCCAACTATGAGCTTTTTGACTGGACAATAGCAAGCAGCAACTATACTGCTTTCAAGCCAGTAGTCTGCTTTGCGGCTCCTTTAAATTGACAAGCACGATCGAATGTTCAATGATTCACATGATGAGCGACTAGAGCAACCAAAACTACCACAAATATTTTTGACAGTCGTGCTTCTTGGACATCCGCGAGAGACTTTGCCTCTTTGAAAGCTCCTGCTTTGAACGTACAGTTAGTATGTTACAGCTAAAACAGAGAAAGGAGACTACCAACACTGCCAACTCTGTCAGGTAAATCTCTTTTTATCATACACTGTTCATGAGATCCAAAGAAATCATTCAACCATAAGTGGTCCTATTCACATGCCCTTCCTTTGCTAAAGATGTTCTATAGCAGTGCGTCAACATGTACCCTTTCACTGCGATAAATGACTGAGTTCTGAAATCCATAATGGTGCTGTTTAAGGTTTATCCTCTCCATTCAGAAGAAAGTGGTTCTCTTGGTGACCTCTATTTGCCAGGGTCTCTCTGCTCTGTACAGCAGCTGTGTGTCTTTTGTGAGGCATGATGATAAAGGGCTGTCAGTCAGGTCTGTGCCATCTGAGAAGACCTAAAACTAATTTTTTTCATACAGAGCCAGGGATCCATGATTCATCCATATTATAAAAGAAAAATCTGCTGTTACAATAATGATTTCTATGTTTTCCTCCATTCCGTACATAGTATTACCTATTACTGTACACCCCTCCTCTGCAAGGTCTGGATATGTACTCTTCTGTTGTCAGAACCATTCATCAATTTGCAAAGTGTAAACTACTAGTAAAAAAAAACACAAGAGGCCACCAAGGAGACAACTCAAAAAATAAATGTGTATAAGCAAAGGAGAAAGAAAAGCATTCACAACTGAATTTCAATTTAAATATGGCCAAGAAATAAGCACTGTAAGCAGATACACATAGACTCCTTCTCTATGAGCGCTGTTAATTACCAGAGCACTCGGGCATGTTGCCGGTCCATGTCCCGTTAACAGTGCAGTGTCGGGTAAGCAGGCCAGTGGAGTAGTAGCCCTCCCTGCAAGCGTAAGTTATGGATCTGGAGAACGTTAAACCATCGTGGATCAGGATCTGGGAATTCCGTGGAGTTCCCGGGTTGCCACAGGAGATCACTGAAAACAGGTAAGAAAAAGAGAGAGATTAGGTTATGATTATTTACTTCCTAAATCCTGAGCAACTAAAGGAGTTGGTGTAAGTTAGTGGTGCTGTGGGTGGTGCTCTGTAAACTAAACAAATGTAGGCTGGTTTTCCACTATATTTCTTTCATACTGCATGATATGTCTGATATGAGTTCCTCACTTGGTTTATTTGCTCTTTCCCTCTGTTCTTCATCCGCCCACCCTACCACCACGCTCATCTTCCCCTGTGTCCTACTTCATAAGTAACTCTGCTTTGATGGACACATCCTTTGCTCACAAAGTCCCTTGGTGTCTGTCCGGCCGCCAGCACTGGTTCTGTTCATTACAGTCTCCAGCTTGCCCCGGGCCCTCAGAGCCCCGTGGGCTTCGCCCTCCCGTAATGACCAGATGTGGCCTGGCCCTTGAAGTCTGTGCCAACCGAGAACAGGTGGGCAACCTCAGCTAGTGGGCATACCACACAGCAGAGAGGGAAAGAGACAGAGTAATGTGAGGGAGAGAGGTGGTGATGGTGGTGGTTTGTGTGTGTGTAGGGGGTGTTAAGAGCACAGGTGAAAAACAGCCTGGCAGACAGGATGAAGGAAATGAAACACTCAAGGATGAGAGAATAGAAGGGGTTGTGTGTTCATGGAGAGTAAGAAAAGAACAGAAAAAATAAAAATAAAAGTGCAGCTAGAACTTAACTGCAACTCCAAGTTTGTGGATAATTTTATTATTTTAGTGTTGCTGGGGCATGAGTAAAGCCCCTTGGACACACCCTGTCTGCTGTTCATGCAGCATAAAAATGTAGGTTAACACACAGTCATGAATAAAGACCCAAAACAAAAATACAAAATATAAAGTTGATATGAATCCTTATATCAAAGGAAAATGGAAAAGAAACATCATCAAGCTTAATTCAACACATTAAAGTGCTTGCAAAAAGTTCCTTAACAACCTCTTTCTATTTTACTCTGTCTGACAGCAGAAAAAGAAGTGCACTCTGTAGTCTTTTCACTGTTTGTAATGTCTTTGTCCTTTCTCTGCAATAATAATGAATAGTGTAAGGCCTTAAGACCCAGATCGATCGGACGCTACACATTCAGAGAATCTGCTTTTTCAGGTGTCAGCAGCAGACTGGATGCATTGTTGCACAAGGAAAATAAATAAATAAAAGCCTTATGGTGTTTAATCAATAGAGAAAGCATTCTCTGTTATGTCCCCCATTCTCTCTTGCTCAATCACTGTTTTACATTATTGCAAACACACACAAAACACATGCAAATTTGTGATGTGCCTTTCATTCAATTTGCAAAGGCAGCAGCTAATTACACAATCAGTGACTACAGTACACGCCACAGTCTATGGCTTAAAATGCGCAATTCAGTAGTGTGGTTTGTTGATGTGGAGGCTCTGAAAAGACATCAAAATGTTGAGGTGATTAAATATAAATACTCATTAGTAAAGTTACTGCATTCTAAAATGTTCACTTAAGCCACAATGAACTCCAATTAAGAGAAATTATTTGGGTGTCTATTACCACTGAAATTATACAAAGGTTTGTAAAACAAATACAGTGGGAGTAATTAAACGAACTTCTGAGGAAAGGAAGAAGAAAGAGAAAAAAAGATACACTAAAGAACAGACAGCTTAAAGGAAATACTGGTTACTGGAATAAATGTCTTATTCATGTCCATACTGCGCTGGAAGTTCAGTGAACATCAGCTTCAGTTACTGCACAATCATAACCCAACAGCTGGCCTGTTTCATGTGTTACTAGATGGTCAAATATTGTGTTCATCCATCACTGCTCCTAAGACGTCTCTCAAACCATCCATCCATTCATTTTCCACCAGTTATCCAGATTGAGGTTGCGGTGCTAGCAAGTTAATCAGCAGCTCACACATGACTTTCCCCAGCAATGTCCTCCAGCTCCTCATAAGGAATCCTGAGGTGTTCCCAGGCCAGATGGGATATGTAATCCCGCCGTAGTCTTCTGGGTGTGCTCTGAGGTCTCCAGTTGGACATGTCCAGAATACTCCCACAGTACACAAGGAAAAGGCACCCTGATCAGATTCCTGAACAGCCCCAACTGGTTGCTTTCAACGCAAAGCAGCAGCTGTTTTACTCCGAGCTCTTCCTTGATATCCAAGCTGCTCGCCCTGTCCCTAAAGGGTTGCATCCTTTTGGCTACTACCCAAAGCTCCTGGCCACAGGTGGGAGATGGACCTACATCGACGTCTAAATTAAGAGCTTCACCTTCCAGCTCAGCTCCCTCTTCACCACAGATTGGTGGATGCCACCCCAATCAGCCTATTGATCCCACCTTACCCCCACCTCACCAGACTCTAACATACACTTCTTGTCTCGGGGAAGAAACCTTAAGATTCTAACGCACAGGCCTCGTAGAGTACACTGAACGTATACAACTTACCACCAAGAATGCTTACAGGGCTGCGGCTTAAGTCTGTAAGAACTGGATAGCCAAGAGCAATGATCTCAGTGTCTCATATTTCCACAGCTACTGCAACAGAACATGCTGGTTTTATCCTCCTGAAACAAAAGTCTGACAATTGGCCAGACTGTTGAGCAGTGTGATTCTGATTCTGATCGACTTCTATCAGGCCATGTTCGCCAGAGAAAAAAGAAGTAACACACATAGTAAATACACATATGTATTCCTTACCATGACACTCAGGTTGGGTGCCCAGCCAGGTCCCATTGGCCAGACAAGTTCTCTCTGGCGAACCCTTCAGCATGAAACCAGGCTCACAGCTAAAGCGGACAACGCTGCCCACTGTAAACTCTTCTCCCAGACGGATGCCATGCACAGGAATGCCTGGATCTCCACACAGCCCGGCAGACTCGCCTGGAAAGACAAAACAACAACAATCACATACCACTCGTGGCGACACAGTGGAAATGTACTCTGTCCAGTGATAATTTAGTATCAAAACACGATAATGGGATTAGACGGGGAACAACCAACCCCCGCAACTGCAATGCAACAGGAAATCACATCCCTCCACCTCCCTAGGGAGTGACGAGCCTCCCAAATACATTAGGTTTCATTATATCTATTTGCTCAGCATGCAGAAAATGTGCAATAGGATGCCATTTCTCATTCCATTGACCCGACATATATTTTTCCACTTGCTTCATAATTCCACATCCGCCGTTTAAAAAAATCACAAACCGTTTAGTTCTGCTGTGTACTGCTACTTGCTCCTCATTTTACAAGGCGCTGGTGCACATCACTTCAATAGTGCGTAGCTAAGAAACTCGGGCAAGTCTTTATAAAAAGGCTGTGTTTATTGCCCGTTGAGAGAACACTGGCAATTCCTGGAATATATATGAATGTCGTGAATTGTGACATTAAACATGTCAGCATGAAATTTTATTGTTGGCCCATGGGTCTGCGTGTGGGCTAGTCTGTGTGTGTCAGTCACCGTCTATGTCTGTGTATGTTTCTGTCACATCTTTGTGAATGTGTTTGTATTGGTGCCTATGCTTATTTGCATGTGTGGAGTGGACACCCCCATGGCTTTTCTCATGTGTATTAAGTATACTAGTGGGAGCTGTGAGGCGAATCGCTGTAAGGGAAAAGAAAGTATGGGGGCTGACGTCTTTATAGTGCTTCATAACCCAGCTGAGGTGTGGGTGTCTCTGTTCCTCAGTCTAATATGAGCAGATTAAAGCAGTTTTATAGAGGACACTCTCTTTGCCCTTGAGGCCTATGGAGCAGACAGGCAACTCCATCTTTACTCCACCTACTTCGCTCATTACCTGCTAACAGCTGCCACCCAAACTCTTTATTTGTTGGCCTGGCATTATGAGGGCATTGGTGTGACTGGGTGGTGATATTTCATCTAAATTAATCAAGTATCAGATGCAGAGAGTGAGACAGAGGACGAGAAAAAGGAGCTTCACTGGCACATTGTTATAAATATCAAAGATTGAATATGCTGATTTCAGTCTTTAAAGTCAACTAGACCCTGAACATCACGTTTGAAAGGCTTCACAAAATGGGGCAATTTTCAGTTTTATCTTTCTAAACTGTCAAACAGTCAATCTGGGTGTAGTTTTCCGTACCGGAGCAGTGTGGTGGCGAGCCGCTCCACTGGCCGTCCAGCTGGCACATTCGAGTCGTGTTGCCGATGATGGTACGCTGGCCGATGCAGCTGTAGCGGATGACTGAGCCTACTGTCCGACGGTCGCCGGAGATCTGGGCGTAGGGAGGCATGCTGGGGCGGTCACACAGCACCACTGTCCAATCAGAGCAGAGAGACGAGAGAAAGAGACCAGTGAGCAAGTGGAGCTACCCCAAGGCCGATGGTGAAGAAGGGATAAATACACCACATGCCGAAACGATTGCCTTGTTTTAGTAAAAGCATACAGTGTAATAATGTTGGGCGACATTTGATTTGTGTTTGTTAGAACTTATTTTACCAAAGAAACTTTCCAACCAATTAAGATACTTAGTTCCATCAGATTGCTTCATCACTTCATCACACTGAGCCTGTTTAGATTACAAATGCAAAGGATTTCCTATACAGAAAGGAAGGAAACCCAGAAGTTTTAAACTGTTAGTCCATCAATCAACTAGTAGCTCAAATCAAAACAAAAAAGAACAACAAATTTCAAAAGTCATACTTTAAGGAAAATGTAAACATTATCTGTTTCCAGCTTCTGAAAATGATTTGTGTTATAGTATCCTTGTAATATCTTTGGGTTTTTAACTGGTTGGACAAAATAAAATATCTGAAGAGTTCAAGTTGAGTTAATAGAAGCTGTGATGGGCGTGTGCCACTATTTTTTATTTTAACATAAACACTAAAAGAAGGGGACAGAATATTTCTGCTTTACAGAAATCAGTTTTAGTATACTTCAGTATATACTAAACAAAACACTGGAACTCATGCAGTGCCACTTACAACCAACCCCTGAGGTACTTACACAGGCACTTAGGCAGGGAGCGGTCCCAGGTACCGTCCCCTTGACAGGAGATGGAGCTGGTGCCCAGCAGGTAGTAGCCCGGGTTACAGCGGTACGACACAGTGGTCTGGAAGCTGTAGCGATGAGGCCCGCTGGGCAGTACCTGCCTGATGCTGTTCTCTACATGACCAGGCTCTGTGCAGTTCACAACTGGAGAAAGGGATGCAGAGAGAGGGGGGGAGTAAAGGACAATCTTGTGTGAGCATTTAGTTTCAATTCAACAAATGATTTAACCTGGAATTGATGATTTACTGTTCTTTGATGATTATATTTCAAACGTTACTGGCAAGACAGACGAATGGGGGCATTTTGTAATAATACACCATTTATTTTGATATAGATATATGACATTCTGTCACACAGAGGGAACACACCCATTTTACAAGCAGAGGGGTTTTTTTTAGCGCTTTGACTCTCTTTGTCCATGCCTTTTTCTCATCTACTACTTCCACCCATCCAGCATCCATCCATCCACCCCAATCCAAATGAAGTAGGAGGCAGGCTCCGGAAATAAACATTTGCTTCATTAGAGCCAGTCTCCTGCTGGCCGCCGTGGTGCAGAGATGGTGATGGATGGGGAGCTCACAGGAGAAGAGGCACCATGTCAGTTTAGCACCAGATGGAGAGAGTTAGGGAAGGGGAGAATGAGGGATGAGTGAGGAGCGAGGGACAGCGAGGGGGGCGCTGTGCAGACTGAGAGAGAAAGAAGCCCTGATGGTGCAGAATATATTAAAATTCATGACAGAATTTCAGGCTACGACTGCTACCAGCACCAATCCATCTTGACAGTCTCAGATACAAGACACGAACCAAAACCTTACAAGGCCTCAACAAAGTCAGAGTACAGTGAGTAACAGTTGCTGTCTAGTCTACACTGTGAACCATAACTAAATATGTACTTTGATGCCAAAACTCCAATGGCTTCTAAAACACTACCCATGCAGCCATTATGCCCCAGTTTGCCTTGCCAGTGTTGCCCCATGAGCGTGCCTTTGCCACAGCCAAAATGAACCCATTGTATGCTAATGTGCCTAAAAGCTTGCTCATTTTCATGCTCCCAAGCTGGCCAGCACAGCTAAATCACCCCCCAAATACCTATTATAATGTATTCCTTCCAGTAGAGTGCTGACCCATGGTGCCATCATTTACAACTTACCGCATAATAACACTACAAAGTGTATTTGAAGCAGTGGAGCTGCTTCAGCACGAGACTTTCCAAACTTGGAATTCGGCTTTGAATAAATGTGCTCGGGCAACATGGGCCCAAAAGCGATCCAACAGTCATCTAAAACGACTGACCTCCTGGTGCATTTCTGTGTGTGGCCCAGTGGGCAGGCAGGGAGGAAGTGAAGGGATGAAAGGAAAAGAAGAATAAAAGTGAGAGGGGAAGAAGGGCTGAGGTAATTCATCTCTGTTCCACTCAGAAGTGGAGACCCCAGTCACCCTATCCTCCTCTTGGCCTCCTTCCAAGTAACGGCCCTGTAAGTGGTGTGTCAGAGTGTGTTTTTTTTCCTGTCCTGTGTCTCTTGCCTTTTATCGCTGAAAGACAAATAAACACGCACGAGTCGTCCAAAGAAGGCGGTGTTGTGGCTGTGTTGCTGTGACTCAAATTGGTGGTGATTAGAGAGGGATAGGAGACTGGCTGGGCCGGCAGCGCTCTCCTGCTCCCTGCATTATTGATGGAGCCTACAGACTCTTGTAGCTAAAATCTGGACTGTGGAAATCATTACCTTTGTCTGACTGACTGCTACCCCACCCCTCCCTTTTTTCCCTGCCATCTGCAACTATCCACTATTATCTGTCCCTCTAAAAGAAGAGCCCATGGTATGGCTAAGCTAAGGTGAGATGGATGAAGCTGGTGTCATCCTTGCACTTAGTTTTCCACTCAGAGGAGGAAGTACATGGCAGACAGGAGAGCGTGCCTCACCAGATATGTCTAGAATGCTGTAATTAAGGTGATAAATCTGATTGACAAAAAGACCCCTGAGCTACTTATGTCTCCACATCAACAGTGCGGATAATGTGCTTTCAAAACAGACACCTAAGCCCACCCACACACACGGAAGACACACACAGTCTCACACAAAATGCTTCTCAAAGTCAGCATCTGCATGGAAACAAGGCCAATGCTAATATGATGTCACTACTAGAACGGAGAGATTAAAGGTGCACGTCTGGGAGAAGATCTTGCCTGCTTATGCATGCAGCAGCCAAATGTACTTCTCTCTTTTTTTAACAACTGAAGACGGATTCCTATGGGACTCGCAGTCTCCTCATCCCTTCATAAATGTCTTAAAAAAATCTCTTCTCTCCTCATTTAAAACAAACTCATAAGTCAATCCGTCACTGATTCTGTCACCGCCTTGTCATATACAGGGCCCGACCTTGCGAGCGGCCTCTTTCTGTGCCTGTCACAAAGCCCTCAGTTAGTGGGGACTTAGAGACAAGACGTGGGTGCCGAGATACATCGCTTGTCGCAAAAACACTGCCAAATTAAAAGTCCTTGCCTCGCTTCAAAGCAGAGCTGGGTACTTCTTATTCTGAGCAAAAGCAAGGATGCGGGTCTCCGAAGGCTGCTGTCTTTCACACAAGCTCAAGGATCCTGTGATTGTTTTTGGCTGTCTCTGCCTGGTTATTAACTAGGTTTGTTTCCTTGACAGACAGGTGAGCCTTAGGGTGCAACAAAGGTAGCTAGGGTGAGAGGAAATAACATCAAATGTAAATATTATCCAGAACCTCCAAGGACCAAGTGGTTGAGACCGTGGTAATTAAATAATCCAAGGTTCTCTTTGGTTTTTCATTTCAATTTCCCCTAATATGCGTCGTTTAAAACTCTTTCTCCCTCCGGCTGTCTCTGCGCTTCATCTCCGCTCTCTCTATGATTGGGGTCATCTCTGGTGGCAGAAGATATGACCTTGCACGATACAATAGGTAATTTAATACATACCTGCGCAAATGGATGAGAACACAAAACTGTGCTCCTGCAGGCAAGCATGTGAAACCGAGCACACTTTTTGACAATGTCGTACCTCAGTCAATTAGCTATGCGCAAATCTCATGGCAATGGCTTGTCCAGCGCTCATAAATGCATTTAAGTTTTAACTGCCGACTGCATCCAATGGTAACAGGGACCAGGCACATATATTCAGTCTGTTCTTTGCATTTATCATTCCATGCATTTGCAGGCATAGGTTCTCCAAAACAAATGCATGCATCATCCCCCTGAATACCAGTCAGTGAGATGCCACCTGGACTGACTGATAACATGGGCATGTACTTACTTTTACACCTGGGAAGGGCGTTGCTCCACTGCCCATTGGCCTGGCAGGTAGACTTTACGGCCCCTTGCAGGACATATCCAATATTGCAGACAAAGCGCACGGCATCATTTAAGTTGAACTGGGTTCCTTGGGTCATACCGAAGGTAGGGTTACCGGGATGACCACATGTGATGGCTGGGAAAGTCATAGGAGAAAGAAAGTCATGGTTACACTTTTTAAGAGCAGTTTATTGAATCTCAAGGTTTAATATCAAACACCTGAAAAAAATAAGGCCTGGAATTGAGGAGGTAATGTTGCAACACTGGATATAGCGCCTGAATTCTTACCCCACTGGCCCCGCTGCAGCTGCACTAGCTGCATGTCTCTATTCTTGCCACTGGCCTCTATTAAAACAATCTCAGATAATGATTTGTACTACAGAGGAATAAAGTGTATCATTTTGCAATAATTACCTCATCTTTGAAAATGTCATGGCAACACTTAGACATAAGGCACAGGTGGCTTTTAGAGCCTATTTTATGCAAAAACTTTCTGTTAAAATGCTCAATAGCAGGAATTAATTGGTGATCAGTACCAGATGGCTCCAGTCTAATCACACTAAATTGGCCATTGGTATCAGCCTGATAAGAGCATCCCTGGGTAATAGATGTCTGCAGTCATTACAAATCATTGATCAGCAATACACTTGGGCTGTATCTACTTTTTTCATACCTGCCTGACATTTCAGCAGGGTATACGGTATATGGTGACATTTGTGTTAAACAAACAAAAAGAGTAAAAGCTGAACTTTTGCTTGATAGCTCCTGCTTTTTTAGTTTGATAAATAAATATATACGGAAAAGAAACTCACAAAATGCCTTGGCAACATTGTTCTGAATCTTTTTTCCTTCCCTAGATAGCCTACCAGTGGTTCCAGTGCAATTTAGAGGTCTTTAACTACACACCCTATCACCAGTAGTTTTACAAATAATGAACTGTTTTGGTACTTACGGACACAGACAGGAGTGCGTCCTGACCAGCGGTGATCCTGTTCACAAATTCGCACCGACACCCCAATGAGACGAAACCCTGGGTTACACTGGTACACAACGCTGCCTCGATAGTTGTAATTCTCCCCAATGATCTGTCCATTCACTATAGGCTCCGGGGTGCCACAATGACCAGCTATGGATGGATGAGGAAGAAAAGAATCATGGTCAGACAAAGATCTTTTGACTTACTTTGAAATAAATTGATTATGAAGTTATAATCGTTTTAGGGTGCTTAAGATCTCACCGAGACACTGGACCTGCGTTCCACTCCAAAGCCCATTGGACATACACTCTCGTACCCGAGAGCCCACCAACGTATATCCTGTGTTGCAGGAGAAAATGGCAGTGGCTCCATAGACGGTAAGTGTTCCAATCTTGTTGCCATTCGGTGGAGTCCCCAGGTCCCCGCATGAGATGACTGAAATGAGAAAATAATATCATGTGTTGCAATCCCAAATGGTCAAAATATAATCAACAAAACTAATTTGTTTTGTTTGGGAAATGGTTTTGTTGGCTTTCATCCATTTTGTTTTGGTTTGAAGATTTGTGACTATTTAGTTATGTTCTTTTTTTGTAACATCACAGTGGAATACCATACATTTGGATGTAATTATTTTTCATGCTTGACAAATTACTTTTTTTCTGGCAGAGGTTTTTCTCTATTTATAAGTGCAAACTGAGGAAGTTAACTCTAGAAACTGTGGGGAATTAAGACAATGAGATGTGCTGTTTACACTCACTGTCGCAGACTGGGCGTGGATCTGGGTAGTTCCAGGTGCTGTTGGCCTGGCAGCGGATGACCCTTTGACCCCTGTAGTAATATCCCGGGTCACATATGAGCATCATTATAGCATCATATTGGTTTTGGGTACCATAGATCAGCCTCCATCTCCCATGTTCCACAGCAGAGTGGCCGATGTCAGGGCAGGTCACCGCTGGAAGGTCAAAGGATAAACAATCATTATGAACTCAAATAGCTATTTGTGTATGGGGCCGTTACCATAATGACAAATTAGGTTTATTCTCAAACCTGCTGGGAATATCTGGAACTCACTGTGGGTTTCAAAACTTTAAATATTCCAGAGTTAAAGAGTTTGTTCTGTTGATAACACTGAAACTAATAAACTGACTACTCACGAACACATCTGGGTGGGGCCTCAATGGGGCTCCACCTCCCAGACTCCTGGCAGATCACAGAGGTGGTGACAGGCCCGGCAAGCCGAAATCCTGGATTACACTGGTATGTGGCCCTGGCTCCTAGAGAGAAATCCTGGCCTACAATACTGCCATTGACCGGAGGCACTGGCATTCCACAGGACATAACTAGAGGGGAAGAGGGGATGTGGAGGGAAGGGAAAACAAAACAAAACAAAGAAAAATGTGGTTGGTAGAAGGAAAGCACAGGTACTGAGGTATATTTAAATAATCTTCGTATGCAGAGTGTCTAGCTCACAATAGGCTTCCTGTACAAACACACTCCCGGAGCCGTCATTGATGTGCAGTAAACATTAGCTTGGGCTGCCATCTGCGCAACAGTAAACAACCAAGTCTCGAGAGAGCGTATGTATTTCAGGTAGACATTAAACCTACTTCAGACTTGACCAGGCATCCAAAGGCAGCCCTGCTACCTTCGGTTTTCACTGTAGCTGATAATACTGAACCTGTAGCTATAAAATTAACTTTTTGTCATATCTGTTGAAACTGTCATGACATCTACACAGTAGTACAGAGAGAGGTGATCTGTGATAAAGTAATGTTCCTCTGCCCCCTCGAATTGCTTCTAATGGCATCATTGCAGGTGAACGAAAACAACCAGAGCACAGCTGTCAATCATGTCGGTCACTGCTTGGGAATTGCAGTAAAACTATCAAATAGACAGCGCTGATAAAATATGAATCAAGATTCTGTTACTGCATTGCGGATATCCCGCCTCACATGTTTCAGAAACATATTTTAGTGTACTGTTTAGCTGTCAAATGAGAAAGCTGGTCAGGCAGGTGGGCGGTGCCTGGTGCGTCACTCGACTATTCCCAACATGGCGGTTGGGTCACAAATTTTCTCACTGTTACAACTAAACAATACACTAAAATACGTTTCTGAAAATGTTTGAGGCAAGAAATATGCAATGCAGTAGCAGAATCTTTATTCATATATTTTTTTAATACTTTATTGCAATGTTTCTTTCATCTTCTTCATAAGCATAAACAATATTTCCAATTTCCTTGCATTTTTATACACTTTTTTTCAGTCATATACCTTCGTAAATTATTTATATTCAAAGAAATACAACAAGGTTAAATAAAATCCCCAAAAAACAAAAAACAGAACAAAAGAAAGTAAAACGAAAAGAAACAAAAACAGAAAAAAAAAAAAAAAAAGAATCTTTATTTGACGGCTGCGTTAGAGACTCCTACAATCTAACTGGTTGTTTGACGTGGGATTTGATCTTTTTCACAGATGGTCTCATAACATTTTGTGGATAATGACAGTTTCGGCAAAAAAAGTTATTTTCATAGAAGTGACCCACTGTGGTTTTAATCACTCTGGTTGGAAACTAGACTTTGGAAGAAGAGCTTTAGATTTCATGCTTTTGTGAATAAAATCTGAACTTAAACCAATCGAGAATTCACTTAAATTGTAAATCAATAAAGATGGTGCAACAGCATCACAGTCATGTAAAATTTAAAGTCAAATTTAATAGGATTTTTACATTGGAGTAGATGCATCTCGCCTCAATAGCTATTACATTATTTATACTTTTCTAATTTTTTTTTCTGTCAGTCTCAGTTGAACATAGGTAATTGCTATTCTTCATTCCATCACTGTAAAAAATGAGCACAGTGACAAGCAGATAATTGTGACTATAACCCATAAGACATATCAAACAATTCAGTTCAGGTAACACCAAATATCATTAATCTGATGCAATGTTATCTTCAAAGCCATTCTGAGTTATGGTGAAATGACCTTCCTTGAAGCACGCCTAAGGCTGAGGGGCTGTTGGTGATGGCACACTGTCAGTTGAAATCACACTTTGATCCAGAGCAAATGGATTCAGTGATAGTCTTTTTCAATCAACTTAAATCAGAACGACAGAACTTAAAAAATACATTTTGCTACAAAAATGTCTTCTTTAACTTGGCGCACCAGTTTGGCTACGGATGTTAAAATCTTGTTTTCTCCGCACTGTTTCAAGGTTCATTTCATCACTTTTGAGATGCTGAATGAGCTCAGTCAGAATGATGCTGACGAAATGCTACTTAAATAAAATCCTGCAATGTGAAATTATCCTGCCCATCTAATTTTACCATGTAGATTTGTCTTGCTTAAATTAAAGAAGTACTTCACCCCTTAGCTGATCAATTGTGTATCAGTTACTTACCCTGTGTTACACTGAATTGGTGAAGAGAATGCTGTTTTTCTCACATACCTCCATTCTGAACAAGGAATCCATAAATGGAAAAAACTCATGGTGGGATTGTGTTTAATGACAACAAATCTATATCAAAATATGTTTACAAACTTTCACAAAACTCATGCAGTGTAATCCAAGTCTGATTCATCTAGTCGTGTCCTCAGTACTTCCCAAACAGACTGCTCTTTTCAACAGGGAACTAAACTGAGAGTGAACTGTGCTCTCCTCAAAGCCAGACGCCATTGACAAAAAATGGTAATTCACCTTGCCTAACACAGGAACTGCTGGTTTATCACTGCCTCGATCAGTCAAGTAGTTTGTGTCATTGTGCAACTTTGATGTTTAAAGGGTAAGTTCAGATTCAACAAAGTCTCACAATGACACAAACTACCAACCAAGGCTGGCTGCTCTTGTGCAATGAGGGAAAATTACTGTTTTTGTCACTGGAGTCTGGCTTTGAAGAGAACATAGTTTCACTTTCCATTCAGTTGCCTGTTTGGGAGGTACTGAGCATACGACTGGATAAATAACACTTGCATTATACTGCACAAGCTGTGCGAGAGTTTTAAACGGATATTGTGATGTAGTTTTACTGCTGTTAAAAACGGACCCCTATGTCTTTAGTTCATCAATAATTTTATCAGTTTTTTGGATTCTTTGTTCACTGTGAAAGTTTTCTTCACAAATTCAATGTAATACAGGACGAGCAACTGATAAAAACCACAAATGGTTATCGGGGGGTGAAGTATTCCTTTAAGACAACTTCCGGATCTAAGTTTTTCTTTACAACTTCCAACCTTCTCTTCCTTCCTCATGACCCATTGCTAGGACTGGGCCCTCACCTTGGCAAAGTGGTACCGGTGCATTCCACTGGTTGGTCCCCTGTGCAGTCCGGGTGCATGTGGCACTACTCTGACCAATGAGCCGGAAGCCCTGGTCACAGTTGAAGCGTAGGGTGCTGCCCAGCTTAGTGCCTGTCAGACTGTGCACGGTGCCATTCACAGGGTTGTTCGGAGGGCTGCAGTAGGCCGCTATGACAAAAAAAAAAAAAAAAAAAAAAAAAAAAAAGGTGTAGGTATAAATAAGCATACAGATAAAATTGAGTGCAACAAGCATAAAAAGCTAATAATGATGCAAGATGATGCAAGTTTGTGTTGAGGAGGTGAAGGATTAATGCGCCTTCAATAGCACAGAGCCCCAGATCTCTTTGCATCTGTCTTCTACGCCTGGCATGGTAAAGGAGGATATGTATTAATACAAGCGCTACAATGCAATCTCTTGAAGGCAAAAACTGCAGATGAGAGACAAGGAAAATTGATTAAAGGAAACTAATGTTCTGCAAAGCGAAACTGGAGTTTGTCAGCAGCAGCAGCAGAGGAGGATCATAAAAGTGATGGATAGATAATAACAGGAACAAAATATCTGTTTTTGTTTGTTGGTTAAATTGGCGGCAGCAATAATCGTTTATCATCACAAATGGTGGCAGCAACAGGTCCATGGTTCCTAAAAAAATGGGGGACTCTGAGGCCTGAATTGCATTTTGCAGATCTTATGTTAATATGACATCACTACACACCTACTGGAGAATATATAAGAACACACATTGTGATGCATCAGTACAGGGCAGCATGACAGAAAACAGCGCTCACTACGGGAAGAGATTAAGATGTATTATCCATTACACTTAATCACTATGACCACATTACAGATCTATAAAAATGCAAATTCTGAGCCAAGCCCCTCACGTGGCAATGAAAACGGCCTCTCTTTGAAGTGAGTGGGAATTTTTAGCACCATGCAATCAGATAAAACTCCCTCTCAGTATAAAAACTTAAAGTCATGTCAGCGGTGTAATATGTATTCAGCGTTTATGAGATGTTGCTGTCTCACACAAATTGTTCCAACGAGACAGAGAATGTGAGACTTTTCAAGTGCGCTGACATTTCATTTTGTGGCACTGAAGTTAGATAAAACAGACTTTCTGTGGAAGCTGACACTGAGGTTCACTGGGAAAGAAGTTAGATTTCTTGGTAGATAAAACACAGTGGGTGTACTTGCAGCTTTGGTCATTTTGTGGAGTGTAGCTTTCAAGTTTGAAACACCATGTCCTCTCCATAGTCATCAAGGGATGAAGTCTCATTAATGCCCTCCCTGACTGCTCCACGGGTAGGGAATTTAACACTTACAAACCCAATGCTTAAATTCAATTTTTAATATGCCGCCTGAGCAACTGTATGTTCCTTGAAAAGGCCTTCTCATGTCAGTCACTGTGACTGAGCCACCCTTAAGTTCAATTCTTCACTTCTGTCTGTGTCTAACTCATTTGCTCCTCTGTCTGTGCTCCTCGCTCCTTGCCTCTATGCCTGTTATAGTATACAGCTCGTCTCACTGCAATCAGCCTTGCAGCTCAGAGGAATAAGATCTACATTGGCAGGTGACTGGATTGGAATAGATAATAGAAAGGAGGGGAACGAGGGCAGGAGGGGGATAGTGATACAGACAAAGAGAGGGATATATGAGCATAAGGAGAAAGTAAGGAAGACAGAGATAGAGTCAGGCAGAGCATGGTTGATTGAATCGATGGCAAGGATGAACTAAATGAGGCGACAGAGGAAGAGTGAGAGAGGCTACGGCTGGAGAGGAAGAATAGAGATGGCCAGTTGCTGAAGGAGATGTCTGCAACTTGGTGATGGAAGACCAGCCCACGGAGAAAAAAGATGGATTGATGAAGAACACAGTCGAATGCATGAATCTGCCTGCGCCATCTGCTTCTTCCTCCCCACCAAGGTACTACAGAAGGCAACTCCATATTGACCATGGCGACTTGTGAGTTCTCAGCCGTCACTTAGTTCATCTGTCACTTAGCCTGCTATGGCAAAATCCATCATGGCTAAAAAAAAAAGAAGTAAAAAAAGGCAATAGAGGGAAAAAAGGGCAGAAAACGACAGAACATCCGGTTGGGGAGAAGGAAAGCTCCACTGAGAGGAAGAGGGGGACGATTAGTCAATCTGGCTGAGTGCTGTTGATACAGAACGGAGGGAGCCTTTTAAATATTTACACAGTCATAATTCAGAGCGAGTTATGCAGGTGTCGTATACCAACAGATCTTTCTCGGGAGCAGGACAGAACAGAAGAATAATAAGCAATACAAAGAACAGCGTTTACTAATTCCCAAGCTGGAGCTGCACAGCAAGGAGTGCTGCAGATGTCTGCTGCCCCCGGTAGGTTGTCATGGAAATGGGTCATATTTCTATCCATTTCAGATGCGGTTGGCAGCTCAAATGTTTGTCTTGTTGACACAGTAAACCAAAGGCACCTCTGATGAGATGGAACATACAACAATGTAGAGAAGGAACAAAGTTCGGTAACACTTTACTTGAAGTTATCTACATAAGGGTGACATGACATTGTCATGAACTTGTCATAAACATTATGTACATGTCATAAACGTTTATGACTGCTGTCATTAAGTGTCATTCGGTTTTTGTAATGACAAGTTGACATTGTTTGGGTTGTCTTGATTATGACAACTTGACATTAATTAAAGTGACATTACCAGAATTTGTCTTTGTCATGACAAGCTGACATTAGATTTGTTTGGGATGTCCTTATTGTCACAAGTTGATAGTAACCAGGATGACATTACCAGAAGATGTCTTTGTCATAACAATAATAATCATTATGTCAACTTTGCATTTCTTGTTAATGTCAAGTTGTTATGACAAAGACATCTTCTGGTAATGTCATCCTGGTTAATGTCAAGTTGTCATAATCAAGACAACCCCAATAATGTCAACCTGTCATTACAAAAAAGAATGACACTTAATGACAGCAGTCATAAACGTTTATGACATGTACATAATGTTCATGACAGGTGCTTGACCGTGCCATGTCATAGTTATGACAGTGTCATGTCACCCTTATGTAGATACCTTCAAGTAAAGTGTTACCCAAAGTTCTTCTAGTAATCAACTCTAAATAAACAACTGAAAGTATTTTTTTTTTTTTTTTAAATGCCTGTAACCTCAGACTCTTGTGCGCCTGGTCTTGACTCACCTGAGTAGCGTATGCGAAAGCCTTTGTGGCTGGTAGTATGATCGAAGGACCAGTGCAGGTAGACTTTGTTACTGGAGCTGGTGATGCTCAGTGGGTTGGAATAGTTACCACTGAGGGTAATCAGGAGTGGGCTCTGTCTGGATGGGCCTGGGTCAAGACAGAGAAGACAAGTGTTAAGAAGAATCAATCTTTGAAAGTCTCATAACATTGTGCTTTGGAAAAACTTGTCCATGCATTTATTTTCTGTAGACTTGACTCCTGTGATGGTGTCTTTATAGGTCTCTCTTAGAAAATCGATCAGACAGCTGCAGCTGTTTCAACATGCTGCTGCTCAAATCCTCACTAAGACTGAGAAAGTGGACCACATTACTCCAGTTCTGAGGTTGTTACGCTGGCTTCCTTCTGTCAAAGAATCGATTTCAAAACACAGTTGTTGATTTATAAAGCAGTGGACAGTATAGAGTGCAAATACATTTCTGACCTTTGTGCTACACTATGAACCATGAAGACCTCTCAGGTCTTCTGGGACAGATCTGCTTTGTGTCCCCGGAGTCAAGACTAAACGAGGAGAAGCAGTGTTTGGTTTTTATGCACCGCATAGCTGGAACAAACTCCCAGACAACTGCAGGTTTTTTTCAATTCAAGGCTGAAGACTTTTCTGTTTGCCGCTGCCTTTTATTGAATCAAATATTTATTGATTGCTTACACTGCACTGTAACTTTTATTCTTGTATTTTATTCCTGTATTGGTATATTTTAGATTGTTTTTATTTTTTATTCTCTAGCTCTTTAATTGTATTTAAGTATTGTGTGTGTGTTTTTTATTATTATCTCATGTTTATTTATTTATTTTTGGTATTAGTATTATTTCTTGCCTTTTTTCTCTTCGTATTTTATTTGAAATGACTGATTGAAAAGATGCGGACAGATATAGATATGTAAATTGACATAGATATGTATATGTAAATACACAGAAGGACAAAAAGGAGGAGAAGCATGGATATATTCATGTAGCTGTAGGGGGTCAAAGTGTGTTTAATTGTCCCTTAATTAGATGATTTTTGTTAAAAAAATATATGTGAGACAATTAAGTGTTTGATAGATAGTATGTACTTGTCTCAATAAAAAGATTATCTTAAAAAATGAACTGCATTTAAATGCCCTTTTATAATGTCTGTCTTTTGCACTCTTGATGCTTTTGGTGTTTTATGTGAAGCACTTTGAATCGTCTTGCTACTGAAATGTGCCGTATAAATAAACTTGCCTTGCCCAAAGAAGAAGAGTGATAATACTTTTATATAAAACACCACTAGCACTGGGTCTTCAACATAATGCAAGTATTCCTAAACATACACACTTGAATCTGAACAGTAATTTGAATCGCATTTTCCTTGCAAATGTAAATTGACAGAATACCATTTAGAAAAAAAAAGCTGTCACAGATTGAGGTTTTTTTTTTAATGTCTGAATTTTGAAACCAATATCATTTTCCCTCGTTGTGGCTTTTTAGGGATTGTGCGTTTTGTTAGACTTATGGTAAAAATCAAAAGTTGCTCATCCTAACTGTGGATAAAAGATTTCTTTCCATAATTGGCTTGGCAGCCCCAAGGTTAGCAAATGTCTGTTCCCCTCCACTCGGCACAAGATAAAAAGCACTAATCAGGAACGCTAGCGTGTACGACCGCCATTTTCTCAGAGCAGCCTGGCAGAGTTGCTGACTGTGCCTCTAATCACATGCAAATGTACAAGGCAGATGTAGATGTTCTGTCGCCATGAAAGGGAGCCTGTGTGTGATTTTCTGTTAGTAGATGCGGGGAGCTTTGTAAGGGATGGTAAATTCAGCTGTCTGGCTCATTTTAGCTTTTTATTGTGGATATATGTGGAAAATTAGTCTTTGGCCAAGGAAGTGTGGGAAGTGTCAAAGGCACGTGGGGTCAGATGCAGAGGGCAGCACCCAGACAAGGAATTAACATGATGCTGCTCAACTGAATTACGTGATACTGAATGGTGGTCTACATGTTCGTCCTAAAACAGATGCAGCGACTCACCATCAAAGATCTCAAGCTCATCAAACTGTCGGCTGGTCTGGAAGTGCTCTATGGTGAAGGTGATGTTGTAGCCAGGTTCCACTTTGACCACCCAGGAGCAGGACTCAAAATGGGGGAAGCCGCTGCCTGGCGACTGGCTCATGATGACACCTGTGGAAGCTGTCAGTACCTCATTCATGGGACAAGTCACTGCGGAGAGAAATAAGAGGCAGAGACAAATCAGTTAATTTGAATCATAGGAATAATGGTTTGTTTATGTTTTTGCTGTTCTGTGATGTTTCATAATTGCACATTCCCTCTAATTGTTTTTAGTGAATTTAATTTACCTTGAAGCACAAATTGGATTGGATAGACCTGCGCTGTTGTTGGAGGGCAACTCAATATGACTAAAAGCATAGCTAAGCTAATTGTCATCCTGCTCCTGATGCTGTCGCGGGAAACAAAGCTGTCCATGCTAAGTCAGTCCAGGAAACGACATGCATATATTATATAACGTTACTGAATTTCCCTCCTTCTTGTCCGTTGTCAGTATGTGACAGATATGATGTTAACGTGCCCGCTAATGCTCTCATCTGCCTGGGAACCCTATTGCAGTGGCACGTCTGGGCAGACCACATCCATCCGCTCGTCAAATTCCCTCCGTGACATCCTTTGACATTTCCTAGTGGTTTCAGTCTGTATTATCAGACGTTACACAGTGCTCCTGTCTGTTGCGTTTTTGCCAGGATGCTGTGAAGCCAGCCTCTTAATCTGCCAGAGCTGTCTGCATACACAGTGGAACCCCAAAAAACAAACTGCAACATGAAAGGAAGCCAATGCTGCAACGGCGACACAATGCAACTGCTGCACGTTTTTTTTCCTTCCCATTGTGTTTGTGGCTCACCTTATGGGGCAAACGTAGACTCTAAAATAATTCTGTCCACAGCAGAGAAAGATAAACATTTGCACTTCTTGTTGCGATATGAGATAACATAAACCTATCTACTGTGTATCACTCATTTCTATATTGCTAAGAATCCTGAGGGCGTACTTTGGTGAACATTATTGTAAGAACTCAAACCGACAGCTTGTTAAGAGCTTTACAATTAACCAAAGAGCATTTCAGAAAAAAGCATACATTCACCTTGTTAAACACCAGCCAGAGGCTTCATTTACAATCATAGCAGAAATAATAAAATACACAATAAGATGTTGACAAATGTGATTAAAAACCACTTCAAAGTGGACGTAACCAGGTATTTTTTTGCACGCGTGTACATTTTGTGTGTGTTTGTCAACCTAGTGTGGCGGTGAATCTACGTGGGGGTCTAAATGCCCCTGTTGTGTGCCACAATTTGAATACCCGAGCCTGTTGTGCCTCAGGGTAAGCAGCACTTGGCACTCGCAGGTCCTTCATTACAATGGTAAAATGTTGAATGCTCTGAATCACATTCTAGCAGCGTGCCTCCTTTTTGGGACAGTGTGTAAACTTGTTTTGTGCACGCAGTTGGTGTTTGTGTCGGCGCACTGTTGTGTGAGAGTGCGTGCGCTTCTTGGCTTGTTCAACCTCCTCTCTGTGTGTTCATAGGGGAAAGAGATTATTAAATTCGCAGGGAAAACATTATGGCAGACAGCCTGGGTTAAATGGCATTTGCAAAATAACTCTTAGCTTTTTTATTTTTACCTTGCTTGGTGTGTCAACTAGGTGGATTTATTGCCTCAGGAAATTTCAGATAATGTCAGGTAAGCTGCCACTCAGAGGCAAGGTTATGTTAAAACGAGGCATGCTCCTGTCACATACTTTCGCCACAACTTCTTGCTCTTCATTGTATTTATATTAGCTGCAGATCCCAACAACACAAAGACTAATACACACATATCTGCTTATGTTGTTTACCATGGGTCAAGAAACTGCATTTAAGGGGGGCTTTAATGTCTTTATTAAATAGTGAACAGCAGAGAAATCACAGACAATGAGGGGAGAGAAAGATGGGGAATGACAAGCAACAACGGTCCCCAGCTGGGATCAACCCCCTCGGCCACCAGGGTGTCCTGAGCTGTGTCTCAATAACATACAGTGCTTGCATACTAAGTAAGCTTAAGTAGAGGGGAAATACAGCTATTGTACCGACTTAAAACATTAAGGGAACATTCTGCAGATGTGTAGAACTGCCGTACGACAGCAACATCTAAGACAATACAATATCCGCTGGATGCACTACAACAATAGTGCCATTATATGATGTAAGACTTAGAAATCTACAAATAGTTTCAGCATCTAACTTTGGAAGTAAAGGCGACAGCAATCTATTCTCATCCCAAATTCCAAGAAGTCTGTGAAATCATTTACAACCTCGAGCACCTCTGTGGAGTCAAAAAGCTTAAATCCATCACTGATAGTGAAATTGATCGCCCCCGGGGAAGTAGCATATAAAATCTAAGAGTGAAGTTCATTAACCAATCAATTCTCTGAGGATGAGATGTGTGTTGTCAGTGACCTTTCAGAAAGCTCCAGCGTGTCTTCAAAACTGCCTTCAGCTCGTCTTGGAGCTGATGGAGGGAGACAGGCACGAGCTCTTATCGATAGGCTGCTACTTATTAAACTAATCCACTTTGAAATGAAGCATCACTCTGTTTGGCTGTAAACAAAAGGGTATTAGGGGACAAATCTGACAGCTGGAAAAAAAACGGCAGCCTCAACACGCAAGGTGAGATCAACATTGATAGGGCTCAAAATGAAATTTCACTTTAATGAGACAAGGAATGGAATAAGCTGGGAGCAGGAGTGGCAATCTATGAGACATCCTTTCTGCTGGTGTGTAAATTGTTCACCGTACGCAACAGCCTCCCAATAAAGGAGGGGGGTTGACTTCTGTGCAGACAAGCACAGATGCACGCACATCTGCATCCATACAGGCACGTGTGTGCACTCCAGTATGCAAGTATGGATGATGTGCATAAATCTACAATACATCATGCTTGTATAATGCTGCATTGCTGTTGAGACGCCTTTATTCATGTTGGTATTTAATTAGCATAAGCTGAGGGGCGATAACGAGCTGATTGAAGGGGATGGGCTGCAACATAAGCATTAGTGTGGATCAGGACCTGACAACTCTAAAAAGTCAGGAATGACAATGAAGACATGAAAAAGGGGGCAGCTGTAATCCATTCTGCGGGATGTAAAGAAGGGAGCTAGGGCATAAAATGTAGTCTAGGGAACAAACAGACAGACAAAGAGGTGATGGAGGCAAGGGGACCGAGTGGGATGCAGAAAGCGAGTTAGCTGGGAAACTAATGTGATGGGTGATTATGCAGGTTTTAACCAGAAATCTGTCTGGGGGATAAACACAGGGATTTTGGATCATCAGAGCTCATTGTCTTTCATTAATGAATTCAAGCAACACTTTGTACTGATGCTGTCGCTTTGTGTGTGTGTGATGCTGAACTCCCCGCGGTCTCAGCAGACAGCAGATGTAGTTGAGAGCTGTGGGTCCAATATGACCCTGTTTAATCAAATAGTAGGCAAATCAAATAATCCACGAACCAACTGGTTGCTCCGAAGGCAGGAAATACAAGAGAGGCTGAACCCATTTGCCATCGTGACTGGCAACATTTCTCTGGATTAAACAAGAAAAAAACAAGAGTGTGTCTCTCTTTGTGTGCGTGCGTCTCTGTTTGTGTGTGTGTGTGTGTGGCGGTGGTGGCTTTCATCTATTGTATGTCAGTGTTGAGAGAAAAGGAAAAGGCAGAGACAGAGGAAGACAGATCTGGGTATTGATAGACACCTGTGGGTAAACGTGTGTGACAATACATTGCACTGTGCTGTTGTGTTTTGAACCAGCCTCTGAGAAAGACAAAAACAAAAAGGGAACAGGGAATAAAGGGTATGTGTGTTACGCAACGACAGGAGTCTGACGCTAGTGAGTCGGGGGAGGGAAGTGGCGAGTGCAGGGGGGAGGGAATGCAGAGGATGAGTGAGGATACTGGAGCTGAGGGGCAAGCAACACTGCAGAACCGCCTGTAGGCTCCAGTGCTGCTCACTGGCAGACTATCACAATGACAGCACCCACTGCTGTGTAACCCAGACACATGCTAGACCAGTGTGTATGTTTATACAGTATATGTACAAGCGTGTGATGTGTTGAATTGAATGTGTATGTGTGTGTGTGTGGGGGGGTGGGGGCAGCTAGACGTGCTGGGAGGGCTGTGCTTGTCAGAGCTAGAAGTGGTGATTTGATAGGTGCAGCTGCAGCCGGCATGTCCCCTGCATTTCAATGAGCTGTGCACTTCGTCTCTCTGCTGCCCTCCAACTAAGTCTCACCCAGTCTCTCTTTCTCGCCTCCCCTTTTAACTCCTGTCCTACTCTCACTTACTCGCCATCCCTCTGCTCATTTCGCAGTCTCTCTGCTATCTTTCCAGACAGATTTAGTTTTTTTCCTCAAGAATCCTGCTTATTCAGAGTAATCTCAAACTTATCTCCTCTCTATCCTTCGCTCTCCTCTCTCTCGCAATTCAATCTCCTCCTCTTCCTTCGCTCTAGCATCAGTCTGTTGTCTTACTTTCCTCTCTACTCTTAACTTCCTCTCACTCAACTCCTTCAGCTTATGTTATCCGTGGCTCTCCTCTCCATCACCCTGGTCTGTCTATGTTGGCAAAGTGACAGCTTGCAGGAAGGAGGAGTACGGTGGAACTGTTTGTCCCCAGTGTAAGTATCTCTCAGCAGAAGGGGAACAATTAACAGGCCACACAAGCCATGACGATAAGCGTAGATTCACACCTGAAATTCACTGCAAACCACAACTAAATGCATTCAATAGTCACTGACTTTCACAGCACACTGATTTGTTTATCGTAGCAAGCCAAAGCTGTACACAAAGCAGATCTTCAAAAATTCAAATACAAGGCAATGTCAGTGGATGTTTTTACTCGCACACGTCTCTGCTGCTGCAGATGTCTGCAGGTACAGCGAGGGGTTAGCAGGCAAAACTTCACAGAGGGGAAAATAAATGCACACACAAAGGATTCCCCTCATTCCTTTTTTCTCACTTGAATTTTGATACTTTCAGCCTTCTCTGTGTCCTGGGTATTTTGTTCCATGTCTTTTAGTATTAGACTACACATAGCTCCTCTTCCCCTTTCACTGTCCTCCTTCTTTCACCATCTCTCCTTCCTTTATCCATCTCGTGCAGAGAACATTTGTATATTTTTCCTATGTAGCACTCCAAATTAGCTGCATTCATCAAATTCCGCCCACTCTCTCTCGTCCACCATGTAACCCACAAACAAAGTGACACACACAAAATGACAATGATGAAGCAAGACAGAAAAAAATAATCCAAATGTCAAAAAAAAAAACAAAAACAAAAAAAAACCTCAAAATGAAAGATATGCTTTTATGATATTCTGAAGCAGAGAAAAGAAACAGAGGGACCCCTCTATGCACCCAGTCTATTGCCCAGAGGATAAGTACTGCACACAACATACAGTGTTATGATGATGCAGTGTGCTGGGAACGCTGCACTCACGGATTCCTCTGGGAGGATGATATCTCGGTATGTAGAGAGTGCCACAGCAGCCACCCTCAGCCTCATGGGAGCCAAGTATCATCCACAGAGATGGAGAGTGCTACCAAACTGATATGTGGCTGCGGCTCCATGACTACAGGCAGAAATAGCACCCACGGGAGCCAGAAATAAGGCAAAACTCGAACTAGTGCATGAGTCTATGATTAGAGAAAAATGATATTGGCTACCTATAACCCTGCTGAAAATAAACTCACAGAGGATCCCTTTGGCAGAGGGAGACAGTGTGACACCTGTGCTGTGTTATGTTTGTGAAGCTAATGACTCTTCAGGACCCTCTTGAAAATGAGATGATGCATCTTAAGTGTCTGTTTCTGTAAACAAAACAATGTATTCAATATGAAGTGTCTTTATATGTACTGTAGAAAAAGTAGCTCCTATTTTTGCAAAGAGTGCATGTTCATCTTTGTGGTCTTACACAGCCAGACGTATCCCCACACTTTTTAGTGCTGTGCCAGTGCTGGAGAAGGTTCTGGCTCAAGCAGCAACCTCCAAGGCTGGAAAATGAAGCCAATACAAAGTGCCAAAAACTGCAGTTCATCAAATGGACACTTGAGGCTGGCTCAAAAACAGAGTGAATCCCCATAGACCTCCCCATGTTAAAATACCCAACTCCACAGCAGAAATAAACATGTTTACAGCCTGGTACAAACAACAGTTTTGGTCTTTATAGCTCATGTCAACATTCATAACAAGTGCACGGAGGTGAATTTAAAAAAATAATTCACCAGTTCACATATTATTAAGGTACAAAATAATGCATTTTCAAGGGTGGAGCCACTTTGAGTGACAGGCTGTCTGCAAGATGTGGCTACAGTCTATGAGTCAGACTCGCCCCAAATATCCAAATATGGTCAGCTCTGGCTCCAAAAAATCAAGATGGCAACAGCCGTAATGCCAAACTCGAGGCTTCAAAACAGCAGTCCACAAACCAATGGGTGACATCATGGTAGCTACGTCCATTATTTATACAGTCTATGGTCTGGTTGAAGCCATCATAATTACATTCTTAGGGGAAAACAAAGACTTTGGGTTGTTTGTATTTCTTTAAACCAATCAGACTCATCTTGGGCGGTGCTAAGACTGAATTGTAGCAATGGTGCCCTTGCAAAGTAGTGTCAGGAAATAGTGAGAAGGGGAGTACAAATTCCTTCTGAACTATTGGCCAATGGCAGGCTTAAAGGTACAGTAGAGTCTTCATCCTGTGAGTCACATTAATCTTTAAGTAACATTAACAGCTGCACCTGTTGTTTCTATGCTGGTGCATAGTGCTGCCCGTGTTTTCACACTTATATGACAGTGTCATCTGTGTTTGCTGCTATTTGCATACTGAAATCCATTTCCAGGGGACAGATCCACATGATTACTTAGGATTACTGTGATTCTGTACCATCATGTTGCCCTGAGAGATCTGGGCAACAGCTCTGAATGCTTTTTTAGGAATGTTCCACTATTCCATTTATTTTATACAAGGCAGAGCACAATATTTACCTCAACATATGACTTATGTGTGTAGCTATAATTTTCTATTAATTTCATTTCATAAACCCATTTCTGGAAAACGTTGGCGCTATTGGGAAATTATACCATTTGAGAGTTAGATTCAGTTGCCAAACAGCAAAATTATACATAAAAGAAGCAATTAAGTACTATTATTAATATTTTTTCTGTTAGATCCATTTTTTGTTTTCTGGCTTTGATTTTTGGACTTCACATATTGTTTCCCAGCAACAGAAAGACATACTGCACCAGCTCATGGACACCCTACCTTTTGAGACTTTTGAGCTAAAAATACAAAAACACTTCTATTTATTTATTATTCAACCCCTTATCACAGATTTTAACTTAACATACAGATATTTCAGAAACATTTTGCAGCATTTTAGACCTGCAAACTCTTAGTTACTTCACTTGACAAATTAAGTATTTTGGAGCATTTTGAGATTGGAACACAACAAGGAAAGTCTTGTTTTGATAAACAAGTTTTAATTGAAGAAATACTGGATTGTAACTGTTGATGCTTAAATGAGTTCATTGCTGCAGTGTTGCAGCTGGTAAACGTGGAGCTAATTTTGATTGATTGATTTTAAATATTACTTAACATACTGCTGGGTAGCTTGTGAGATCCCTCTTGGGGACCAATGAAGCCTTACTGATATAATAATATTACAATGTATATGTTTTAATCTGTGATTTACTGATAATCTGAATTTGAAAAGTAACTTAAGTTGTCAGACAAATGTAGTGGAACAAAAAAGTACAAAATTTGCCTCTGAGATGTAACGGAGTAGAAGTGTAACAGCAGAAAATAACAACATTGGGCATCGGTGGCTTCCTTCGTCCTTGCTGCAGCAGCCACGGGATTAATTCCAGCCTGCGGCCCTTTGCTGCATGTCATCCCCTCTCTTTCACCCCCTTTCACGCTAGACTGTCCTGTCCATTAAAGGCATTAAAGCCCCCAAACAGTAGCTTTAAAAAGTAGAGTGCAAGTGCCTAAAATTTGTACTTAAGTAAAGTACTTTCTGCCACTGATAACTGAGTCGAGAAACGTCAGGAAGTTAGCTAAAGCTTGCTTGTTTAGCTAACATGGCATAACAGGAAGGTGACTTTAAACAGTCCGCAATGTCATATACTTTATGCTGTTCTGTAAGGCAGCGGCTATTGTGCTGCTACCTGCACTTTATTTGCTCAGGCTGCAGGTATTTAAAATTGACTTACGGCAAACTCTTGCATGCCATGGACAATCATTCTCACTCAAATCACTTTAGCCTGAGCATAAAAAGAGCCACGCTGGAGCCTCAAACAAGACAAGTAACGATGCCCATTACTGTTTGCAATGAAAATAAACACCTTAAGTTTTGATAGACATGTTTGCAAAGGAGTCATTATCTCCTCACTCACTCAGCCCCCCACCCTCATTTCTTGTAAACCTGTATCTACAAAAATCGCGCTAATGACCTGGCTGACGATGAACCGAACGGAGATGAGTTTGCAGGTAAGAAAAGATGAAACAGGAGGGGAAGAACTCGCTAAACGTAACCAAGATGAAAGCAGAATCAGAATTGAAAAGAGAGCACTTATGACTGGAAGGTTGCAAGTTTGATCCCTGGACGGGCAGAAAAAACATGAGCAGGGAAAGAGCAGTGCTTACAGCGCCCTCCCCACCACCACTGAGGTTCCTTTGAACAAGGCCCTTAACCCCCAACTGTTCGAGTGGAGCTGCTCCGTGACCAAATGTGTGATTGTGAATAGGGCCCTCCTGCAAAAACGAGCATGCCTTTCCTTGGATACGTTCTCAAGTTTTCAAGCCTCAGGCAGTCACTCACCATCGCATGAGGGCGGCGGACCCTCAAACTCCAAGTGTGTCCCCAACCGGCAGGTCAGGATGCTGTTTCCACTTAACTGGTAGCCTGGGAGACATCGGTAGCGCACTATATCACCTGCAGAGAGAGATGGAGGAGGGAGAGGTACAGGTTATGACAGATCTGAGATGGGGGCAACAATCAATATGACTGATACAAGCCAAAATGTCTCCACAAACCAATCAGTGCTCCTTAGCCAGGACACTGATTTGAAGCTGAAGTAATCATGATCCATTGTGTGTCTCAGTGAAAGAAAAAGTTAACAGTGGGAAAAAGTAGCATAATAAATCCCCACTGGGGATCCCATAGATGAAACACTATGTCAGTGCTGCTTCCTTTGTGTCTCTGAATAATAATGTGTCAAGGAAGTATGCAAATAAACAGATAAGGAGAATTAATCTCCATTGTCTTTTACAGGGGAGAATGAGAGCACCTGCATCGAATCCCTCTGGCTTTCTGATTATTTTGTCATAATCATTCATTTATGCTGCTGCTTTCAAATCCCACGGGCTATGTTGTTTGGGGTAAATCTGCAGTCAGTACTATTGCCTTATGGGATGTGTAGTCAGTATCAGAGTCAGTGAACACGGGGCAGTATAGACGGTCAAAGCCAGAATGTGAACTGACAGAGGGATTAACTATTTAAAACGCTACATTCCACAAGTCAGTACGGAAAAGAGATTTAATGGAAAGAAAGTCAGCAGTGCCTAGAAAGCAGTGAGTGTCTGTGTCTATATGTGTATGACTTCGCCTTTTTGTGACAGCATTTCCACTTACCAATTTTAAACTCTTTGCTTGCCATCAGGATCTCTGCATTCGGAATGATGGGGGGAGGCAGGCAGAACTGCAGCCTGTAAGCTTTATTGAGAGCATCAAAGACACAAGGAGTCAAAAACAGGATGTGTCAAATGTAAAAATAACCATCGAGTAAGGAGAGTAATATACATACCTTGATAGCTGATACGGAATAGTCCACCTTTCTCTGTGTTACTACGGAAACGTATCAGCACCTGATTTGACGTGCTGCTGGGCGGGTCATTGGGCTCACCATCAGTGAACACTCCTAGTTTCCTGGTTGTTTCCTGTGGACCATCCCTAAAAGCAAAAAAAGGTCAACTATAACTTCAGATATAATAATACACTGGAGTTAGGGCTGCACGGTATATGCAGTAGACGGTAGAAATGATATAAATTTGGCCCACGGTAGAGATTTTGCGTTCTACCGTCCTATCGTCGATGACGTCATCACACCTGCCTCAGTGTGAAAATGGCTGCGAGCACAGAGACAGTGGAGCAAGAGGAGCTGGTTCACGTCAGTGATTTAGCGTAGCACGTGCAACATGTGTTGCTGGAGAACTTGTGAGTGAGTGAGTTAATGTTTTATGAACAGCCCCGGACTTTTCAGACTCTTTTAGCGACTTACCGCTCAGAGGGAACTCATTCAGTGTCTCCTCTGGCAGCAGCACAGCATCTCTCCCTCTCCTCTCTCGCCGTGCGCACACGGGAGTTGGTTTTCGGCAAGAGAGTTTGTCATAAACCTTTGGTAATGTAAACCTATGTGACGCTAGGGGCTCCACAAAAAACTCCATATGTGAATGTGTGATAGTTGTGGTATCATAACAGCCTGTCACAGGTTACAGCGTGATGATTAGAGGAGAAATGGCAGAGCATAAAGGTCCAGGTGGAAAAAACACAACTCAGTCATTTAGGATTTTGCTAAAAGAAGGAAATTACCTTTTGATATAGATCCCAGGGGACATTTTGCACCATAGAGTACTGGGTTTTAATTTTGAGTTTTGAGATCTGCATTCTGCACAATAAATGCTCTAAAAAATACATTATATCTTTGCTTTTGTTGTTGTTGTTTTTTTTTTTTATCAATTTAGCTTTGCTAAGGGACTACAAAACCCATTCAGAAACACTTCTATTATAACTTTTACACTTAAATTTATACCGCGATATATACCGTTACCGTGAAGGGATTCGATTTATACCGTGATATAAATTTTAGGTCATACCGCCCAGCCCTAACTGGAGTAAAGTAGTTTTCTGTCACCAGCCTCTGCTCAAATGCTCACTCATTCTCTAAACATAAAGTACCTCCAGGCTCTGTGACGCATATCTGTGAGAAAACCAAACAAAGCCACATGCAAGATTATTGTCAAGCAGCTTCCAGCAGCAGAGTCTAACCAAGCTGCTCTCACTTCATCATACCCAAAGCAATTACTCTGGGCTGCTTTGGGTGATTATGTTGAAATAAGGTAAAAATTACAGATAAGCGTGGAATGACAGGTCTGGATTGCGCTGTTCCTGCTAAGTGCCATCCAATGGGAGTGTCTCTGGAAGCTGCGGCCCAGTCTTGGCAGTCCCCTGGCGTGGGCATGGCCGATTAAGCCAGCTCCCAGATTCCTGCCACAACCATTCAGCTTAAAAACCATCTGTCTTTGGCTGTCAGACTGGGCATGGGAGATTACAAGCAGCTCTGGAAACGGCTGGCTAGGGACTGCTGCCTGACAGCACTCTGGCCAAGCCGCCATTACGAGGCCCATTTCCTTGGCTCAGTAGTTCAGTGGATAGATACACAGCGGTGGTAACTGGAAACTGGGGAACATGATAGTCCCCATCTTGGCTCTGCAAGAGCTTGTTGGGGAAGATCAGCACAGCGGGGGGTGTTTACAGAAGAGCAACAATACGCTAAAAAGTGGACATTTTGGCTCACTATAGCCATGTCGACTAAGTCACATGAAATCTTCATGCGCTAAAAAAAAATCTTCACACACATTTCTATAAGCAGCCCAATCCGTAAAACATAGATGTCACCCCTTGCCATGTGGACTTTTCATGTGGTCGTCAAGTTGCCAGGTTGGCTGGCAGTCAGATCTCCGGTCTCACTGAGAGCTGGGACCTTTGGAGCTTGTCTCAGGGAGAGGGGATCAACTGGGACTGGCAACCACCATGCATGCAAAATCCTGTCTTTGGTCGCACATATGGCAGGCACAGCCGTGCATTATGGAGGTGATGAAAGGAAGCTTTACCCCTCGATACTCAGTCAGGCAAAAAGACACACACCTACTGCATAAACGTCTTGACACAAACATTAACACACACACGAAAAAAAGGAGCACACACACATTTCCACCTGCCAAAGCTGACTTTCTGTCTTCCTTTCTCCTCTTTCCCACTCATATATTTACAGAGGTGGGAACCATATTCCACCTACTGCTCTGATGGTCCGCCATGGCTGGCTGCATTCATTACATTTAAGCGTTTGGGAAATACGAAATAAAATATATATTTTGCTTGTGCACATGAAAAGCCAAAGCCCACAGAGGTATTTGTGGTTTCTGGTGTTGCCTCTGCAAGTTCCTATTGTTAAGAATAATTACATAAAAAATAACTAACAATATTATTATCCTTTACATTTGTACTGAAATCCATGTGGGTGAATGCACACTTAAAAAAGCAAAAGGAATTTGATGATTTCAAAGAATACATTTAAAAGAACTCACTGTTTTTAAAGTAGAGGGCATGCAAGCAGGGGATGGTGGGCATGAAAAGAGAAATAAGGATTCAAGGAAAAAAAAGGGGATAAAGGCAGAGGTGAGCTTTTAATCTGCAGCGCTTTGTGCCACTGTAATGGATAATAAAGACGAGGTACACATGTGCTGGGAGGCCGTACTGTTCTTGTTAGTTAGAAAACAAGCTGTCACATACACAGGACAGAAAATAAAAAGAAAGGAGGGGGCAGCAGCATCAGAGATTAACTAACTGAAGCCTTACTGAGGTCTGTCAAGCAAAACAACAGAGGCACATATGTGAAAAAATACTGAGGTGTAACAGGTTGAAAAGTAGGAGTGGGTGAAAAGGAGCTGAAGAAAAGGCAATATGGAGGTGATGATAACGAGAAAATTGAACTGCAAACAAATGAATAAACATGGCAATGTTTCAATGACACTTAAGAATGTCATAAAAATGTGTTTACACACATCTGCAGCGGCGGGAAACAGTCATTCCTTACCAGACAGTGATGAAATCGTGCGGCCCGTGAACTTGCAGCAGGGTGAAGTTGATTTTGATGCCGAAGCCAGGGGCCACGGTAATCAGCCAGGAGCAGTCAGCTGAGCTGGGGTATTCCTCTGGGTAACCCGGGGAGAAGATGGTCCCATTGTCTGATGTGATGTTCCCACCGCAAGGCACTGAGGGAGGGAAGGGAGTAAGGGAGTCAGAGTTTATTTATATATATGTATCAGTGGGCCGGGAAAATAACAGGAATGATCCATAATTCAGCTGCAATTGGTGGAAAAAGGGGATTTTTCCTTCCACTCTTCTTCTGCTTCCCTTCTCAGTGTCTCTCTTCCCCTCTCCTTCACTCTTCGTCTAGTGCCCAGGCGCTTGTCTGAGCTAAAGATTAGCCAGTAAAGCCTGTTAGCAAGTGGGGACTTGGATGGAGTGTTTTGCTAAGATAAGGCCTCAACCCTCTCCCACTGGGGGTGAACACAGAGAGTGCGGAGATGAGGCGAGGGGTTAGTGCGGACTGGGCTTTTTGAGGTGTGTGTATACAGCGTGTGGATACGCATGTGTGTGTGCGTGTAAACTTGTTGGCGTTTGAGTGACAGCAAAGGTTAAAACAGCATGTCTATGTCAGAGCTGACAAACTAGATCCTCACATGCCTGGTATCCTGAGGTTAAAAATATCCTGCACAGCTTGACAAATACAGTAACACTCACTCACATGCATACAAACTACTCTGCAGCCAGCCTCACATCTGCATGCATAGAAATTGTAACTAAATTTCAAACATTCCTCGGGAACTCAGGAGGTTCTAACCAACTTAACGATTAGGAAGCTTAACATTCCCGCTGGTGCCCTTAGAGAAACCCCAAATTCACTGTGGTGGTGCAGGGAAAATCAGGAAGGAGCAGTAATCGCAGCAGTGCAGGCATCTCAGGCAACCCAGACAGGGTGTTGAGCTTAACAGCACACCCTTCGACGCCTGTGGGTATACGATCATTCCCAAAGCAGAGATTGCGTGTTTATCCCTCTGTTTCTCTCTCAGGATGTGTGTGCTCAAGTTATACAGCTCCCTGCTTTAGCCCTGTGGCTGATAGGCCCCTCTGCTGCTGGCTCACCTGTTAAATGAGCTATTGATCAGACTGATTGATTAGACCTGAGTACTCTGTGGAGTTGCACATCTGTCTGACGCCATCAACTAGCAAGCTACTTAAAGCTACGTGTAAAAAGAGTGTGTGTTTGCTTAGTTGGAAGCAAAACTTGAAACAGGGTTGCAAATGTTTTGATCTTTTAAAATTCACATTATGTTGCAGTAACAGATGAGTGTAAAACATTACTAAGATTACCTCTGGAAAATATATAGCACCATCAAGTTAATTTCAGATTTTATTTGGCCAGTGTTAAAGATATACTGCACAGGATTTTCCAAAAAGAATGTGTAGACCACAGGTTTGTGGAGGTGTATTCATCTGCAGAGACTCATTCATTTTCTTCTTATTTTGCTGTGTTTGGGACATTTTTGCTGCACCCTTTGGGCAGTGGCGTGTAGCCCCCAGCCAATAAAAGCATGCAGGTGAGTTTGGGATTTTCTAAAAAGGTAGACTAGGTAGTAGCAGCAGCATACATCCAAGAGGAAGCTACAAAAATGCAAAGTGCAGATAAAATGCAATTACAGCAGGGTCATACAGCAATCGACAAAGCTTGTTTCAAAACGAGGGCACATCTGGAGTTGGCTTTCACTGCACTGAGGGAGAGGATGAAGAAAAGTGATACAGAGTTGGCCTGTTTTCTGTTAGACAAATAGGTGCTGGCGGTTAACTTAGTTAGCTTGCTAAACGATTGGTTTTCCATGACAACATATGTATCTACAGTAGTAGCTTGCAGTGTATTTTATAAGCAGTGTAGGGAGGAGGGGCCAAGTTTGAATGTTGTGTTTATGACAGTAAGAAGAATAATACACAAATATACGTGTACACTGATTATATTTTGAATCAAGCCGTATGCAAATGTTGGTTTCAAAACTACTGCATTACTACAGTCGACTTCTCTGTGGGAGCCCTCGGCAATCTGAGTCCTCACCACTTCCTGATTTGCAGCCTTTACTTCTGCCACAGAGAGCAGGAGACTGAAATGGCATTTATTCCCCAGTGATCCCTGTGCATATAAAATTCATCACAGAAATATGTTTCTATCAAAACAGTTATATGAATATACAGGAAACGGAAAAGTGTTGATGAAGCAGGACGCGATGAGGCAGCGAAGGTTAAGTGTGGAGAGAAGTGGAGACAATCAAATGAGCAAGGAGAGAGGACGGTGCCAGCATTTTATAGACACAACACGGTATTATGATAATGCCAAGACAAGTAGGTAAGTGGAGGCAAGGAAACAAAAATCAATGTGTCTCATCCTCCTCAGAGGGAATGTGTGCAAATACTGGAGTGACAGTGAAACAGAAGAGCAGATTGTACTGAGCTGCACTGCGTTAAGTAAAGGCGGTACAACACGGTTTGCTGTCATGAAATAATAACTGTGTATTAGCTGTGAGCAGAAAAGACTGATGCGGGTTTTCATAAGTCTGCTCATGCGTGAAAATATCTGTAAAATCAACACATTACTTTGGAATTATTTCAGTCAGTTTTGCTTTCCTTAATGACTTCAGCCCTTTAACTGGGTACAAAATGTCCAACCTGTACACACAGTCACATAGGAATGCACACACACACGCACGCACAGGTATAATTTCTCGGATAATAATTTTTCAGCTTTGAACTTCTTGCGAATATTGAAAATGCCCATACAAAAGGAAATTTCCATGACAGAATAAAGTCTATCTCCTGTTCCTTCTTCCTTTTCACTCTGTTGCTCCTTCTCGCGCTCGCATTTATCTCCCTGCTCGCCCATTCAAAGTTCCAGTGTCATGGGCATCACCTCCCTCCGTTATTTCGCCTGCTTTATTGAATAATCGACAGCCAGAGCGTGAGAATGTCGGTCAAGGACGAGGCGAAAGAAAGAGCACCCATTACTTTTCTTTTCAATTCAGCCCCTCTTTTATCCCTCTTTTTTTTTGGCCTCCATTCGTCTTTAGCGCAGTATTGATTTTCATTGAAGAGTACTTTGCTTTATTAATAGGGGATGATAATTCAGTTTCATTGCATTATTCATAATAGATCATCATTATCTCCATAGCCGCACTTTGCATTAATGCTCAATAGCTCAATACACTCTAAACAGGAAGTTATCTTGTTGTTACCTTGATTGTGTGTTCACTTGTTTGTGAGACCATTTAGTGGTCAGATTAATAAATGAGTTGAATTTGCACATTAAATGGGTATAAATCATCACATCCCTTACCTTCGCAGCGAGGGAACGGGTGATCCCAATTGCGGGTGGTGCCGTGCTCACAAGTGAGGATGGAATGTCCCATCAGCTGATACCCGGGCAGACACTCAAAGGAAATAGACTGGCCCACGTTGAAGCCAGCGCCCACCACCACGCCGTAACGGAAAGGCTCTGGATCGGGGCACTCCTGTAGCTCGTAAGCTGAGGGAGAGAGCACGTATTCAAATCAGTATTCATTTTCCAATAAAGCTAGATACTTTTATTCAGCCATACAGTATTATAACAACATACTGTGATTAAGCGTGTTTAAACATGTGTGTGCCCCTGTATGCTCATTCTTTTTACTGTCTAAAGCAGCAATCAATTCACAAAACAGATTTGCCTTAATATATATTATTGCTCTGACTCCAGACAACGGACGTATTATTGTCAGGGTTTTTCCTGCACATAATATTATGAGGAGGCCACCTCCGTCAAATTTCATGCACTTGGTGGATTTCTGTCATATCTAACTGCATTTGTGGCATGACGCTGATGTGAAGGCACTGCCAAAGAGGAGGAAGAGAGCCATCTGTTTTTGGCTGCACCACAGAAAAGCAGGGGCCAGCCCTATAAATGCGAGTGTCTATCACTGAATGACTGAGTGACTGACTGAGGGATGAAATTACACCATTGGCCAGTGGAGTGTTGGTGTTTCCCTGTTTGCAATTGCTTTTTTGTAATTACTGGCGACATAGTGTTTCTGCTGGTGACATCTTTGCCACCACAGAAAAAAAACAATTAAAAAGAAAAACCAAATATTCTGCAATCAATAATATGGAACACGGACTTGAGGACATTATTAGCCTCCTCCTACTTGCCGTTTGATGTTTTGATATAGTTTGATATCGCAAGGTGGCATTTATAAACGCTGATGCAAATAGCCGTCCGTGCGGTAATACTTGAAGGTATCTACATAAGAGAGACATGACACTGTCATAACTATGACATGACATGGTCATGAACCTGTCAACAATATGTGAACATTATATGCATGTAATAAACATTTATGACTGCTGTCATTAAGTGTCATTTGGTTTTTTTAATGACAAGTTGACATTGTTTGGGTTGTCTTGATTATGACAACTTGACATTACTCAAAGTGACATCACCAGAAGTTGTCTTTGTCATGACAAGTTGACAGTAAATTTGTTTGGGATGCCCTTATTATGACAATTTGACATTAACCAGGATGACATTACCAGAAGATGTCTTTGACATTAACAAAAAATGCACCTCTTTTTGTGTTTATGACAAGGTGGCATAATGATTATTATAATTCAATGTGCAAGGTTACAGACCGATTCTAACACTCGGTCAGATAGATGTCTGGCAGGATACGACACAAAACTGGCTGTCGTGACAGGATTATGACAGTGTAATGAATAAATTCTTTGACCTGAAGTAAAGTGGTACCATTTTGAACATACGCTGAACAAAATATAGATCATTACCTAACATCTGAGAACATGAAACACACTGATAAAAGCAAAAAAATTAAACTATGAAGCAAAATAATCAAAATAAATTACACAAAGGATAAGCTGTCTTTTAAAGGTGTCCTGTAATTATGATTGTTTTTTAAAATAATTTTGAATGCTTCAAAAACAGGAAGAGATCTACATTTGTGTAAATAAAACATTTCAGCAGAATCGTAGTCTAACAAGGTATTTATCAGTACTTGTGGTCATGCTCTCATTATCAAACACAGCTTAACTAGGCCATGTGATCTGTTACTTCAGTGCAATTCAGAAACAAATATAACTGGGACCATGACAGAAAATTGCAGATAAAATATAATATCCAGTACTTCACATTATAGACACCACTGACAAGCCCTGTAACAATCTGCCCACAGTTTAGCACACTGGTCATATACGGTGCAGCCATATACTAGGTTATAACCTAATCTTGTTTCCCTACAGCAGGAATGTGTCGGGTGGCGTCCTGATATTTCGTGGCTGATCAAACAGGTGACTATTATTTCTTTTGTGTCCAAGCACATCCAATTTCTAAAAAAGGTTTTCTGACTTTACAGTTCCTCCCCGTCAGTGTAATGTTTTTAGCTTTGCAGATATGGCTCGCAGTATCAGCGCAGTAAGAGAGAAGGGCACCTTTTTTCTTTTAATAAAATATGATTTAACCTGATAATTGTAATTTTCCGCACTCATGTAATCATAGCTTATAAAATGTGTTTGCTTGATCCAGTTAAAGGCAGGGTACACATGCACACTCTAAGAATGGTACCACCTCCGCAACATTTTGAGCCAGGAAAAACACGTCCTCTATTTTTAGTTTCCAACTTAAATTCCCCTTCTACATCTTTGTGTTGTTCTTCCTCCTTGTACTCAACCTCCCACTCACTCACTCCCCCTCCTCCGCCTCCTCCTCCTCCTCCTCCTCCTTACTTTTCAGAAGGAAAGAAAATGCCAGGGGTGGGTTTGACTTGTGCCGGAGGAGTGTGATGCAGTCATCATAGGTAGTGTGGGTAAATAATTCTCATTTTCTCCTCTTGGATACAAAAGCAAAGCAGCCAGTGAGCCTTGAAGAGCCAGGATATAAATATGACTAAAGAAATCGATTTCTATGGATCACAGCTTCTCTTTGTGGGAGATAACTCATGCAAATACTGAAAAAGGGGGGAATCTGCAAATATAATGCTTGATTTCTATGCTAATGTACACATAATTATGTAAATGCACAATGCTACCTTTCGATTTGCCGGCTCGCTTGTTGAATCACAAAATACAAACTTGTGCCTGTTGCATTTGCAGACGAGGGCAGTGTATCCCTCACAGTCATGCAGGTATGCAGTGAAGCTTTTTATTGGCACATGCTGAGAAAATCTTTTAAGTGATCAACAGTTTTATATACTGAGATTTATTGATCTGGGGAATTTACTGGCTCTGTGGGCTGATAATCCTGACACACTTCTGTTACGGCTTTACATGCTTACACCCCACAGGAAAGTGACACTAAAAGTACACAAGTGACAACGAGGGGGAAAAAAGGAGTCACTCCCAGAGATTATTATTTCTCATTCTGTGCTCACAAAACACAATTTGTCTCAGTGACTTTCATTCTTACAGTGTACTCTATGATTGTGTCAATTCAGGAAAATAGCTCTGATCATTATTGTTATATTCTCTGCACTATGCTGAACCACATTTCAGTGACAGCGAAGACGGTTTGAAGCAGCCAAAATCTCCAGCCACACTAAAGTAATTACTGGTTTGATCAAGCTTCACAGAGGAAAGTAACTCATAATACTAATACTGGCTCAGCTCTGCAAGCCTTGGTGATTAGAATCATTATTATAAACATATATTAGCTAAGTCTATTTTTGTCTGACACAATCCTGAGGCTGATCATAATTTGCTGCTTCAATCTCCTGCATCTTTTACTGGGAGTATACTGTCTTACTCAGTATTTTTTTTGGTCTCTTACCCTGGTACTCGAATCTAAACCCCGGCTTGTTCTGTGAGTGGTCACTGTGGAAATATACTGTGGTCTCGTGGGAGGTGGTGAGAAGGGAGGAGGGAATATCCTGGCCGCTGAAGCGACCAATCACCGCGCTTGTATCAAGGGGACCGTTGCGAATCTCAAGGAAATCATGGTTGGCCTCGGTGGAGAAGTTGAGGAACTGAAGGTGGGCTCCTGGGAAAAGAAGAAAGGCGACACTGTGAGACAGAGGAGGTAGGAAATTGAAAAAGAAATGATATCCTCCTCCTGAAATACTACTTAGGTCCCTCTGCACAGGCGCTCAGATCTGTGTGAGTTTAGCCCTGTCAATCTGAAACTACAAATGTTGACACTGCAGAGTCCAGCCCTACAAGTTGTGTAACAAAGGTTCTTGTGTGTGGAAGTGCTGTAAGAGCCTCTCGTGATGCTCACCATAACCAACCGGCAGGTAGATTCTCCAGGTACAGTCACTGTTGCTAGGGTAGTTGCCAGGGAAACCTGGGCTGAGAATCATGCCCTCCATCTCTTCCCGGATCCCGCCACATTGAGCTGGCAGAGGGCAGACAAGGCTTTTTATTAGCATCTGCAGACAGTGATTCCTCCAGATTAAAATGAGACTACAAATATGGTTCAACGCAGCTCTTTGTCTGTGACAGTGGGAGTACAAAACTATAACCCAACAACTACAGTTCAAACAGGAAATACTTGCCGACTTTATATGAAATAAAATAGAGTGGTATAATATACAGTAAGTAAGTAAGCCCAATTTGTTTTAGTGAAAACATGTGACGACCCCTCTGCTTCACTAGGTGTGTCTGTTTTCCTGTCTGTTCTTTCAGTTACAGGATGCGGGTCAAGGCAGAAGGTCGTCGTTAGCCTCATGAGCCACACCTGGGCCCAGTGTGCTTCATGATATAAAGCTCACCACCTTCCGACAGAACCTCTTCCCTCACGGCGCAACTGCTGTTCTTTTGTAAATAAATGAGCTTTAAACTATTTGTACACTCATCTCATCTTCCATTATTGTTGCAGCCCAAGAGAAGAGAGCAGAGGAGAAATACTTAGTCGTTTTTAACCTAAATCTTTAAAACCTGTGAGGGTGAATTCAGAAACTAAAGACCGAAGGGCTACAATCCAGAGATAAAAACCTAAAAACTATCTTTTCGGTGGGTTTGCACTGCTTAAAGGCAGGGTGAGATTCTTTTAAATGCAGGTCAGTGTGTTCCAAACTCTTCTTAAGCACAGATAAGGACATCTCTCTGCACCCTAACCACCAAACCCTTACATCACGCTAAATAGTGTCATCATTCTATAGCCATTATGTAGCTTGTTTGCAATCACGTGACTATTATGATGCGCAAAATTCAGATGGAGGGCAGGAAGTGATGAATCCATAGACTAGGGTATAGAGGAAAGTGACTAAAATAAAAGGTTGGAAGAACCTACAGGTGGCAGGTATCATCACACAAAACAACTTAATCAATTTGCCCAGTGTGGACATGATCGTCATTACAAATTACTTTTTCCCTCAGACAACCTAACGTTACCAATGTTACACTGTGAGCTGATGGAAGCTCCATCCAGCTGTTGTTTTTGGCCATGCTTGACTGTAAACATCTTTTATATTTCAACTCTGTACATGGATGCTCCACTGTCAGGCTTACGTTGCTAGGTAACACAAGCTAACTTTAGCTACTGTTTTCTACCTACTAGGTTAACCGTTTCCATTTTAAAAATCTGGGTCATGGCAAAAAACAGAGAGAAGCACACTGCACACACATCCAATGCCAGGCATGTTTAACACAACACTTTTACATTAATGTTTGGCATCAACGTAGTAATCTTTGTCTCAAGTGGTCCCCCCTCCATCTAGACAGCGCACCAGTGTCTGATGTCATGTGCAGAGAAGCTACTGTGCAATCAATTTATACTTCATAATAAGTTACTGCAAAAATTGTCTATTTCCACTTTAACAGCATTATTATTATTGCCCAATATAATTATAATTTCACTGATTTGATTAAAAAATTAGCTATCAGAGTTTACACTGGTTCCCTATAAGCCTCACTTTCACTATACGATTCTGTCTGCGGCCAGGAACAATCTCCTGGGAAAATGAAGGCTCAGTTTACAACACAAAGGAAGTATGTCAACTAATGCACAACCAATACAGGAAGAGGTTAGTGCTTATGTTATCCCTGGTAGCTATCGATGGCTATCCCCAGTTACCAAAGAGTACTGAAAGCTACTTTGTTGAGTTGCCTCTTAGCAAAATGTCCTGGGTGATTTTTAGTTTACTCTGTGTATGTCTAAGGCTTTATTGTGAAAGGTAAGGACAGTGAAAATGCAGTGTGCTGCTAGTGACAATGTGGGAAGCAATAAAGAGGTTGTCGTCTACTTTTTGGACTATGGTACCTCCATGTCATTTTTTTATTGCCTTCACAAGTATAGGCGAAGCTCATAACCCTCGGCTACGGTATCTATGTAAGTTCTTTGCAGTGAGAATCCCCAGTAGCTGAAATGGTAGACAGTGGAACAACTGAAATAACTGTGGAAAATGTGGGAGTTTCTAACCTCTGAGGAAAACAGAAAGTGACCCGGTTGTCTTTGCTACAGTGGCTCTAACAATAATATTACTTGGAGACACTACAAGTGCGGGGAGGTTCAAAAGTTGCCTGTTTCCAGAGTGAATTTTATGTAAAAATTGTAAAAATTATTAAAGAATTTATACTGACATACGAAGAGACAGCATCTCAACAAATGGGCTAATTTATTTCACTATTAATGAACTCTGGAGCTCTTTTCTTTCTACCTGAGAAACTGAGGTGGCATACACTGTTTCTTTTTTTTTTTGCTGCTCTTCAACCTTCTCCTTTCATCTTAAAACAACCAGCGGATAAATGTTTTCTTGACTGAAGAAGTAAAATGAAACACTGAGCAAAAGCGATGACTGAATCGAGAGAGATGAAAAGCACCAGAGATCCTGACACCAAAAATTAAAAAGATGAAAGGATGCTCAAACTAACAGTAAAATAATTAGCTGACTAAAAGAGAAAAAGAAAAAACGGAGGTACCGCAAGGAAAAAGTGTCGAGGATTAAGAAATAAATGGGACAAACAGGCAACATAAGTCAGAGGAGGAATAAGTGAGGGGTTAAATGTTATCCTGTAGCAGCACCAGAAGCCTGAGGTAATCAGGAAACTGCTGATGCCTGCGAACACGATGAATCTTCCCAGGACTTCAACCAATCACAGTCTGAGACGGAACTAATTAGCCAATAGTAGGTTGCTCCAATAAGTGGAACCCGTTTGTCAAGGCACTCTCCCAGGGAGGAAGATTCGAGGTGTAATATAGAGAAGGAACCTAATGCTGTTTCATTTGGCGTGCACACTCAGCTCTCAGGTAGAAATATCAAACTCATTTTAAAAGTGCAGGAGCTCTCATAAACTCAAACAAAAACACACACTATTGAAATATAACCTTTGCGTTTTTGTTTATAACTCCGATTTTATTCATTTTCTGTTGAATGCAAAAGCTGGGTTATGTCTGTTATATAATGCATTGCTGTGTGTGAGGTGTGAAACCGCACTGGAGAGGAAAAATGTATCTTTGTCGCCTACAGTATGCAGTGATATGGTAATTCAATTCTGCTTTCAATCAAAGGGTGATGATGACGCAAGTGTTGTTGCACACGTCAAGTCTACGTGAGAGATGCTCGGTGTAAAGTAAGCTGGTTTGTTGTGTGAGATAAAGGATCTCCAAGGGACAAAGTAAGACTATAGAAGAAAGTTGCAGAAAGGAAACAGAAGGAAGGCAGGACATGGAAGCAAGATATTTTTACCAATGCAGAGGGGAGGTGGGTAGTTCCATCGTCTGACGGTTCCAGGCATACAGGTGATGTGCGAGTTCCCCTGCAAGCAGCATCCATGCACCGATGAGCGCGCACACACACACACACACACACACACACAGACACAAAGAGAAAAGAACAACAAAGAACAGGCAATGAATTAATTTGTTCCCCCTTCTGTCACTCATCTGTTGTTCCAATTATTTGAACCTGCTGCCAGTCTCCACATGACTTCATGTGGAGACTAAATGGCTTAATCCATCTGAAGTGACAGAGAACAATAGAGAGGGAGCATTTCAGGCATATTAAGATGATCACATTTATTATTGCACTGCCAAAATAAGCAACACAACATTTTTCTGAGAGATAGAAAGTTAAGTTTCAAAGTTAAGTCACCATGAAGATAACATACTTTGGTGCCTAAACCCAACTAAACTGCAGCCATTTCACAAGGTTAAACAGTAGTTACTGTATGTAACCCCACTTCAATGAGTATGCGCACCAACAGTCATATATGTCGTTTTGGGAGTCATCGACAAACAGCCTATTCTGCTGTTTTGGCATAAGGATGTGCCAATGGGCCATAAGAGACTGGAGGAGCTTGAAATGGACACCAAAACAACATGCTGGTGATTTCTTTTGAACTGTTGTTATCTACTTTCACATGTCTCACTGATTAAGGACTGATACTGCAATGACTGATCATTACTTCAGATATTTTCTAGCTCTAGGGCTGTTTTTTTTTCTTCTTCTTTACCCTATCTACCTATACCTGCGGCCTGAACTTAGGTCAGATTTACCAATTTATAAGCATTACTGTGTAGGTAGGAAACAGCTAGGCATTTCTGCACACAGGCATATGCTGGATATCTATTTTGACAGTATGACTGATATAACATGTACGATAAGATGTGATTCTATAATCACTGTTGGCTATAATTACAGCAACTTCATTCATATGTGGGCACGTCTACATAATTCTCCTAGATAGTGTTCCTACTGCAGATACTGGGAGCAAGGCAATATTCTTGCCATTTACATGATTGCGAGTTAGTAGTGTAACTTACCGGTAATGGTATAAATTATGATTTGATTATCCAGAGGAAATGGTTAGCAGACATTGGCTTAAAGTAAACTGACTGCACATCTTTCATGGAAGTAATGTTAAGTGAAGTAATTATTTTGACTGAAATAATTTTCTCAACATTCTTTTTTTTTTTACTCACACCTGCTTTTTGTCTTGCTGTTATTAATCTTCACCAAAGCTCTTTGTCACAGCAATTGGACAGGTCCGGATGGACTTGTGTAGCGCAAAGTGGAGAGGAAACTCTCAAATAGAATTTGTGTGAACTACTGCATCCAGTGTGTTGTACAGATGTCACCATCTGTCCCCTGAAGCCCAGCTGACTACAGTGGGAGCTCTGGAGGATGTGCAGAACAGTCAAACTCAGAGGCTGTGCAGAATTCTGAGTTTACAGCACATCATCCAATAAATTACAGGCAGCAGATGGAGGATACCTGTCCTGATAGTATCTGTCCTGATACCTGTCCTGACTGATACATGCATGCATCATAACATCCAGGGTGGATGACAGGGATGAATCAAAACAATCATCACTAAATCTATAATCTATAAAACCATATGACCAATTTTTCCAAAAAACACTAAGCTCAGCATATGCATATGAGGTGTATACATTCTCTAACTGGTGTCTATTAATGCTAAAGTCACAGTACTCCATATTACTGCAAATATGTTTACACTGATTTAATTACTCTACCATAATCAAGAGCACACAGTTCACTGGGGCTAAAAAAATAGATACATACGTAAATAAACTTCTAAAGTTAACTTAAATATCTGGATACACATACATCCAGTTTACCCCAGATTGCTTTATCCACTACTGTAAAATGTGACCACTGCTTGAGGAGATAAGTGAAAAGGACAGGAAGGACACCGGCAAAAACTAGAAAAGGATAAGCATCAATGTATGGTTGCATATGACTGAACCACACCTGAAGGTAGGAGATGTTACCTGTAAAGTATATCCCGGTTCACACTGGAAAGACACCACGTTATTCATCTGAAGACGCTCCCCAACCTTGATGCCATTCATAGGAACCACAGGCTCTGGACAGTTGGTCAGAGACACCGCTGAGAAAAAGATGAAAAAAGACGACAGGGACAGAGAACAAAGAATGGAGATTTAGAAATTATACAGAAACACAGAGGATTAAAAATTAAAATATCATAATGCAAACTGCGACTAAAACATTGCAGGAGAGACAACTGACCCTCAGGAGAGACAACCAGCAAGGCTTTATAAGAAATGCACTCCTGTTGGATTTATTACTTCTGCTCCTCAGGGTGTTGGTACTTTACATCCAGTGATGCGAACTGTTTTTTCACTTACTTTTGTATTCCAGCCTGAATCCAGCTGCAGACACACTAATATCAGAGAAAAAGTGGAGGTAGAGTTGGTTGGAGGTGCTGTTGAGGAGAGCTGGAACCGTGGTGCCTTGGGGAGAAGATTAATAGTGGAGTTTAGCAATGCTATCTCCTGCATGGGCCGACCATAACTAACTGTATAAGCTACTGGCAAATAGCTGAAAATCTTGTTCTTTTTACGTTTGCCCACTTAAGGGTGTGTGTGTCTGTGTGCACATGCAGCAAAAGTGCAGGCATGAATCACTGTGGATAGATGTATCAGGATTTTTTGGGAACACAGATGCATAATAGTGCAACCTATTTGCGTAAACAAGACAAAGGAAGGAGCTATTAGTTTCTTTCAGTGTGTGGGAATGTATTCAGCTGGTAATAAATGAAACAAAAATCCGTCCAAAACAACAAAACCAAACAAAGCACTTAATAAAATCATATGTTCTACAGATACAGCATGACCTAAAATTGGTTGTTTAATAACTCAGATTTGTGAGCCTGGCACTTCTCTTTCATCTCTATACTTCAGGGTACATCTAACATTTACTTTTGGTCAGGTTCCAAGCACAAACAAAGGGACAATTCCCTGTTGCTGTATCTTCGTAGCAGATACTGTAAACAAACGCTCAGTTCAACTTCACACAGCAGAGGCTAACCTTTGTAGAATTGGACCAAGATTTTTCAGGGGAAGCTCAAACACTTTGGAAATTTGAAACTTTTCCATGACTGCACCAGCTGCATTTATCTACTCTGAATTTAATTAAGCGATGTTACAATGCCAGCTGTGTCCCATGTTTAATACTGTATATGTTGTTTAACACATACAGTATGTGATCCAGGTCATATTCTGTTCTGTGAAAACTGATTAGACTATTCTGCTGCTCTATGCTTTTTCTGGCAAGTATACAGATGGGTGATTTAAAAAAATGTGTTTCGTGTCCAAGGTTGAGGTTGGAATAAACATTGAAAACGTGATTAAATACACGCATGGAAACGGATGCACACATACCAATACATAACAGCAATACCTGAGAAGCTGCCAAGCATAGTGTCGGTGTTGTCTCCTCCGTCGAACACCTCCAGCGAGTCCCAGTTCTGCTCTGTGACAAAGCTGATTACCTGGATCTGAGGCAGGGAAGGGATCGACAACAAAAAAAAGGATGGGATTTAGGAAGCAGAGCAGTAACAGTAGGGTCAAGGGTGGGTGTCTATGGGGAATTCAGAAATGAGATTGAAGGGCTGAAGACGAGTGAGAGGCACACAACATAGAAAAGTGAAACTGAAGTCTTGAAGAGAATGGCCATTTGGCTAATTACTACTCTCATCTCTAGGGTAGCAGCTGTCTCGTCCCTGACAAAGTGAACTACTTGAGCCTATCCCAGCTGACATTGGGCGAGAGGCAGGGTACACCCTGGACAGGCCACCAGACTATCACAGGGCTGACACATAGAGACAGACAACCATTCACACTCACATTCACACCTACGGACAATTTAGAGTCACCAATTAACCTGCATGTCTTTGGACTGTGGAAGGAAGCTGGAGTACCTGGAGAAAACCCACGCTGACATGGGGAGAACATGCTAACTCCGCAGAGGAGGGCTCCCTCCTGCGACTGAACCAGGAACCCTCTGGCTGTGAGGCAACAGTGCTAACCACCACACCACCATGACGCCCTTAGGTGAATACAATCGTCTCTCAATCATCACTTCTGAACCAATACACTGTAAGTGTGTGGCAGTGTATTGATCCGCAGAGACCCTGCCCTCTGCCTGTATGGTATAGCAGTAGTGTGTAGCCACCAGCCACTAGCAGCATGCAGGTGAGTTCAGGACAATATAAAAGGGTAAAGACCAGGTAGTGGCAGCACACATCCAAAAGCACGGACACAGCACCAAAAACACGCAAATAAAGTGAGGTGAAACACCAAGCTTGCTCCAAAGCGAGAGTGTATCTGGGGTCTGCTTTCACTTTCACTTTCTCTGGCAAGCACTGAAGTAGAGGATGAAGAACGACGTGGACTTGGCCTGTTTTCTGTTGGACAGGTAGGTGCCGACGGTAATTTGTTAGCTTGCTTAAGTATCGATTTTTCCATTATAACAAATGTTACATTACTGTAGTAGTACAGTAGCCTGTAGCGTACATACAATTGATATAGGGAGGATCAGTCAAGTTTCAATGTTGAGTCTACAAACAGTGAGCAACAAATCCTGCGAAGTGTACTCAAATAACATCAATAACATTCTTTCTATACTGTTTAAGGTATGATCAAAGCTATGAAGGTCTTTAATAGCAGAAGTTCATAATTCTCCATAGAAAAGAACAATAGTCATTGTGCCATAAAGTGTGCCTTTGCTTTCTTGTCTTTATTTCAAACAACCTTTTGGAATGCTGCGTTCAAGGGGTGGGCACTGGATTTGAAATTAAGAAAACTGTATGACAGCTGCAGAGAATGTTGGATATTCTTCAAAGAAAGGCGGACTGAGACTTCTAACTCAGTGTGTCTGTGTCCTCAAAGAACAGTCACCACCACAGAGAAAAAAACAGATACCACATACTGTAAGAATAGCATTCTGGATGCTCAGAGAGATTGCCTAAATTATGGATTTTAAAACTTATTTGGCTGCCGAATGCTAACCAGAAAGTGTGGGAGGCTTACCCCAAATAGATAAAATTGCCGGAGCACTAACAAATTAAAGTGACTGTGTGAAAGGGGGCCGCGCTGTGCCATCTACTCCATCTTTGTTCTCTGTCTTCAGATAAAATTCATCTGTTTCTTCAACATTCTTTGTGTTCTCAATTCTTGTACTCTCTCCAAGCCTCCCTTTTCTGTTCCTCTCACATTTAGTCCCCGGCCCTCTCCTCTGCCTCTGATGGTTATAGATCGGATACGAGCCAATTAAAGGGGCGGTAGGGGCTCTGGCGCATCCCGGGGAGACGACGCAGATCACAGATTGATCTTTCATTAGGGAGCCACGGCAAATGTGCCGGCAAGGCACCTCGCTCCTTTAAGTTCTCTTCTGGATCGTGACACTCCAATCTAATGTGTCTCTGCGAGCTGGTAGAAGGGGAGCAACAGAGAGAAAGAAAACGATGGCATGAAGAAGATGAGGTGGACTAGGAAGAGGAGGGATGCAGCAAAGCCTCTACAGTTAGCACGTCACATTTTGGTAACACAAGCAGTGATCCCTTAGCAAATAAGGAAGTGTGTGTGTCTGTGTGTGCAGTGCTGGCCCAGAAAGCTATCATGTATCATCACCCAACTATACAGATGTCAATCAGGTACATATACATTACAGTGTCATGTCGTTTGCCTTTCAGAGCATGTGCCTACAGCCAGCTCTCTGTTCTTATTCTTGGTCTGTTTCACCTCCAAGCTATTGCCATGTTAGTGTGTAGTGCAGCATGCTAAGTGTGCCTGTGGGCCATCTCGTGTATTTGACCTGCAAGGACAGTCAGCTGAGGTGGAGGAGCTAATAGCTGAGGGACTGCACTGAGGTCATTAACCACAGAGGCTGAAGCGTAAGCCTAAAAACTTTCCGTCAGGCAGATCCACAGGGACTTCACACAGGTTCCTGGGGGGTTTTCCATCACACACGCATCAAAGAATAAGAATATGCAAACTGAATTAACTCCCAAGAACGAAAAGTAAAGTAATTGAAGGGGCAATTATATAAAAATGCATTTCAAGTTGTGCAATCTCAAGTTTCTGGTATAGTGATCTGCTAAATTAAATTCTGAGCCTCTGTAAAGTCTGAAGACTTTATCGTTTAGCAGCTCTCCTGTACCCTGAGTACTGTAAATGCTATAACTTAATATACTGTGGGTAGCTCTGTTAATTAGCCCTGGGTAAGCTGAAAACATATCACCACACAGGAGCTTGTTGTCGAGGCCATGCAGAGCTTTAAAGGCTACAGGCTAAAGGTAAATAAAATCAGCTAATTCCTTTAACAGTGTGACAAGAGACCGTTTTAAGTGAACAGATACTCATTATGTTTTAAGAGAACTGCAATAGGTCACTGCAGCTCAGCCTCAGAATATTCATTAATAGACACAAGCTGTTAAACTAACATGCTGACAGTAGGCAGATAAAAAACTATAAATGTTCTCGTTTTATTGCCTGTTGAGTTAATTATTATACTGTTTCATGAAGAGTATTATTATTATATAATTTTTCATATCTGGACAGTGTGTGGATAGGTTACATTTTTTTTATATTTCTAAAGTATACTTGCCAAAACACAGTTTCTGACTTAGGGATGAGTTAGGGGATGTAACGTATTACACTATGTTATTAACATAGTGGAATCTGTCTCTGATTTACTCATGGATTAAACTCATTTTTGCATGATCTGATTATCACAATTCTGGGTAACACTTTACTTGAAGGTATCTACATAAGGGTGACATGACACTGTCATAACTATGACATGACACGATCATAAACTTGTCATAACATTATGTACATGTTATAAACGTTTATGACTGCTGTCAGTAAGTGTCATTCGGTTTTTGTAATGACAAGTTGACATTGTTTGGGTTGTCTTGATTATGACAAGTTGACATTAATCAAAGTGACATTACCAGAAGATGTCTTTGTCATGACAACATGACATTAAATTTCTTTGGGATGTCCTTGTAATGACAACTTGACATAACCAGGATGACATTACTAGAAATTGTCCTTATCATGACATCTTGACATTAACCAGGACGACAATACCAGAAGTTGTCTTTGTCATGACAAGTTGACATTAAATTTATTTGGGATGTCCTTATTATGACAACTTGACATTAACCAGGATGACATTACCAGAAATTGTCTTTGTCATGACAAGTTGACATTAAATTTGTTTGGGATGTCCTTATAATGACAACTTGACATTAACCAGAAGATGTCTTTATGTTATTGTCAAGTTGTCATTATCAACTTGTCATGACAAAGACAACTCCTGGTAATGTCACTTTGATTAATGTCAAGTTGTCATAATCAAGACAACCAAAACAATGTCAACTTAATGACAGCAGTCATAAACATTTATGACATGTTCATAATGTTTATGACGTGTTCATGACAGTGTCATGTCATAGTTCTGACAGTGTCATGTCACCCTTACGTAGATACCTTCAAGTAAAGTGTTACCCAATTCTGTCACCCAGGAGGTACGCCGATGCCAGGGGGAAACTCTGCAACACAAACCTGGATCCCTGATCCTTCAGGAACAGTGATCTTCCAGACACAGTTGAGGCTGTTGAGGTACGGCTCAGGAAAGCCAGGAGATAAGATGGTGCCAGTTCTGTGGGTCAAGTTGCCTCCACATGGAACTGTAGGGAAAAAAAAAAGGATAAAAAGGGATGAGCTTGATGAAAAGACGTCATATCGCAGTGTACCAAATGTATCATGGCGACAGACGGGATGTACCAAGATGTAAGGACAGCAGATTAGGTGAATGCCAACAATAAATAAATAATAAATAAATAATATAAATTTGCACACTGAAATACTATTGAAAAATTTGTTAAAATTCCTTAATCTTCTTTGTTAATCTTTTTCCTCAAACACAGATCTGATTATGTTAGTGGGATTAAGGAGTTTCCTTCAAACAAGTGTTAATAGGCAAACAGGATGAAGATCACACAACAGGTTAAGTAAAAGATAAGAAAAAAATCACAATAGTTATTTAAAGAAGTTCATTAAATCACAACTACTCTCAACCAGCTGGCCAGGAAAGCACACACACACACACACACACACACACACACATACACACACACACACACACTTGCACTGTTATACTAGAAACAGTGTAGCACGTCTAGTTTACACTCTTACAACACTGTCTTCCCAGCTTGCTCTGCACATTTACACATCTGGTGACAGCACAGAAGCATCTGCTACAGCTGTATGCAGTGTGTGTGAGAGTGCGCCTTTGTATATACATGTGGATATCCCCCATATGAGCACGTGTGTATGTCTGTGTGTAGTTGTGACCCTCAGCCGTGCCTGCCACCTGTGAACTGCATGGCTGAATCTCGCTGTATCGCTGCAGGCAATGGCTGGCAGCCCACATCTGTGTCGTAGTAACGAGAGTTTGACACTTGAGGCACCAAGTGGAAGAGACACAGAGACGGAGGGAAAGATGGAAAGAAAGAGAATGAAAAAATAAAGTAAACAAAGAAAGAAAGAAAGAAAGAAAGAAGCCAAGAAAAGAGAGCAAGACAAATAAACAAACAAGCTGGCTGGCAAATGTTTGTGTCTGTGTTTGTGACTCTGGTGTGTGTATTTGAGTATTCATGCCCTACCTATACAGCTGGGTATGGAGCTGTTCCATTGTGCCAGGGCATTGGGAACTGTCAAACATTCAATGGCGCTCGATCCCTCCAGCATATAACCTGGACTGCACTCAAAGCGGATCACAGCGCCAACAGCAAAGTTGTTACCCATACGGCGGCCATTGCGGGGCTCAGGGACCGAGCTGCACTGGGTGGCACTGGTCCGTGGCACAGCTTTGGAGAAACAGAGTGAAAAACAGGGTGATTAAATGTGTTGATTCGATGTCATCACCTGTGACATTTCCAAGAAAATGGCTGTTTCTCTCTTCTGTCGCTGATTATAGCCAGTTCATGATAGATTTCACAATTAGTTCTCCAAACACTTTGTTTTCTTGTAAGCTTTTCTAAGAATCTCAAGACTTCATCAATGGAGTTATTTGTTAGGAAAGTTACTGTGGGTGTCACTGAATGATCACACTGTGTCCCAAATAAATAATACAAAACATGGTATTCAGCTTCTCTTTGCCTTGTGGTTCCTTCAGCTTACTTACAATAAAAAAATGAATGATTTATTCATTAAACTTTCTCCAGAGCTGCAATTGCCTTTGGATATCTGCAGCAAATGTCATTTCTGGTACAGTGCATTGTTTAAGGAAAATAACAGTTCAAGAGAAAAGACCCTCTTAGGGGAATAGAAGAACAGGGGAGTTTAAGCACAACCTTTTTCAACAGACTGCTATACTTCTACAGTGTTAATGCTCCAGAGCACACACTTCTGCTGACACACACATACACACACACACACACACAAGCACATCACAGCTCAAGCTGCGGCTGAAGGTGAATCCTTTCGAAATAACTCAACAAGTCATCTATTATGGAGGGGAATTGGGCTGTTAGAACAGAGGGGATCCAACAGGAACAAGACAGCAGGATTTGTTTGTGTGCATCTGTGTGTGTGTGTGTGTGTGTGTGTCTGTGTGTTACGCACTTACCCTGGTATACCAGGTGGAATCCTCTAGAGCTGGATTGGCCTTTGGAGGTGAAGCGGATCAGGATTTGGTTGGAGGTTGCTAGTGGCAACGACTCGCCTGAGATGAGAAAAAAATAAAAGACACTTTTTTAGCAAAGTGTTGCCTTCAGTTTATATTTGTGTGAGTGCACTGCCACTGTTTCTAACTACATGACTGCCATCTAATCACCTACGCAGTTAGATAAATAATATTGCCTACATCAGTCTTGTTAAATCACAATTTAAGTGTGAATTTCAGTGACTATTTTGGGGACTGTGTGTGTCCAGCATGAGAGGAAAGTGGTAGGAAATCTGCTAATGATGGTGTAAAAGAGAGCATACTGCAGCTCTCAGAATATGGATATATTTGGAAGCTATGATCACATCCAGCATTGCAGGAAAGTGTGAAGTAACATCTGATGTCAGTGAAAATCTATTATTGAAGATATGAAGATCATTTATTCTAGAGCAGTGCTAACTAACTTTAGGCTTCACGTTAGGACTAGGCTTATATAGCTTTATGAGGCAAACTAAGCATATCACAATATGCAAATTCATGCTGATTATTAAGATCCTAATATTTTACTGTCATGATTAGGCTTATCTGCTATGCTCATTGGATAGCAAACAATTTCCTTCAGCCCCTTGTGACTAAATGGAAGTCCTGATTATTGGCACTGATAGCACTGTGTCACATGTACAGCTGAGCATCTGACCGCAGTCGGCCTCTATCAAGTCATGTTCTGGGAGCTTAGAGGCTACATTAGATCAGCATATGAGCTTTGAACAACATGTTAGCTGACTGTCATGCTCTTTGTTTTTACCAGCTCAGAAATATTTATAATTTATGGTTAATTTCTTTGTCTTGTCCCAGCTGGACTATTGTGGCTCTCTGCTCACATCCCCAATTAACAAATCATTACTGGAGAATCTGCAGCTGGTTTAAAATGGTGCAGCATGCCTCCTAAGTGCTTTAGAAGCAGCTGCGGGGATCACAGCTCCCTTGACTTTACTTTATCATCTGCTTGTGAAATACAGAATCAAACTCAAGGTTAGGTTTGTCACCTGCAGTGCAAGGCCTTCCAAAATCAAGCTCCTGCTTAGAGTCAGAAGTCTTAGCAGCATAATGTGCAGGCGGGACACTAAGGTCACCTGACCGGAGCTTAGTGGCTGTCCATCTGTCATAATTCAGGACCAAGGATGACCGAGCTTTTGTCAATGCTGCAGGTTTTTGGAACGGTAAATTTGGTCAGTTGTGCTCTGTTTTAACTTGGCATGTGGAAACCTATTTGTGCAGACAGGCCTTTCAGTTGGGTCTAAGTGTATGAGATTAGTTTCTGATATCCACCTTTTGCTCTACTGGCTGTCACATCTTTCAACTTACAAGTCCTGAGAAATTTTAGAGGGTTCAATACTTGTTGAGTGTTCAATTCCTCCAAGACCTTTTATCTCTGGCAAAATGTCAATCCCATGACTATAAATCAGATCCTCATATTTCATTACTGCTATGATCACCCGCTGTCCCCATCAGCTCATGGTGTAATTAAACTCAAGGAAAACCCCCGTGATGCATCTACTGTGGTGGAACACTGTTTGTTGACTGACGTAGAACATGATACAAAGTGTGAGCATCTCTGCCTCTGCCTCTCTGTCTCTCTCTCAGTGTGCTGCTGACTGGCTCTCTGCAGTGGATCTCATTACTCTGTGTCTGCTTGCTGTCACACTGTAGTGGGAGGCAGACGTGCTTAACCCCAGAGGCAACATCTGTGTGTCTATGTCAGTGAGTCGATCCTGTGCATGCATGTTTAGCTCACGTTTTAAAAGAGTGTGTGAATATTTCTGCACCTTCAAGTGCAGTGTCCTGAGATAGCTCCGACGGCACAGTTTCTTAAAGCGTCACCGCCGTGATTTTTCAAGTCTCACTGTCGGATCCCCAAGGCATGCTGGGTAGTTTATTAGAAGACGCCCTTGCTGCGTGCTGTCATGGTGACAGAGTTTCATAATTTGCTGCGCGGGGCAGGTATTCATCCAGACAGATCAAACATGTGTCAGCACGTAACTTATCAACCTTCTGGCCACGTTCCAGCTCCAAAACACTTTGCCCTTATAATGATCCTCCATGCTGGCGTATGGAAGACTCACAAGGACGGATGTGACTTTGGCTGGAAGTCAATAGTCAAAATTCAGCGGCAGTTGTTGGTGTGCACTGAGTCGGATGCAGCAGTCATGGGGATCAATGTCAGAGATTAACACTCCAGCTGTTAAACCACAACTCAAACAGGTTTAAAGTTAAAAATAGCCCCGTAAAGAAATTCACGTTTTATAAATAAATCGGCACTTTCACTGAAACAAAAGCAGCAAAGCATGATCGCAGTGAAATGGACTCACTGGTCACAGATAAAATGATGGCCAAGAGAGTGACAACTGCCTTTTTTTAAAATCAATTCAAAAATTTGCATTTAGATAAATCTCATTGATTCCTTGATCCAGTGCTTTTGTCCTTGCTGCCTACGTGCCGTCTCCTTCTCTTTTCCAATTCTTACCTTTTATCATTCACTAATTCATCTCCCCCTTTCCACTCATTTTATACTGTCTGTCACCGCTGCCTTCAAACAGTCACAATCATTACCTTTTCTTGTGTGATTTGCCTCGCCTAACATGACAGTAATGACAACACACTGTTGAATGCTATACTGAGACGAGAGTTTAATGTAATATGCTTTTCAGGGTCAGGATAATCATAGCAAACTGCCTTTTGTTTTGAAAACTGTGATTTACCATGCTTGACAAATAATATCCTGCCGACCACTAAAATACTCATTACCTGGCTATATTTTACTGCTCATAATGACAGCTTGTATATTTAGTCTGAATGGGTGAATTTCTGGCTTTACAAGCTTGCAGATGTGGATGTTTGTGGATTTGTGAGCTTCGTTTTCCTTGTGTGGTGCATGAAGGTACACACTTCTGGATTATGCCTAATTCATGCTAGTTATGCCTGCGTGCACTAGTTCCTCAGCAGCACCGTCTGTGTGGGCTAAAAGTCTCTCTTCCCTTGCCAAACTGTGTCAGCTCTGCTCTGCCATGCCTGGTTAGAGAGCTCTGTGAACCTGCCGCCAGGAGTCCTCAGTTAATATAGCGGCCTGTTTATTGAGCCGTAAACTGGATTTTCTGAGGCTGCCCTGGACACAAACCAAAGTAATCATTTTGCTTTTGTCAAGAAACAGGGCGAGGGCAGGTTGAGATGGAGGGCTGCCCTAAAGTCACACACCTTTTCACTCCACCCCTCTTGAAAGGTCGAACCTCACCTATTCAAGCTGTTTCTTTTGTGGCCCATCAATACAGTTCTGGCATTTATCACAAGCTTCCGCAATTTTACAAGATTGTTGCAACAAAAATCATTTGTTGTCCTTGGCCTTGTCACTTTTATCCTTACAACAGTTATCCTATTTGCTATACTTCATTCACACACTTGTTCCTCTCTTCCATCTTTGTGTACGCCAACTGTACATCTGTTGGACATGTATTCAGACGTGTTTTCAAAAGAGGGCACACTTAATTTAGGGACTAGTTCAGGTTTAAACTTTATCTTTAAGATTAAGAATAAAGTTTAAATTAGGATTACTCTCAACTAAAATAAAAACAAAAGTAGGGCTGGGTTATGAGCTCGTGCGATGACTAGATTTTGGATACGCTTTGGTTACCGTTTGGCATTCCGCGACCAGGGTTAAGGTGACAGCATTGGGTTGTGAAAGAGTGCAGTCAACAGATGTTTCTCACATGCTTGGCTGAAAGTACTTGCGTCTCTTGAAATTAACTGGGCAGGAAAATACGACTGCTGTTCATGGGAAACTGGGAGTTCTCTCCATAACTGAATTTTAAACTGTGAATAATAAATCAGAAAATGCTGTTGTGATATTCTAAGCTTTGCTAGATTGTATGGTCGTGTTTGTTAATTACATAAGTAAATTAAAGGTCTTGGAAAAATGTAAAAGTAGTGTTTGTAGGGCTGTACCAAATAGCTCAAAGCCTTGAAGCTCTACTTGTAATGTTGACATTTGAATCTAAAATCAACATTTGAATGCAGTGCAGCTTTTTTTGTATTTCTATTCATTCCGATTAAACCCAGTATTTCTGCACAGTTAGAGACAGGGCAAGACTTACCCGCTAAAGTAGACTCATAGTGTTACAAGAGCTGTTGAGATTAAGATGACTTACAAGCACAAGCCAAAAAACTAGGCCTGCTGTGATGGATCAAGCCCCCTTTAACAGGTTAGATCGCTGTGGTTTCCTCCCGGTTGATGGAGTTGGTGGTGTTAACACAAAACAAGTGTGACATTTACTGCCCCTGAGCATGTTAGCTCCCATGCTAAAAACATGTTGGTTATGCTGGTAGCAGATCCACTCTAGTGGTTATGGAGCAGCATCAAAAATTACATTTATTCATCAGAGAAACTTCATTTAATTAAAAAAGACTAACTCATTAAATCTAATTAATCACTTTATTATTATTAATTATGAATTTTGCTTGAGGACTTTATATTTATTCTTTATTTTTAGGATGGTGACATCATGAAATATGAAGACAGACAGTCAAAGCTCTATTCAATAACCTCAATAGAAGCTTTGAATGTTAAAAAATGGCATTCGGTACAGTGATATGTAAAGAAGAAGCTGAGATTGTTGCATGAGCAAGATCATAAAAATAACAGCCCTGATTTAAGGTTGTAATTTGCTACTTACGACAGTTGTGATAATGTTAACGCAGCTTTGAGTAGCAGGCTTAAACCCGGGCACACAAGTGTTTGTGTATGTGCGAGCGCCCTTGTTCGCCTACATAACTGCATCCGCATATATCCTGAGAGTTGACGTCTGTTTGTGTAATACCCCTTCAGGAGTATGTGCATGCGAGTCTTCTTGAGCCTGTCTGCTGATATGTTATCCCTGTGACTCTTTAGGTTGTTGTTGTCGCTGTTGAATTGTTTTACAGCTCACTGGAGCCCACCTGCAGCCACGGCAGCTCTGCCTGTGTCAGCAATTTGTCTCTGAGTCTAACCGGATCCCTCTGAAAGGGACACGGCTAGGACAACATTTTATTTAGTCCCCTGTCATGTAAATAAAAAATGGCCGGGAGATCAAATAATCAAATCAAAAGCATGTGCACACAACCTGCAGTTCAATGTATATAGCTTCTATTTCCCACTTCCCTTCCCTTCTAATACCTGCTATAATATCCCCCATAGCAGCAACCCCAAAATGGGAACGCATGCATCTGAATGTGTGTTATGGTGTAAGTACCTGTGTGTGCTCCGGAAAGGGAGCTGAGAACCCGGGAGTGCTGTGTCGCTCCATCATAAACCTCCACAATGTCATTCAGAGCTGTCTGGAAGAAGGCGAATTGACTGAAGACCACTGTAAGAGACAGATATGAACAGAAAACTGACATCAGAGGAAACTGAAATTAGCTGAAATGAGTGACTGCATCAGTCACACGCAAAACTCTGAAATCCATTTGAAATAACACAGAACTCTGCACTATCCTCATTCAAAAGAATATCATCAACAGCAATTTCACTCAAAATGTCTTCTTTAAAGCGAGGTGGATAATACTGCCAGTTATGACAACAAGACCAAAAAATGATATTACACGACTAGATCAGCAATCCTGTCTGGGCTTGATGGCTTGTCAGTAGATGAAAGGCTTTGGCAATGACAGCCAATCTGTTGTACAATGTGCAGCTAAAGCTCCACGATGGTGCTTTCATCCTTTCAACCCACCCTTTCTGCAGCTATTGCCTGAACATATTCAGCCCTTTCACATCTCATCTAAGTCTACTTTGCTTGTATTTTGTAGGTTGAAGGGAGGATGAGGCAGAGATGGAGAGGGCAGAGAGAACAGAGGACTAGTGCTCTCCATTAGGTGTGATGGCAGGACCTTATCTTCGGAGATACTCTTCAGCATGATTCAGTGTCTGTTTTCTCCTACTCGGCTTCAGTGGTTTCCTTTATTTGCACATCCTCTTCACCTCTATCTGCGAGCCGAGTCTATAAGCCAGTGGTTGCAGTGACACCCACCCTGTCCTCTGCATTGAGGAAAATAGCCTATCATTAGGGCTGGTGCATCAGCCTAATGAGAAGCGGCAAGAATGGAGGCGAGAGCAATTGTGGCTCTGCACGAAAAAGTGTGTTGCCTTGGGCCTCGCTGTCATTTTCCAGGAAAATGCAAATGTGGACTTTAATTATTTCAATTTCCTCCCTCGCTTTGACTCCATAGAGTGAAATATGATGCCGACGGGGTCTAAGAAGAATGGGTGCCCAGTCGTTCTGGAGAAGCGCCAGACCTCAGAATGGGCATCATGACCTCAACATGCAAAGACTGGGGTGAAGTACCCGAAACACATGCCGGCCACTGCTGTTTGGTGTAATTTAACAACGGCGGGACTTGAGCTTCGCCTTGGAGAGGCACCACTCTGATAACTCATCAGAGAGCCAGAGGGACGAGAAAAGGAAGCGGGAGATACGGAAAGGAAGACAGACAGGAAGTCAAGCAGGGAGACACTGGGGGCAAGTAAGTGAAACATGCTTGCATCTGTATTTGCATGTTTGAGCTGTGTCACACTTCAACATTGTTTTGCTCTCTGAATAATTTGCTGCTCCTACAGTATGAGATAACATATTGGATGCAAGCTGTGACCTTTAAGATGGAAATGCCAAAAAGTAGTGAAACTCAAGGAACTCTGGATCTTTCAGACACCAATTATTTTTTGGTGTGTATGTGTGTGTCTGAGACAGACATATTGTAAGCCTGGTGTGTAAGATAGTGATTAAATTGCTCTGCCAAAGTAATGTGAAAATATGTGTATGACAATGAGGAAAAATTGATATGGGAACTATCAATCACTGTGTGATTTTACTGCGTGTAGGAAAATATGAAAAGAAAAAAAAAAAATGCATTCTGACTGAAGCACTTTAATTGCAAGTTAAGAAGACGATGCGTGTGTGTGTGTGTGTGTGTGTGTGTGTGGGTGAGTGTGTGGGAGCTTTTACAAGTTTTCCAAAAACTTGTTGTCTCCTACACATCTGTCACTAAGAATATTTAGGTGTGGAAAAAAAAAGTTCAGCTGTTTTCCCCTACCTTTATTAGTTCGATGGTGAAGGAACACATAGAAATTAGTGAGGCACTTGAGCATAGTTTAAGGGCAATTTGTGCATTATAGAATAACTTAATTAAACACCTCTACACACTAACACACACACACACACACACACACAAATGCACAATTAAAAATCTGCTAGGAAAAAATGAACAAATACCATGCTCCTTCTTCGCTTACCGTAATCTTTGGGCACCACCACGGAGTACAGACAGGTCCGTGCACTGCTGTAGTTGCCAGGGTAACCAGGAGACAAGACCACTCCCTCCAAACCTGAGTACTGTCCACCACATGGAGCTGGAGAGAGACACAGAGATGAGACATGAAGAGACAGGGCAGATGGAGAAGGACGGTCTAAAGCCAATAGTGTGGAATTCCATTTCTCTCCAACCTCCTGCTTTTCCATCCCCTCTGTTCCATTACTCCTAAATTACTTTTCTTGTCTGATTGGGTTTTGGGTGGAAGATGTCCCTGGTGTTTGCCACAGTGAAATTGCAATGTTTTCCAAGTGTCCCTCTGGGTTAGCCTGGGTGAGATGAGGCCCAAATCTCCTCTCCTGCTTAAAGCCCCGAAAAATGCTCTGCGCATGCTTGCATCGGTGTGCAAGTGTGCTTCCCATGTATGTGAATGTGTTTTGCTTGTGTGGAAAAGTGCGTGGTATGAGCTTGCATTCCACCTGACATGTAACTGAGGCTTCACACTGTGAGAGCCAGATTCGATGACGTCGGGGACCTTTTACCCGCTTTTCAGGGGGAATGTGCACAGTGTGTCAGTTGTGTCGTGGGAATGTCAGAGAGCAGCGAGGATGACGCAGGTTCTGTCGTGTGTGTGTGTGAGCAGCAGATATGCAAAGTAAGGAGCTCTCTTCAAACTGCAGATTAAATTAAAGCTACACCCTCACATCTATGAACGTTAGCAAAACCCACAAATCTCTGCACATATACCTGTAGGACATGGGCTCCATGCAAAAATCACATAATCACAAATGCATGTTTACATGTGATTAATCTATAAGCACTGATGTGGTTTGGTGTTCCTAACAACCGTCTCCAGATGTCAGTGTTTACCAATGCAGATGGGTTTGGGTTTGTTCCAGCTCGGCTTGCCGTCTCCCCCCATGATGCAAGTGAGGGTTGGGTCTCCCTCTAGTGTGTAGCCACTGTCGCAGTGGTAGGTGACAGTGGAGCCAAGCTTGAGGTCGGCACCCACCCGAGTCCCATTGCGCACCAGGCCCGGCTCGAAGCAAGACTCCCTGGGGTTCTCTGTGGAGGGAGGTAACACGGTGGAAAATCAGCGTCAGAGGGGAATGTGTGTTGGTATTCAATAAAAGGATTTTTGCATCAAGCTGCAGCGGTGACACCGGAATAGAAATTGTTTTCTGCCTAAGGTTCCTGATATTCTCGGATTTCTTTCCTCCTTCCTGCACCGCTTACTTTGCCCGTCCTCTTTTTCCCGCTACCCTGTGCTTTCCTCTTTTAGTAAATATATCTCACTGACTGCCACTTTTCTCTCTAGAGCTTGACGGTGCCCTTTCATCTGTGGCTGCTGGAGGTATGTATGGCTGTGGAGACAGACAGGCAGCTGATTGAGAGTGGCATTGCTCTGGCCCAAGGTCTGCTGACTGCACACAACCGCCTCTCACACAACGCTTCACTGTGCAGTCAACTAGAGAAGACAATGCACATACGCAAGCTTTCTCTAGCGAACACACACACACGCACACACACACACACACACTGTATCTAACCACATATCAATCACCACTCCTGAGGTCGTAAGAAAGATGTCTCGCTCAATCAACCATCACATTGTTCTTAGGAGGAAAATGTACATGTGAGAGGAGACCTGTCAATTTGGCACATTTCACACTCTTACAGCTAAAATAAACATAGGAAAAATGCCCAAAGCAATTTAGCTCAATCTTAAACACAGTTTACTCTAGTCTCACGGCAAACTTCAATATTTGATGACTTAACACGCGCACGCTCATACAAAAGGGAAGGTGAGTCAAATACTTTCTTTTATCAGAAAAACTTCCAACTTACAATTCAGTGCCCGACAGAAATGTGCAGGAGGTTTAACTCAATTCCAGCCAGCTGAAAGCAAACTTTAAATGGGAAGCACTTCAACAATGTTCATAGTTGTAAAGGTCAATCGGGATGCCAACATAGAAAGCTACTTTTCACTTCTGTCTTATGCCACTGGTATTAACAGAGCAATTTTAGCGCCTGTCCCTGAATTGATAATGTTAACCTCCCTGGGTTTGATTTATTGTGTCTATTCTCTCTCTACCTCTAAGAGGACCAACATGTTGGAAGTGATTTGTGCATTAGGTTTTTTCTTGTTACACCATCTGCCATTTGAGATGGGGTTCAATTTGCACTATCAACAACCTCCTCCTGTTGTGCACCATCAAGCCAATTCCCTTTATGCTATAAAACAAGCATATTTCATGCAAAATCAATCTTCTCTGTGCATAGTAATTATAACAAAGTCTGTGTCTAACTAAAGTTCTAATGATTTATTGATGATAAAATGTACATGTAGCACCTTGGATAAATGCCTAGTTTCTAAGCTGGAAGCTGGGGACCTGCTGACCAGACAGGAGGCTGCCCTTCATGGCTGAAGTGCTGGAGCCAGGCATGTGGTCTGTCTGTGTGATCTCCTAGGGCACCTGTTCTAGACAGGTTGAGCCCTTTCGTGGGCTGATGTAGACCTGAACTTTCCCTGGCCGCCTCCTCCATTAAACCGACACACCTGGCAAGAGACAGCGGAGGCGTGATGGATGTAGCGGGCATTAGGTGTGGACCGGCCCTGGACACAAGCTAGTGGTGAGAAGGTCGGTCGCAGCAATAAAGACGGCCGATTTAACAAGCCTTGCCCCGGGACGTTTGCAGGTGTGAGAGAAAATGGGCGAGTGGCATCATCTGTTTTGGAAAATACTCAAAGGAGTTCAAGTGATGTGATGAGAAGTGAAAATGAGCCTAGGAGTTTGTGAAGGTATTAGATTAGACAGATGTGAGTATGCGGGTGCTTCTTTGTGTGTATCTGTCCATGTCTCTGTCTATGTGTGTTATTCAAATGTGACTCAGGCATGGCAAATTTTTGCCCACATATTTCCCCGGAGAGCCTAATCAGACATGGCCAGAGACACAGAAACAGAAAGACATAACGACTGCTCGGTAAAGAGGCTGACAGCACCTCAGGCAGATTTTGTAATGCAATTTTCAGTAGCGGGCTGACCAAATACTGGCTGGGCCAACTCTTCAACTTGCAGCTTCCTCACCAACCAGATCCAAACACGCAGCCAAACATGCTTCTGTGCCATGTTGTTTGTCTGAAACTGAGGTGGTAATTTATGTATTATTTGGTTATGGTTCATTAGTGTGGAGAATTGGAAGTGGGGAGAGGGAGTTTTTCTGAGCCACACACTGGGTCCATCTGCTCTACCAGATTGGCCATACAATATCACACACTCTATCACACACTGCAGAAAATATTGCTGGGAGTGAGTTAAGGGGTAGGCTCTGTAACACTGTCTCAACAAAACACAGCGCTTCACTCCGTTTAGGTACAATTTGCAAATGAATCACAGAGCTGCTCCTCACAAACAGGGTGTTCTGGAATCAGCTGAATTGCTTGTATAGATCAAATCCCACCTCATAACCAGCCAAAGAATCAGGGTTGATCTGGAATTGGTTAAACGTCCGATACCTTAAACAGCTCTAATTGAGGCTGGGAGATTTCGGAAGGTTTAACACTGTTCTCTCAAGCAAAGCCCTTCAGAAAGATGCCCAGTCTAATTTAGAGATTCTACAGTGTCTATATATTTGTTAGGAAAGGATTTAACATACAGGCACTGAGGCGTTACCTTGTGAGACTGAAACACAGAGGTTTATCCTTAAACCAACTGGCTGTCTGTCAAATATGTGATCATTCTGCACCATGTGCGCAGTACAGAGCACCTTCTGTGAGCAAATAAATTCGGGTCCCCCAAACAACATGCTGCGGTCAGCTAAGCCCAGACATGAGCAGACATGAGACAACAAAACGTTGTTTGCTCTAATTTATGAGGAGCCTTTTGTGCAGCTGCAAAGCACTGATCAAAAAGAGCTTAAGCACACATGCTGTCGGCTTTTCATTTTCATAATTCTTTGTGTTACCCGGCTACTAGAGGAGGCACAGATCAATAATGACGCCCAAGCAGGCCGTGGCACAAATGGGAGCGTGGTGATCAGGACGCTGCAGCACACCCCATTCTTTTTCTGAAGCAATTTTCACACCACTAATCTCACTCGCTTTGGACTAGACACAAGAGAAAGTTAAAAAGAAACAATCTGCAAGGTCGATAAGCAGCAGAGGGTAAATCCATTCTCACTCTGCCAGAGGAAGAATTTTAAAACATGAATTGTTTAGGGGATAAAGCTTCACATACTATTTAAAATTCACTGTTTTGTTCAGAATCTTAAGACACTGGAGATGAAAAACTGATGATGAAAAACTCTAACAGACACAGATACATAAAATCTAAGTTCCTAGTAGCTTGACAGTTTTGTCCAATTAGGCAAAGACAGTAATCTTTCCAAGTGAGTCCTCCAGTTATAAAGGTGCTCACCTGTGTACTGCAGCACAAATCCATTGCTGCTGAGGGAGGCGTCGCTGCGGAAAGCCAAGAAGAGCGTGTTGGAGCTACTCTCAATGCGATCTGGAACGTCTGTGCCATAGAAACTGCCCAGCAAGGGGCTGAGGGAGTCCGGCCCATCGTAGATATGTAAGAAGTCATAACTGGGCTCCAAGCTAAACCTGGTTGTAGAAGTGTACACACAATGTACATAAACACTTGCAGCTCACATGAACTACAATATGGTGACAACAAACTTCTCTGGCATTATTTTAAAGTAAGGAAATTAATTTTATCATAGGAGGTAAAATGATAATGTATTATTGAATATACATGGACACTGTGTAGAACAGGTTGGAGATAGCTACACATACATTTTCAATTCAGCCCAAACACACATGTTGCAATTAGTGTGCGACTGAAGCTTACTGGTTGAAGCTGAGAGCGATGACGTAGTCCTGTGTGACAGTGACTGTCCAGTCACACTCCCTACCATGGGGGTAAGGCTCAGGATAGTCTGGAGACAGAATCAGCCCACTGGGACCTGTCAGGTTTCCACCACATGGAGCTATGGAGAGGGAGACGTTGGTGAGTAAACACAGATTTTCAGTTCCTGTGTAACCATTTCATGCTGATTATCAACCACTTGAAAGAATTACTAATCAGTCCCTGCGATCGCAATAATTAATGCAAATTCAACTAAAGTCCGCAATATTTGTCGGGGCTTGCAATTTTTCAAAAGTCCCGCGATTTTTACGCATTTTCCAGCCGACCGGAAGCAGCATGGAGAAACGCTCTGTACTGACATAAGAATTTAAATTTAAATGCATACAATATGTGCTGAATATATTAAAATGTTATGTTTACAGGAGATGTAGCTTACGTGTCGTTTTACAGTAACATTGTCTGGTTTGAGAGCTACAATATTCACTCAGGATTTTTTGCAACATTATTGGAGTCCATGTTTTGAAGCACACATAAAATGCCACAATTTTTCATCGCATTTTTTTTTTTTGGACAAAATTGGCCACAAATTCAAGGGTTTTTGGCTGCAAATTTAAGGTTTAGTCTTAAGCTTCAATAAACTGAGAAAATAATTTTCTTTTTCTCATCATGATTTCAATGTGCATGCAGCACCAGCCCCAGGTAGCCAGTTGGAAGCAGATGGGTTACTGCGAAGCGAGTATCATGGGACTAAAGTGAATTACTGTACTTTTAAAGTATTTTTCTATATGTTGTCATGTACGAAACACCCTCAAAAAACAATGTAAGCAGACTACTTGATTACAAGCAAGTTATTTGGATTGGAACATACAGGAATGATTCTGTCCCAAGCTTTTTGGTCCATAAGAGTGCCTGATCACTGAAACCTCGATCACTTTAAGTGGTTTCCACTGTATTACAAACATACAGTTTTCAAAGGTTGTAAGAAACAACATCTTTCAGTAGCAAATACATTGTTTTAACTGTTATTTTTAGTCTTCTGTTGTATTTAGTATATGGATTCCCCACAGGAAGTCCTAGTGTCAGACACTTAATTGAGACGAAGCTAATGCCCATCGACATTGCTTACCATAGTCTCACCTGTAACCGTCAGAGAAGTGCCCAACCCCTCGCCAAAAAAATGATCAAACTAATTAAGCTAAGCACTAATTAAACAAGGCAGCTAATTACAAGGTCTTAATTGCCATTGTTAATTCACGTTGTGTTGTCGAGCACCAAGTGTGATCATATATTAAAGAAAGACTGTGGAGGAGCAGAGGTCTGACTGAGAGGTCCGCATTGTTACTGAGAGACGGGATAATCAGATCTCTCTGTCTGCTGCAGTGACTTCAGGAAACGTCTGGGGAACACTGCAATCGGGTTTGCCACTTAAGATTCACTTAAGGAGTCTGTTAAGTAATCATGTTAGGAATCTGTATTGTCTACCTGTTTCACTAAAGTCAGACCAGGAAGAGAGGTGATACAGTAGACTGCATCAGGCAGGTGGCACGATGTGATATACTTCATGAGAGGAAACTTTAGTTTTCACAATGTTCTCTTCTGTCTTTATTGATTATATCATTTAATTTCTCATAATCATATAAGTTTGCACACAGGGGTTTTAGGACTATACTGTATTTTGTAGGCCCACATAGCATCATTAGCCATAGCTCGTGCTCTCATGCTGTGGTAATACCTGTGCATGTTGGAGGGTCTGGCTGCCAGAAGAAGCGGCCGTTGATCTCAGTGCAGGTGATCCTGTTGGCCCCCTGCAGGATGTAGCCAGGGTCACACTGGAACACCACATGGTCCCCTGGTTCCCTGCTGTCGCCACCGCGGGTCCCATTAGTAGGCATGCCTGGGTCATTGCAGGAGGTTGCAGTGGAGACTGAAGAAGCAAGAGACATTAAAATTACATATAAATGATCCTCAACTACAAGATGAAAAAGGGGGTATTATTGTCATAGCTCATAATTAAACCCCAGAGTGGTGATTTTTTTTCTCTTTCTACTCCCAGTTACCACCCAGACATTTAACCCAGGTTCATGTAATATTCCTTCCACCTCCCTCCCATCATCATCATCCTTCCTCCTCACCAGAGAACTGCAGAGCAAAGCCCTGCTTGCTGGTGAAGAAGTCCGTGGTGAACTGCAGGCTGACAGTGTTGAAGGTGCTGTGGGCATCCGGGGGCAGCACTGAGCCACTCAGCTCCCTCAGCAGGACCCCTCCATCTTGGGGCCCATCCCAGATCCGAAGCACGTCGTGGACCTCCTCCGTGTGGAAAACCAGGAAATGCAGACTGTAAAAGACAAAGAATAGATACTTTAAAGGTCATGCCAGTTGACAGATGACACTGTAGTATATTTAGGTTTTAACCTTCATGCAGCCCTTTCACATTTCAGTGATACAGGAAGCAACCTCAGGCAGACAAAATCTGTTTATTTTTTCATAGAGAAATTAAAGTTGACTCTGACTGTTGCCGCCTCGTATTTGCATTTCAGTTTGTTCAAACACACTTTTGGTCCCTTTAATGGAAGTTAATTGTAGCAGAACTCCATATCTTGCAGCTTTTCCATTAATAGCTTTATTCAAGAGAGAAATCTTGGCTCCAATTGTTCCGCCACAGACTGAGGGATTTATAAGAATCTTCTGCATCCTCCATCTTTCCAAAAGGTTAAAATCAAGGTTCAGTATTTTGTTTGTATTATATGGAGACTGAAATTAAATTTCATCAAAAAAAAAGAGGCCTTTTGTAGGCTTTTAGCTATTCACCATTGGCAGAATGTAAAAAAGGATGAGTCAGAGCAGAGGAGAAGGAAATAATGGATTTAATCAAACTACTGAGTATTTATTTGAGAATCAATACACACAAGGTAATTATGTGATTAAAGGAGACAATAAGAATACAGGAAAGACAAAACACGGCTAAGGGCAAGTATAAAGAAGGGAAACAAATAACATTTTAGAGTGAATCACAGACGCCAGATCCAGAGCATTCAATGGATGTTCCACAATGTCAGTCAAGCAGTTACGTCTGCCACAGCATTTAATAGTTTCAGTCTAGACATCAGAAAGATGATGCTGTCAAAATATCTACCCTTCACTTTGGCGCAGACAGCTGTCAGCCAGCTGGTGGTCCACTAGATGGGAAATGCACTGTAGATGTGTACGTGTGTGTGAAAGCGTGGCAGCCTCGATGCAGTGGATTTTTAATGATATATTGCTCTTGAGTGTGAGCATGTGTAAGTATGCGTTTTGGACAGGCTCAGCAGGACTAAAGGGATAGAAAATGGTATTTTAGAACAAATGAGAGATTGGTGGTAATGCTGACACGGGCCACTCAACATAAAGGACTTGTGTAAAGACAACCAGTGTTCTCAGCAGCTGTATCCTGCGGCAAAGTCTCAAATACGTACAAGAAATTATAGAAATGTTTATGTCAGCTCTTTTAATTTGCCCTTCTGATTCTTTTCTCTGAAACACACTCCTGTCTTGCATGCTTTCAAAATAAGAGAAAACAGCAGAAAGCACTGAGATGAATGTGTACTCAAAATAAAGGAAAACAAAAGTGTTGAACTGAACTTGACTCACCTGATTCACACTCAAAGCGTTTATCTAAACAACGCTGTTTTTTTTTTCCCCTCTTCAAATTCATGACAGCAAAAGAAAACATTGTCTCTATTGTTGCCTCAAAATGCTCCACTTGGATGATGTGTAACATCTTGCATGCATGACACAGAGATACTTCAATGCACTGGGTGACTACGAGCTCAGTGGGGAACACCACTCACATCCTGGTACAGCAGTTAAAACTCTGACAGTGACAAATCAAACACACAAAATGATACAACAAAGGCGTCCCAACCTTATGGAAATGTACGGCTTTTGTGTTCTGTGATTTCATATTTCACTGAAATGATTCAAAGCCTTCATTTGAAATGATTGTATTTTGAAAACTCAGTGAAAACCATTTTACCCCAAAGCATTCCTGACTCTCCCACGTTTCAATAATTTCAATTCTAATATAAAGTAAACAGCACCTATTGTCATAAAATTCCCTCGCAGCACTTAATTAGGGGTGGGGGATATATCAATTATACGCAATGTATCATGGTTTGTTCCATGTGGGATGCATAAATGACTACATCATGAGCACTGAGCATAAACTGTTACGTATTTTTTATTTTACAGCTAACAGCCTAAACATGATACGTCACATGCACTCCCCTGCCCATCCAGACCACTCTTTTGAGCGATAGTGTGTGAGGCCAAGCGTTTGTTTTTGATTCTACAGAGCTCCAGACCGCAACCATTTAGCTGCATTTTGTAACTATGAGCACCAGAGTGACTTTAAAATGTTATGAACATATGAACTGGAAGGCTCATAAGCCCTGTTTCCACCGAGCAGTACAGTCCAGTGCAGTTCAGTTGGGTATGCTGTTTTTCTGTTTCCACTCCAAGTTGTGGATGATACTAATGGAACTGTTCCTTGCCGTTACCATTTTTGGTCACCCTTCTGTTGGTGTACCTAGCACACAGATCTGGTACTAAAAGGTGGAGCTGTGAACACTGCAGTCTGTTGATAGGTCAATAGCAGACGGTCACTCTGCTCAGGGCTGAGTTGTGGCTGGTTTTGAAGCTCATGTAACCACTGTTCATATCGTTAGTAAACTGTAACTATAAAATGAAAGGATATTTTACTGCAACTTCATTCTGCGGGCCAACTGCCGGGATTTTTAAAGTGGAACATTAACTCGTAATGTTACTAAATGCACGAGCTGACGACGTGACTCAATCAACACACCTTAAATATTCTATATAACAACTTTGACCATCACTTTAGTTTTATATGACATGCACTTTTAGTACTGAGTAGATCTTCAAGCGTTTATATGTATTCATTTTGGCCAGGTTATGTGAACTGCATAACGCTAGGGTCTAGGTACCATGTCTGAATGGTACTTTCGGTTCCAAAGGTACCATACTGAAAATGTTTGGTGGAAACTGCTTTAGTTTGTTTCCCACTCACAGTGAATAAACCCACACAATTGACGGCAACGCTGTGACAGTTTAACTTTCCGCCAACTAATAAACTCTAACTGTTGACCGGAAGCTTCAAGTTCACAGCAAAAACATAAACCCCAAGAGATGAGCTGGGTGTGTCAGGATAAAAGCACCAATGGTTTCTATTTCGTTATGACAATACTTTATTCAAATTTATTAAAACAGTACTTAACTTTACTATAACACCAATGTACGTAACTTTATAATAACAGTGCTTCATTTAATTTCATTATAACAGCTTGTTATAATGCTTGTTCAGCTTTATTACAACACTACTTCATTTAACCTTATTATAACAGTACTTTAACTTTTTATAACAGGACTTAATTTTTTGTTTGTTTTATAGAGCTCTTTTTATTCTATGACTTTGTCCACTAGCTTGAGCCTAGCTTATTAAAAATCCATCCAGCAGTCATTCTCTCAAAGTATTACTTTAAATTCAACGTACTGAATGGTAATCTCTGTCCCAGTCATCCAGAGGAAATCACGGTACTTTTTGTGCTTTAGTATCCTCATCCATTTATACACATACACTCACACATAGAGCCCTGGGCTACAGATGATGCAGAGGAGAAACAGCAACCCACTGATATGTCGGGTTTAGCAACAAGTTCCCACCGTTTCTGCATAATTGGTGTCAGACTCCGATTCCCATACCGTCTGATGTGCGAGCAGCAGCCAGAGGCTACTCAACAATGTGCTGTGTGTGTGCATACTGTACATAACCTACTTGACAAGTCCTGTCGCAAAGCGTGTGAAAGAAGTGCACATAAAACAAACAAGATGCAGACAGGGGCATGAGCACATATTCACGCAAATGTACACTGATAGGTATATTTGAAGGGTAAGCTGCATTACACGCCCATACATAAGCACCCACGCCTGGTAAACAGATGCAGTGAGAGCGACATGCATACATACAGTACATTAAACACACGATCCTCCTTATCTCTGCAGAGCAGCACATCGCATGTGGCCAACTTCAAACATCGAAGAACTAGCATAAATACTAATCCAATTTTTGTACCCTTTTCTCTGCTTACAGTTCTCTTGCTAATATTCAATAAAGCACAGATAATACTGTGATTTACAATCAACATTTATAGTTTAATAAAAATAATAACATTCCAAGGAAAAAACAGCAACACATTTCTAGTCGATATGAGCTATGAGAGAAGATATAAGAGAAAGCAAAGTAAACCTGTTTACTTCTCCTCGGTACTCTGGCCTCACACACACAACAAACGCTGATTTGCTGCTCAACTTAAATTACAAGGTACACATCTGTGTTTTCTTTTGTGGCACAGATAATCAAACTCCAAAGTGTTTAGTCTATTAAAAGTTAGAGAAGACAATCAAGACAATTTCTTTTGTTTATGGTGGCAGCAGCGAGATGGTTGTCAACAATTCAGTGGTTTGAATCAAAACAAGATGAGGTCAAAACCTATGATATGGCTGTACCACATATGAAACGCTCGATGGCTTTTGATTTGAAATGATGGCTTTTATTTGAAATAGGAAGTAGCAGCATTCATTCAGTCAGAGACTTGCTGACAGCGCTTCAAGATTCAACTAACACACCTAAAACACACATAAAATATGGCCTAAAAGCGACATTATACAAGATTCGGCTACATTGTAACTCACAATGTTTTCCCCACATATACAACATGCTACTTAAGTATAAGCCTATGACATTTCCCATTGCATAAATTAGACTCATGGCTGGGGAACTTTTCCTCTACTGATATGAAGCCTTGATCACACACAAGACTTTGAATGCTATTTTGTGAAGACTTTATGGTCTTCACAATGTATCGCTTCTTATTTGGGAATAAAAGTTAACTAAAATTGCCTCTGCGCAACAGTCAAGATTCTCTACAGTTTACATCCATGCCTGTAAAAACATGGATGCTTCACACACATCTTCCCTCTGGCAGCTCAGAAATTCTACATAATTGGCACAGTTTCAAGGTGGACACCGAAGATTCGTGTCACCAATTCAGTATCTGACCAAATGTCCCCCACTTCTGTTCCTCAGATATGAAATTGAGTAATGGCCAGAAAAGTGTTTCATGCATAATATTGTGATGTCTTAGTTAAATCGACCTTTTGGATAAAAATGTCCTCGCTTCATCATTATATCCTACTGGACCTTTGTGCGTAGTTTTGTCATAATTACCGTAAGAATTCTTGAGTTATGGCAAAAAACATGTTGTGTGAGGTCACACTGAC